TAGTGTGTTTAAAATCTTCAAATGATAAATAAAATTTAGATATGGGATTATCAGAATAGTGTGTGTGACTAAACAGATGATAGTATATCCTGTACACCAGGATAATGCGTATAACGGAAAACCCTTTCTTGATTAATACTGTAAAAATGTTTAAGCCTCTTGAGATTTATCATGGTCTTCACGAACTTTTCGTAATTCTTTCTTCCTTGTTCACCATGAACATCAGAACAAAAGGCAGACTATAAATAATTTGTTCCAATACTGGATAGACGAATAATTTCATTTTGTATCATTTTGTAGACAGGGACGGCTCCAGTACTTTTTGCAGGAGGGTGTTTGCCAGGTTCCTGAGACAATGTATCCCCCCTCCCTCTTGAAATATTTTGGCATATATTCATATCCATTGAGCTTTTTAAACAGAGAAATCCAACATCCCGTTTGACGTCAATTTTTATTATGATTTAATAAAGCTGAGGATAAAGGATAAAGCACACGGCAGTGACACTTTTCTCATAAAAAGCGGATCCGTCCTTGCAAAAACCGAGCAAGTCGTCATCCTTGCTACCTTTGACTTGTGGCGTAATATCAAAACTCCGTAAATCGATTCACAATTGGCCTAGTAACAAGCATGCCAAGCTTAATGCTGGTGGAACTGCAATTGGCGGAGCCGAGTGTATTTTCGAAAAGCGTGACCCCCAAGACGATCAACAAGAACACGATGAGTAGCTCTCGGGGAACAGTTCCATGTCCAAAAAAAAAATGTTAATAGGGGATATATATACTCTTCAAAAAAAAAAGAAACGTATGGCCTATGTTCATCGTTTTTTTTATTTGCACGGGGTCATTGTTTCCATAAATCTCACTTGTTTTAATGTCATTATGTAAGGATAAAGGAAATTCATGATTGATTTTAAATGTACGGTCACTTATTGTGACTGGTCATCATTTTTACTTAGACGAAAATATCAGCCAAATAGCTCTTGGAATGGCTACAGATGCAAGGAAATGACAGATAATTTTCTTGCCCCCCCCCCCCCCCGATCTCAGCGGCGTGCCCCCCTTTTCAAAATTCCTAGATCCGCCCCTGTACCTGGCTAAATATATGTGAAAAAAACAAAATTGAATTTTGCAAAATAAAATGATAAGTCAGACGGCATGTATTAACCGTAGACACAGACTGGTCATTTATTTAGTTTGAGTCATTCTGTGAGTCTATCATAGACTCACGGAATGACTCAAACTAAATAAAGAAAAACACAGCCATGAACTCCAGTGAATACTCAATTGGGATCACGTGGTTTTTCGCATTTTCTTAGTGTGGCGTGCAAAATTTCGCGGCACACTTATTAGAAAGATCTTGGGCACACAGGTTGACAATCTGCACTGACGTACACAATGACTGTTCTGGATGACAGAAGCTTTAGCCATAGCAATTTATGTCTGGAAAACCCAGTCATGCTTTATACCGGAAGTAAACAAACATAGCGGGGTCGCTGAATGAAATGCTGTTATCTATTATGAAAATGATAAGTTTTACACAGCGACCACGTTCTTCACTCACTTTATAAGTGGATGTCATCTTGAACGAAGGACCGATTGAAGAGATGAAAAGATATAGCCAAGGTATAACATACATGTATCTAACTCCTACTGTCCTACTCCTAGCTATAGTGATAACATTTTGTTCATGTTGATGTTCAGGTTGTAACAAGCATGATCATGATGAAGAGTGCAGAGATGTACGGGATGAGAATTAAAATAGAGGCAGTGGCTATTGTTAGGACGAGTCGTAAAAATAGTCCTCAGACTATTGTTACGACGATGCTTTCACAGCCCTCCATCGGCGAAGTTAAAAACTGAATAGTCGTAAAAATAGTCCTAACCCTAACCCTAAGTGAGTACACTCAGGCATGCTAGCCTGGTGGTCGTGGTTTTCGATCCCAGTGTCAGTATTGACCGAGAAAGTACAGCTGGATTTTTCAGCTTAGTGGTTTCCCCTTGTCAGTAGTGCAGGACAGAGGGCCTGACAAGGACAGCTGTCTAGTCACTCGGATGAGATGGAAAACCGAGGTCTCGTGTACACATTGGCGTGCACGAAAAAGATCCCTTGGCAGAATTTCTCTTGTAGCACAATGTGTGGCGTATGCCCGTGTTCATTAGCCCAGTTCGATTAGAACAGTGTAGGACATTAAATTGCATTTCATTTTATTTTATGTAGCAAGAATGATTTTAAAGTCACAGGATTAAAAAATGGTCAATACAGAGAGAACCCGGTATTGTAAATAAACTTTATAAAATGAGTTGCCTGAAGAAGATAAGTAATAAAATAATATGGGCCTTAGAAACTGTATTTTTTAGGTGAGTTGTTGTCCTAATTGGTAAATATAGTTGTATGCTATCTTTATAAATCTAAGATAGGAATATAATGAAAAAAATGTGGGGTATAATTTACTCACATTCTATAAAATCTGCATGAATCCACAGTTGCGATTACATGTATGGAAGATTAGATAAGGAACTGGCAATTCACACAGCAAATTGCTCCACTCTGAATTAAGATAGCAGCGATTGAATATTAAGCCCAAGCTCGATCATCATTACTAAAGTCAGTACGATAAAAAAACATTGTCTCGATTGTCCATTTTTTGATTTAATCATCACTGAGCGTTGACCAGCAGATCATATTTAAATCCAGTGAAAATCCGACACATAAGATGTCATCGAGAGTAGATTAAGGTCTTTTCGTGTTAATAAATTTCTAATTAATAGTTTAAATAACATTTCAGGCCTAAAGAAAGACCTGCAATAGGCAGATTTAGCTCTTGCATAATTCATCTTTATGAGTAGTATTAGATGTGCATTACAATCAGTTCTGGATTTATATATGAGCTGAGCGGGCTGCGACCTAGTGCCTTCAAATCTGTCAAAACCTGTCATCTTATCAACGTCCCCTCGACACAAACTAGGGACTAACATAGTGCAATTTTATTTCAGTAGTTTGCTTTCACGTAGGAGTCTTTAGCTGTGGGCTTCGGAGGAAAGGAAATTGCAGATCTTCCAATCATACCAAGCCATGATCCAATGATCTATCTTTAATTCGCCAAAGTTTTGTGTGTAACATCAGCTGTCTGTTTGGCAGCTGTTCTGAATTCATGTTGTGTATAAATCAGACTTCTAATGACTTTAAATAGATAAAGATGTTCTTTTTTATTCAGAGGTATTTTTACACACTGATTTTATTTTCCAGGCTTGGTTTGTTTATTGGATATTATCCATGGGTAACTATATTCTTCTCTGTGGCTATATGTGGATGCTGTGGTATTGGTATGAAAACATTCAAGGAAACAGATGCCCAGGAGAAGCTGTGGGTTCCTCAAGATTCTAGAGTTCAGAATGAGCTCAAGTGGGTTACTAAACAGTTTCCAGCTCAAACAAGATATGTATCTGTGGTTGTAACTTATCCTGATGTTCTCATGCCATCCGTTCTGAATGCTGTAAGTCTGTTGTTAGGTATCGTACCTATGTTCTATCTTTTTTTCAAAATTGGAAATAATGTCATTGTCTATAATGCCTTGTCAAATGATTTTAAGTGAGAAATCGTAAATTGGGCGCCTTCTTTTCGTCTGGGATTCACAGTGGCTTAGTAGGGGAGGGTGCTGAGTGCTGACTCACTAAACAGAAGGTTCGGACTCCGTCCAAAGTGTTGGCTGAGACAAATTATTGGGATTTTCTGGCATGATTTTCTTTTGTCTGGCAAGGAACATTGTCTTTTTGTTCAGATTGTATGAAAACCCACCAATTTGTTTTTCTGTTCCCGAAGAAATAAAAAGAAAATTTTTTACATGTTTTTACAAAGAGCAGAAAATCTATGTAATGCATAATGTTTCCTGCTATTAGTATGCCACATGGGGAGTTGGTTGGCCAAATGGTTAGCTAGTGTGTGCTGTATCATAAGGCCTGTCATTGAGTCAACTGGCGTGGTTTCGAATCCCCGGTTGTATGTGATAAGGATTAGGGTCGCCTGTCCAACCTTGTGGGTTTTCTCCAGGTCCTCTGGTTTCCTCCCACTGCTAAAGACCCCTACGCGCAAGCGAATTATTGAAATAAAATTAAACCATATGTTACATGTAGTCCCGAAATGACCTAGTTTGTGTCGAGTGGACCTTAAACCCCATCTCTCTCTCTCTCTCTCTCTCTCTCTCTCTCTCTCTCTCTCTGTATGTCACATATATCTGACCCAAACTTCCTTTAAAGGAATTACTTTAAATGAAATGGGGGTTTAACGCCCTACTTTTTTGCTCGGACTGGGGTAATGAAGACAGGCATACGCCATAAAGTGTGTGCTATGAGGGAAATTTTGACCAGACAGCGGTCCTATTTGTCCTACTCTTTTTTTGAATTTCAAGGTTTCTTTAAGCATGTTCCCTCCATTGTGGAGACAGGACCTTGATTTTCTGTCCTATTCGAACAACTTGACATTTTCCTTGCTAGGCCCTCCATCCTGCACCACTAACAATGGGAAACTATGCCAGAAAATCCTGAGAAACTTTCTTGAGTAAATACTGAGATCGAACCCAAGCGATCCAGCTTCATACTCACCGGGCCTGACAAGGACAGCTGCCTAGTCGTTCGGATGGGACGAAAAACCGAGGTCCCGTGTACACATTGGCGTGCACATAAAAGATCCCTTGGCAGTTGGAATTCGATATAAGAGTAGGCCGTAGCGCCGCTGCCCGGGCAAAATTTTCCTCATAGCACACTGTATGGCGTATGCCCGTCTTCAATTAGCCCAGGTTAGGTGCAGAAGAGTAGGACGTTAAACCCCACTTCATTTCATTTCATTTCACACTCACCGAGTCACTGCAGCTCTCTCAATAGAATTACAATAATGAATAATGTTGCTTGATATCATAATATAGTAATGTTAGAAAATCTCAGGTTTACAGTTTTTATTTCTCGGTTATTAAAGGGCGTACGGCTCTTATCTTTTGAACCTTAAAATGGAAGAAATTTGGTCTAAAAGTACATATGAATGTAATATGAATGTATATAAAGTGATTTATATTCAATTTTCAACATTGACTCTTTTATTTGGAACTTTTAAAGAGACGAAAATGGTTCTAAAAGCAAATACTGATGAAATATGAATGTATATACGTAAAGTGATTTATATTCATTTGAAAAAAATATATTGTAATTGCTGATCAATTATGTTCGGTGAAATACACGAACATCCCAAATTAAATGGCCACCTTTTACAGTTACTATGTCCAGTCTACATGTTTTTAGTATTATTATTTTGTCGTTTGTGAATCAGCTATTAATAATTACTTCTGCATTGTGTTGTAGGATATGCTTGTCTTTGTTCATTATACATGGCATTTGAAACCAAAGGGTACCCAAATATTGGATATTTGGATCCCATATTTTCTGGCAAGATAACAGCATCAATATTGATTGAAATGGACCAATATTGAATTCCATTTCATGTTTTTAATTTTGAATATTAAGGACACTATCGAGTTAAGAGATATAGCTCCTTTAAGTCTGAATAAATCTAAGCAATGTTAGAAAATCTGTGATTAACAATTTTTATTTTTTTTCTCAGTTATTAGATCTGAATCAAGAATTTACAAGTTATACTGGAGGTGGTAAATCCTATACCACTCTCTGTTACAAGTAAGTCAACTTTTCAGCCATTTTTGTTACTGCAGATGGTAAATCCTATACCACTCTCTGTTACAAGTAAGTCAGCTTTTCAGACATTTTTGTTACCGCTGATGGTAAATCCTATACCACTCTCTGTTACATTCAATCTGATTGAAACACAGATCCTATAACGTTTTGATTTCTATAGTTCAAATTTTGTTTTACTTGCCTGCGCTACACAAAGATCTGGAAGATTTGTTAAATATCCGGCATTCTGGTTGATGTAAGGATTAGCCAATCAAATTATCTGTTGGATCAATTTCTTGGCCTGCAGTGTGCAGAACTGTGGGTAAACATTATCGGCAGTAGAAAACTAAATCAAAGCAAAGGTTGTATTTCCGAGTACCTACTTGTTACCCCGACGCCGATTGGTTAACCAAAGACTGACATCATAGGGTAAAAAGCACTTGATAACCCCTGACGCGAACTCGCGCTACAACCAGTCAGATCTTCATTTAAGCATAAAAAAAAATGAAAACAAAATATAAATCTGTATTTTAATCTGATTGTGTTACATAAGAAAAAATAACAAGCAATGACCCAACATGTCTCCTATGTGTGTAAGCAATATTAATATTATTTATAACCTAGCTTTTAGATAGTATGCTTACCACTAAGCAGCTTGTTTAATTGTGGTCTGAAACCGCCTGCATAAATAAGATAAGTGTTATGCCCCTTTATTTTCGGTAAAAATGTCCAACAAGAAAAATTTTGAAAATCCATCACTGCCTAAGCTGAATATTGGTTGAATGAATGGAGCAAAGAATAAATTATTATGGGGGAAATGTGTGTATAAAAAAGTACTGGATAACCAGACAAATAACTTCATTGACAAAAATAATCATAATATTGAATTATAGTAAAAATACATTCATTGTAAGAGATGGTGTGCCATGCTACCCAGGTGTATTGAGTATGCGGCTAAAGAACTTATATCTCTGTCTAAGTTATTTGGTTTTATTTTACAGATTAGGAACATCATGTCGTGTGACTGGTCTATTAGAATTATGGAGTTACGATGAATCAAGTATCAGATCTTTAACTAGAGATCAGATATTGACGACAGTTAATACAACAAATAAAAGGTGAGAGAGAGAGAGAGAGAGAGAGAGAGAGAGGTCTTTCACAGTGGGAGAATACCAGAGGACCCGGGGTGAAACCAAATGAGGTTGAATAGACGACCCTTCTCGTGTCACGTATAAGCAGGGAATCGAAACCATTCTATGATAATTTTGGCTATAACGTTTTGGAGTACTGGTGATTCTTTTTGAGCTGGTGCAGAAAGTTAAACCTTGTTTCATTTCGTATGATTTTGTTTTTTTGACATGTATTGACTGAGTTTTCGTGTACGTATCATCAAATATGAATTTGGTAGTTCAGCAGTCCGACATTATAATTCTATATAAATATTTTTTTAGTCCTGTATTTGGTACAGATCTTGATGTTAAAAACTATCTTGGTGGATTCATACGACGCAATGGGAATGGTATGATTATAGGAGCAGAGGCTACACAGATGTTATGGCTGCTTAAACCAGTAAGTTAACTGTATTATGATAGTATAACACTTGGTAAGATTACAATAACTGTGTTTAAACCAGTTAGTTAAGTGTATTATGATAGTATAACACTTGGTAAGATTACAATAACTGTGTTTAAACCAGTAAGTTAACTGCATTATGATACTATAACTCTTGGTAAGATTACAATAACCTTGTTTAAACCAGTTAGTTAAACATACATTATGCAAGAGCTAAACCTGCCTTTTGCAGGTCTTATCTGAAATGTTATCTAATATATTAAATATATATAATTAACTTATCCAGACCATAATCAACTCTTGATGTCAATGCTAGCCTGCGATATCTATTGGATTAGGATCCATGAAATGGATAATCTAGACTATGTTTTTTTATCATATCGACTTTAGTAATGATGATCGAGGCTAGGCCGAAAATTCAATCGCTAAAACCTTGGTTCAGAGTGGATCAATTTGACTGAAATTTTCAGCAAATTCTCTTTACATTATCTAGTTTTTAACTATTATAGTGAGAACTGCCAGCTCTTTATCTAATCTCCCATAATGTATCTTTAACTGTATTATGATACTAGAGGGAGAGAAATAGGCTTTAACGTCCACACAACACGCACTAGGTCATTTCAGGACTAAAATAGGTTTCAATTTTATTTCAATAAATCGCTTGCACATCTTTAGTAGTGGGAGGAAACCAGATGACCTGGAAATAAATTATGAGGTCGGATTGGCGACACAACTCCTCACGTACAAGCAGGGGAATCAAAACCACACCACTCGTTTCATTTACGGACCTTAATATCTAAAGCACACAAGTTAAACCATTTGGCCACCGAACCCCAAAAAAATACTACAACACTTACTATGAATTCAGGGGTGTTGGATGGCTGAATGGTTAGCGTGCGCGTGCTGTATCATAAAGTCTGTCATTGAGTCGACTGGCATGGTTTCGAATCTCTGGTTGTACGTGGCAAGGAGTAGGGTCGCCTGTCCAACCTTGTGGGTTTTCTCCGGGGCCTCCGGTTTCCTTCCACTGTTAAAGACCCCTACGCGCAAGCGAATTATGTAAATGAAATTAAACCATATGTTAGTCCCGTAATGACCTAGTTTGTGTCGAGTGGACGTTAAACCCCATTTCTCTCTCTCTCTCTCTCTCTCTCTCTCTCTCTCGCTATGAATTCACTCACTATGTTTATGAAATGAAATGATGATTACACTCAGGTATCATTTAAAGACTCAATACCACTCTTGTTGTAACTGAATAATATGTCCCAATCTTTATTCTGGTCAACAAATTGTACTTTTACAATATTTCAATTAATTGATGATACAAATTTCATCTTAACACACCTTAGTTAAAAATTTTGAAAAATTCAACATATTGGTTTGAAGCGTCTTAACGTAAACCTTTTCAAATGAAACTTCAATTTAAAAATATTTTCGAACCCTCTGGACAAGTAAAATAGGATGTAATGGATAATTTACACAACAGGTAGGACACTTAAACATCTAGTACTTAGATAGAGATATTATTTATTTTCTGGAGCTTTCAAGCCAGCAAGAGTGTTATTGTCCCTTTAATCTTGTGTATTTGTTAAAAAATAAACAAAGCAATTGATTATATGTATAATGATTAATTTTTGAACAGAGGTCAGGAAATTAAATACTTGTAAATTGAACACTCATTATCAAAATTAATCAGTCAGTTTTAAACTGGACACAAGTACAAATTAAATGATTTGGGGTGATTTTAAATGATTTTTACAAATTTTTAAACAAAGATTTGATAATTATTTAAACGAATGTGAAAGAAATTAGGCTAGATACACAAGATTAAATGATATCGGGGTTACAGTTTAATCTAGTGTTGGTATTTTTGTTTTGTTTACTTAATTAAATATTAAATAATCAATCCGATAATATATTTAGCGTGGATTAAGCAGTGAGAAATTTGGTATTTTAGCGATAAATGCAAATCGTATCTTTAACAATTGTAATTCTTATTAATATCTGTATTTGTTTCAGAGTGTGGCAGCTAAAGAATGGGAAGCCAAGGTCATAGAAAGAGCACTTCAAGGTCATAAAGATTTAAAGAATGTTTATGTTTATGCTTCAAGAAGGTATTTTTGTCTTAAAAACATTTCATATGAAATTGTATAGGTGAATTGTGTTCACCTGATGTGCTATTTCAATTGGTGATGGTAAAGGCTGTATACGAGTATATTTTTGAAAGACCTTGCCAGCTAAAGTCAATTGTTGATTGCTACTTTCATTTTAATTTTTGGCTTACCTTGTCAAATGAAATGAAATAATGGCGTGTTTGTTCTTTGGACAACTGCACATCAATTACGAGATTTTGATTTTTGATATGTCACAATTTCAAGATGGCTGCTTGGTTTTTAGTCCATAGTTTTCTAGTTCTTGTTTATAAAGATATTGACATCGATTTTCTCTCTTAGTTTTCAGGACGAAGGATATGGTGCTATAAATAGCGACATTAAACTTCTCTCCGCTGGTTTCAGTATCGTATTTGTTTTTGTGATGATCTCATTGGGTAATTTTAATATGGTGGAACAAAGGGTAAGACCTGAAGTTATAGTCTTTGTATTTTTTTATACCACTAATTATTTGTCAACAGCATTTACTTTAAAGCTGCATTATGTAAGATTTAGATAAAGAGCTGACCGTTCTTGTTATACTAGTTTAAAGTTACATTATGTAAGATTTAGATAAAGAGCTGACCGTTCTTGTTATACTAGTTTAAAGTTACATTATGTAAGATTTAGATAGTTTAATAGTTTAAAGTTACATTATGTAAGATTTAGATAGTTTAATAGTTTAAAGTTACATTATGTAAGATTTAGATAAAGAGCAGGTTGTTCTTGTTATAATAGTTTAAAGCTGCATTATGTATGATTATATAAAGAGCTGACCATTCTTGCTATAATAGTTTAAAGATACATTATGTAAGATTTAGATAAAGAGCAGACAGTTTTTTCTATAATAGTTAGAAAATATATAATACAAAATGGATAAATTTACTTTATTCTGAGCAAAGTTATGAGTGTTAAGTTTTGACATGAGATAGCAGAGATTGTTTCTTATCGTAGCAAAGGTCGTAACAATTGAGACTAATCTCGATTCACCATTTTTAATTTAAATTGTAATTCAAACCGTTGTTATCTCGGCTATCCGAATGTCTAGTGAGTCGATTAAACATACAATATGCAAGAGCTAAATCTGCCTATTTCAGGTCTTTCTTTAGGCCTGAAATGTTATCTAAATTATTAATTAGACATTAATTAACTTATCCAGACCATAATCAACTCTCATTGTTATCGCTAGCCCGCGATATTTACTGGATTAGGATCCGATTTGCTGCTCAACTTTCATGCATGATTTAATTATAAAATGGATGATCGACACAATGTTTTTTTATCGTACCGAATTTAGTAATGATGATCGAGGCTAGGCCAAAAATTCAATTGCTAAATTCTTGGTTCAGAGTGGATCAATTTGACTGAAATTTTCAGCTAATTCCCTTTACATTATCTAGTTTTTAACTATTATAGTGCGAACTGACAGCTCTTTATCTAATCTCCCATAATGTATCTGTAAGTGCTTGTCATATTAATAAATGTCTAAATAATTTGAAGCCAAAATAAAAAACTGTAATAGGCAGATGTAGTTCTTACATAATGCATCTTTAAGGCCACTTCAAGGGTATTGTTCTTACTGAAATCCAAATAGAATGTAATTGGGTTTAGCATCTTACCTTGATGCAGCAACTGGTCTGGTCAGGTGTTCCTAGTGGTTTAACACATGCGAGTGAAATCACAAGGTCTGTCATTGAGTCAGTTATCTTGTTTTGGATTTGCAAATAATTTGACAAATTAAGTTATATAATTTGACAAATTAAGTTATATAATTTGACAAATTAAGTTATATAATTTGTAAGAAATTTTCAATGATTCTTAAGAAATTTTTAATGATTCTAAAGAAATTTGCAAGGACACGTAAGAAATTGGCAAGGGTTCCTAAGAAATTGGCAAGGACATCATAAGAAATTTGCAAGGGTTCCTAAGAAATTTGCAAGGAGTCGTAAGAAATTTGCAAGGACATGTAAGAAATTGGCAAGGATTCCTAAGAAATTTGCAAGGACTCGTAAGAAATTGGCAAAGACATGTAAGAAATTGGCAAAGATTCATTAGAAATTTGCAAGGCTTCATAAGAAATTTATTTGCATGGATTTGTAAGAATTTTGTAAGAAAGTCGCAAGGATTTTTGTAATATTTCTCCAGGCAAATCTGCAGATCGAGTAGCACTATATTTTATAAATGCTTAGTATTGTATGTCTTTCATTCATACCATATTTGTTCTTGTACTATCAACAGATAATTGTGTCTCTACTGGGTTTAGGAAGCGTTGGACTTGCTATATTATTTGCATATGGTATTGCTACATTTTTAGATGTTATTTACGGTCCTATTCAATCCATCATGCCATTTTTATTATTAGGTAAGTCTTGTTATTACTTATTACAAGGGGGGTCACGTGGCTTGCTAGCCTGGAGGTCGGGAGTTTGATCCCTGCATTGGCCGAGAAAGTTCAGTAATGCAGGACGGAGAGCCTGACAAGGACAGCTGTCTAGTCGTTCGGATGGGACGAAAAACCGAGGTCCCGTTTACACATTGGCGTGCACGTAAAAGATCCCTTGGCAGTTGGAATTCGATATAAGAGTAGGCCGTAGCGCCGCTACCCGGGCAAAATTTCCCTCATAGCACACTGTATGGCGTATGCCTGTCTTCATTAGCCCAGGTTAGGAGCAGAACAGTAGGACGTTAAACCCCATTTCATTTCATTTCATTTCATTACTTATTACAAATAATGTTTTATGGTATTACATGGCATCAATCTGATTAAAACACAGATCCTATTTCGTTTCGTTTTTTATAGTTCAAAATTCCGTTTTACCTGTCTTCACAACACTAGGATCTGGAAGAATTGTAATATAACAGGCATTCTAGTCTGTAACGCTGAGTTCTTAGCGTGCTCTGCACAGAACTGTGGGTAAACCCCTAGAAACGTTGAGGCTGATTGATTAATCAATGTCTGATGTCATAGGGGCAAAAGCCACTTGTATGACCCCTGGCGCGACCTCCCTGTACAACTTGTCAGATCTTCATGTAGTGTTATCCATTGAAAGTATAGAAAAACAAAATGAAATAAAGATCTGTATTTTAATCAGATTCACATGTCATATTTCATATTTGATCGTATTGCACGGTGTGTATTGTTTTTTATGGTATGAAATTTCGGCCTTTCTTAGTGCTTCAGTTTTTTAAAAAAAATATGCATGTTTGGTGTGAAGTCAATATTCAACATTCTACGACCTTCTGTTCTGAAGTTAAGCCCCCCTTTCCAAAAAATGTTGTTAACATGAAAGCTTTCCTCAACATACCATTCAAGAGTTACCTCCCAAACCCCCTTGCATATACTCTTTGTATATATGTATTAATGTTATGAATCATATTATCTTATTACATAATTTGAGATCATCTGTTTTGTTTTATGGTACGTGTTGGTTTCTAATTGTTGATTTTTCTTTATTTGTATATTATTATATCATGTATTTTATGTCAGGCATGTATGTTATGTATCCTGTTTTATGTTGGAGCCACGGTGGCTAAGTGGGTAAGAAGCTGGCTTGATAGCCTTGAGGTCGCTTGTTCGATCCCTGCATTGGCCGAGAAAGTTCATACGTGCCAGTGGTGCAGAACAGACATCCTGTTAAAGCCAGCTGTCTAGTTTTTTGGATGGGACAAAAAACCAATGTCTCATGTATACATTGGTATGCACATAAAAGATCTTTTGGCAGTTGGAATTTGATATAAGAGTAGGCCATAGCACTGCTGTCCGGACAAAATTTCCCTCATATATGGTGTACGTCTGTCTTCATTAGCCCACTCGGGGCAGAACAGTAGGACGTTAAACCCCATTTCATTTCATTTCTGTTTTATATTATAACATAATAACATTTATGTATCTTGTTTGATAGTACATAATGTTTTAAAAATGTTGTTTCAGGTATTGGAGTGGATGACATGTTTGTTATTGTAGAAGCATGGAGGAATCTATCACCTAATGAATTAAAACTACCGTTACCAGAACGTATTGGTACCGTGTTGAAACATGCTGGTGTATCAGTTACTGTAACATCTATAACAGATGTAGTGGCTTTTGGTATTGGTGCTTCAACGGTATGATATAATATTAAAGATACATTGTCCTGAAAGTATTTATCGAGTGGTTATTTTCAATAAAAGTATGGCAAATATCACTGTAACCCAGGTATCATTTAATCTTGTGTATCTAGCACTAATTTCTTTCACATTCATTCAATATCAAATCTTTGTTTAAAAATTCGTTAAAAATATTTAAAATCACCATAAACCGTTAAATTTGTACTTGTATCCAGTTTAAAGCTGACCATTCAATTTTGATAATGAGTGTCCAATCTACAAGTGTTTAATTTCTCAATCACTGTTAAAAAATAAACAACCCAATTGATTAATGATGTATAATGATTAATTTTTGAACAGTGGTCAGGAAATTAAATACTTGTAAATTGGACACTCATAAATTAATCAGTCAGCTTTATACTGGACACAAGTACAAATTAGATGATTTTTGGTGATTTTAAACGTTTTTTGCGAATTTTTAAACAAAAATTTGATATTAAACGTATGTGAAAGAAATTAGTGCTAGATACACAAGATTAAATGATACCTGGGTTACAGTGTATAGACACCCAATCTTACTAGAGAAATACTGGATTACCAGCTTATCTTCCCACAGTCTCATATAACCACTTTTGATCTTCAAAGGAATTATTAGTGAGCATAAATTCGCCCGTGTATCTGTCACTCGTCACTTCTATAAGTTATATAGAGGGATAACTCGTGTTTTCCTTTTGCTTTCGTCACTTCCGTTTCCTGAAATTTTCATTACGCATCTATCGTAGCAATGACCTCTGTATTAAAATTATATTTGAAATGTGTTTAACCAGTTCTATCACATATGTGAGGATGACTGACACCAATATTGTCCTTTCAGAGCTAAATCTGCTAAATGCATGAACTGAAAATAAGTTTTTATGATATATTTACATTTCAGGTCATTCCAGCTTTAAGCGCCTTTTGTATCTATGCAGCTCTGGGAATATTTGCTTTATACATTTTACAGTCTACGTTTTTTGTGGCATGTTTAGCAATTGATGCGAGGCGTCGTCAGGCACATCGTAATGCCTGTATATGTTGTTATAAACATCAAAACTATAAACCTAACAGCTGTAGTCAAAAGGCTTTTCTTCCAGTTTTCTTTGAAAAATACTTTGGACCTTTTTTAATGAAGTTACCAGTAAAGGTATGTTTTGTTTAATTATTATTTTGATTTTAAAACTTTCCGTGAAGACAAAAGATACTATATGTATTAACCCAGACTGTATCTGAAATCTATGTATTGAAAAACGAATTAGTCAAAATGCTGTGTACATGTAGCCGTAGCTTGCCGAGATGACATAAATTTGTACTCATAGCTTGCTGAGATGACATGAATGGGCACTGATGGCTTGCTGAGATGACATGAATTGGCACTCATAGCTTGCTAAAATGACATAAATGTGCACTCATAGCTTGCCAAGATTACATAAATGTGTACTCATACCTTGCCAAGATTACATAAATGTGTACTCATACCTTGCAAAATTTATATCAGTATTTCATACAGTTTTGATTCTCGATTATATATGAGTTTCATTCAGTGATGCTAAGAATTGTGTTTTAGCGCGTAAGTTGCTGGGTCAGTAACCATGGCATCTTGGGTTGGCAGAGAAATTTTCTCGGGTATTTCCAGCATGGTATCGCCTTGTCACGACAAGCTTTTTTGTCACATAATGATTTCCATCCTAATTGTGTTGTTTTATTATTTCAGATTATAGTCATGTTAATAGTAGCTATATTAGTTGGGGTTAATTTATGGCGATTTATTTTATTAAAACAAGATTTTAATTTAACGAACTATATTCCGTCAGATTCATACGCCTATGATTATGCAAAGGCTAAAGAGAGATACTTTGTTAATGAAGGAACAGACACAGCAGTTTATTGTGGTAAGAATCTTTATTGAACCTGTTATAGATGTAAATTTAAAGGTGCTAAATCACTAATATTTGCGACCTTGACATTGACACAAATGTGTCGCAACGCATATAATAATGTAATATGAATGTATATAAACTGATTTACATTCAATCGTTTCCATTTTTACTCTAATTTCAAATCATTTATGTTCATCTAAATACAGTCAATTGATAATCTCTAGCATCTGGTTATTCCAGTCTACACAGATAGTATTTATTGCGCATGCTCCCCAGATATGAATATAATGTCACTGTTTGACATGAATTGTGGAATATGTCTAGCCTCTTTCCTCGAGTCGCTTATTACAAATGGTGCTGAAACGCATCATGGTACACGATTCGTGTACCAATGGTAAAATGTTTATTTTGTCTTTAATATGGTATATCAGAAGTCAATCTCTTCCTGGTAAGATCACAACCTCAATGTTGATTTAAATTGATAATTGTGTCAAGTGGATCTCTTACTATTTATCTGTTCGTATTCTATTAAATATATTTTCAGGAGATATAAATTATTTTGATCATATACGTAAACTAGACGTAGTACATCATCTGATAGAATCTGATACTTATATACAAGATGGTACATTAATTAGCTGGTTTAAATCCTTTCAACAATATCAAACAGCTACAGGTTGGTTTATATCCTTTGTTAAAAGGTGGTTGGTGATTGGTTCTTCTATCTTTCTTCTATCTTTGGACTGCATTGGCCGAGAAAGTTCATCCAGATTTTCCAGCGTGGTTTCCCCTTGTCAGTGGTGCAGGACAGAGGGCCTGACAAGACAACTGTCTAGTCGTTTGGATGGTACGAAAAACCGAGGTCCTGTGTGCACATTGGTGTGCACGTAACAGATCCCTTTGCAGTTGGAATTCGATGTAGAGTAGGCCGTAGCGCCTGGGCAAAATTTCCCTCATTGTACACTGTATGGCTTATGCTCGTCTTCATTAGCCCAATTTAGGAGCAGAACAGTAGGACATTAAACACCATTCCATTTCATTTCTATCTTTGGATGGCCGAATGGTTAGCGTGTGCGCTATATCATAAGGTCTGTCATTGAGTCAACTGGCATGGTTTTGAGTCCCCGGTTGTACGCGATATTGAGTAGGGTCACCTGTCCAATCTCCGGTTTCCTCCCACTGCTAAAAGGTGGCTTGTTTGCGAGTGATCGTTATCTTTTGGGGGGGGGATGGCCAAATGGTTAGCGTGTGTGCGCTATATCATAAGGTGTGTCATGGTTTTGAGTCCCTGTTTGTACATGACAAGGACTAGGTCGCCTGTCCAATCTTGTGGGTTTTCTCCGGGTCCTCCAGTTTCCTCACACTGCTAGAGATCCCTACACGCAGGCGATTTATGAAATAAAATTGAACCATATGTTAGTCCAGGAATGACCTAGTTTGTGTTGAGTGGACGTTAAACTCCATTTCTCTCTTTCTCTGTTCTATCTTACCTTAAAAGGTGAAGGTTAAAAAGTGGTGTATAATACATGGTGTTGGCCGATTTAAATCATTATAAATATCAAAGGGGAGGGGGGGACGTAGTTGATAAAAAAAGGAGGGGAACCACAGTAGCTCTGTGAGTAAGACTTTAGATAGCTTTACTGGAGGTCCAGTGTTTGATTCTGTTGTTGGCAGAGAAAATTCGAAATAAGGGTAGGCTGTAGTGCCGCTGTCTGGGCAAAATTCCCCTCATAGCACACTGTATAAAGTATGTTTGTCTTTATTAGCCCAGTCAGTGCAGAACAGTAGGATGTTAAATCCCATTTCATTTCATTATAAAAAGGAGGAATTTTTCTTTGTATTGTCAGATTTCCTGTTGAATACCTACGTTGCAACAACATTTCATTTAAGTGTCTATTGTCGTCACTCCTGTCGCCCTAACCCCGAAATCCAAAACCCTCCCTTATTATAATATACTATGTATATACATCATGAATTATGTACATATTTGATTTTTTTTTTTTCAGGGGTTCCAATTACAACAGAAGCTGAGTTTAATTCTGCTGTCTTCCAGTTTACAAAAACAGCTGGTCAAAATCTTAAAACATTTATTAAATTTAACTCGACAAGGGAACCTGTAAGAATAATAGTATGTATTGTTTTTATTATGTCTTAATTATCCCCACTTTGAGTAAATTGAATCCTTATCTAAGGAGGGGGGGTTGGATGGCCGAATGGTCTGTCATTGAGTCAACTGGCGTGGTTTCGATTCCCCGGTTGTACATGACAAGGAGTAGGGTCATCTGCCAAACCCATGGGTTTTCTGCAGGTCCATTAGTTTCCTCAAACTATTACTACTATTACTAATAATATTAATAATCATTTTCTATAGCGCTGCACATTCAGTCGGTCTGACTGCTCTGTGGCGCTTTAAATACCCCTACGACGAGCAAGCGAATTATTATATTAAAACTGAACCTTTGTTAATCCCAAAATTATCTAGTTTGTGTACAGTGTACGTTAAACCCCATTTCTCTCTCTCTCTTTATTTCAGTCATCATATTTTACTATGAAACATACATTACAACCAGATTCAGCTGGTGAAATAGATGCCATGCAATCATTACGATCTATTATAGATAACGGCATGTTTCCGTTATACAATAGACCCGATCAACCAACCTATAAATGTTTTTCTTACTCTAGGAATTATCTTACGTATGAAACTAATAAAGTAAGTATTTTAAATATTCTCTTAAGATAAGTAATATTGCTTTCTGTTCTATGGGAAATGAAATGAAATGAAATGAAATGGGGTTTAACGTCCTACTGTTCTGCTCTGAACTCAGCTAATGAAGACATGTATACGCCATACAGTGTGCTTTGAGGGAAATTTTGCCCGGATAGTGGCACTATAGCCTACTCTTATATCGAATTCCAACTGTCAAGGGATCTTTTATGTGCATGCCAATATGTACACGGGATCTTGTTATTTCGTCCCATCCGAACGACTAGACAGCTGTCCTTGTCAGGCCCTCCGTCCTGCATCACTGACAAGGGAGAACCACGCCGGAAAATCTGGATGAACTTTCTCGGCCAATGCAGGGATCGGACACCCAACCTCCAGGCAAGTCTGTTCTTTGGGGTTTTTCATACTGTAATACTAACAAGAATGACTTGTCATGTTGGGGGGTTGGATGGCTGAATGGTTAGCGTGCGCGCACTGTATCATAAAGTCTGTCATTTAGCCGACTGGCATGGTTTCGAATCCCCGGTTGTAAGTGACAAGGAGTAGGGTCGCCTGTCCAACCTCGTGGGTTTTCTCCGGGTCCTCCGGTTTCCTCCCACTGCTAAAGACCCCTACGCGCAAGCGAATTATTGAAATAAAATTAAACCATATGTTAGTCCGGAAATGACCTAGTTTGTGTCGAGTGGACGTTAAACCCCATTTTTCTCTCTCTCTCTCTTGTCATGTTTCTTTTTTGGTTTAATTCCTGTTTAAAGTAGCTAATCTCTAACACAATATCGTCCAAATCTTTGACTTTGAAAACACGAATTATTTGTCAATTTAAATCAACATACCGGGAAAAGATGGGCTTCTGATATTTAAGACAAAATAAACATTTTACCATTGGTACATTAATCGTTTCAGTGCCATTTGTAACAAGGGACCCAAAGAATGAGGCTAGACATATTCCACAAGTCATGACAAATGGTGACCCATATTCTTATCTGCAGAGCATGCGCAATAAATACTATCGGTGTAGACTGGAATAACCAGACACTAGAAATTGCCATTCGATTGAGACTTCTGGCGTATTTCGCCGAACATAACTGATTAGAAATTACAGTGGAAACAGAGACGATTGAATGTAAATCAGTTTATATACATTCATATTACATCGTTATATGTGTTGCCACCCATTTGTTTCAATATTAGCGATTTAGCTTCTTAAACAAAGAAATTAATTTTAAAGTTCAGCACCAGATTACATATATGTAATATTAATCATAAATACTGCCTAGCTAGATCTCTATGATCAGGTTCCCAGTTTTAATAAACTGTTAAACAGTATAATCTAAAGATCTTTGATACAGATCAATTGCCTTTTAATGCAGCACATCAGTGGAACTGCAATCTGATTAAAACACAGATCTTATTTTTTTTCGTTTTTTGTAGTTCAAAATTTATTTTAACTTGTCTTTATTACACTAGATTCTGGAAGAGTTGTTATATAACCCTCGTTTTGGATGATGTGAGGGATTAGCCAATGAACTAGTTTGTTACAGAGAGTTTTTTTTTGGCGTGAGGTGCACGGAACTGTGGGTAAACCACTAGAATCGTCAAAGCTGATTGATTAATCAATGTCTGACGTCATATGGTCAAAATTCGCTCGTATGACACCTAATGCGACCTTCCACTACAAATGGTCAGATTTTCATGTAATGTAAGCTATTGATGGTATCAAAAAACGAAACGAAATATAGATCTGTATTTTAATCAGATTGATGGAACTGTCTACCATTTTGAACTTTTCAGTGTCTTCAAAAAACTTAAAATCTACCTGGTTAAATGTTCATATTCATCAGCTATTTCCCTATGGAGAACTTGAAACGCCTAAACACTATCACATATTGTACTTTCTACTTGAATACGTCAACACTATTATATTTTTGTTTGTGACATCCGTTGGTATTATTACTATTTCAGGTATTATTAAATGAGTTGTATCGTAATCTGGGTTTAGCAGGTGCTTGTGTTCTGGTAGTAACTTTAATACTTATAGCTAATTTATGGACAAGTTTACTCGTATTTTCCTGTGTTGTCTTTACATTGGTAAGTTTTTCACCTGTGTATAATTTACTCGTATTTTCGGGGGTTGGATGGCTGAATGGTTAGCATGTGCGCATTGTATCGTTCGATCTGTCATTGAGTCAACTGGCATGGTTTCAATTATACGGTTGTTCGTGACAAGGAGTATTGTCATCTGTTCAACCTCATGGGTTTTCTTCGGTTCATCCGGTTCCCTCCCACTGCTAAAGATCCATACACGCAAGCGAATTATTGAAATAAAATTGAACCATATGTTAGTCCCGAAATGACATAGTTTGTGTCTAGTGGATGTTAAACCCCATTTCTCTCTCTCTCTCTAATGAATTGTAAACAGACGTATGGATGTATATTTGTACTGTTTGTGTTTCCACAAAAAAATGGGAACACACTTTTTTTTTAGCAGTGGGAGGAAACCGGAGGACCTGGAGAAAACCCACGAGGTTGAACAGGCGACCCTACTCCTTGTCACGTACAACCGGGGATTCGAAACCACGCCAGTCGACTCAATGACAGACTTTATGATACAGCGTGCGCACACTAACCATTCAGCCATCCAACCCCCCACAATTCATTAGTTCTGATTGGTGGAAAATAATGCATTGTCTCCAATAAAACTACGAAAACTTGTCCTCAATTTATAAGCCCCCCAAAAAGTAACAGTGTTTACGGTCACCCAACAAATCCAAATGTTATTCACCAAAATCGTCAACTCAAAACTTTTTTTTCTTCTAATTTTCCGACCGACCAACGTTGTTATTTTGAGCCAATCAACCGTTAACACAGGTATAAACCATAAAAACAGTGTTTACGGTCACCCAACAAATCTAAATGTTATTCACCAAAATCATCAACTCCAAACTTTTTTCTTCTTCTAATTTTCCGACCGACCAATGTTATTATTTTGAGCCAATCAACCATAAACACAGGTATTAATTCTTTTTTGTTTAATGGTAATTTGGCAGGGTAGTGTACTTCATATCATAGTGTAGCGAAATATTAACAGTAGCTGGTCACCTCCGTTGGGAGCCAAAGCGACTCATTCATTCATTTACATTGGAGGGGGAGCCACAGTGGCTCATTCATCCATTGTCACCGGTAGCCACAATCTGAACGACAGGCTCACCCTACCTGCAGAGAAGTGACTCTGACACAGTGAATAGCCATGATATCCATATGACGTTATCTAAACGTCACAGGTCATGAGGTCAGATCAACAAACAAATTAATGTAAACACCATCATTATGATCATTATCAACATTACAAGACACAATGTTACATTGTAAACAATAGCCTTCCTGCAGCCTTTAGGACTGTATAATCCGTACAGAACGTCTTATTGTTCTTCCAATGATTTTTCACAAAAATAACATCATCTACAACTCTAGATTTGATATCGGCATATTGGCACTATTTTGTGCTTCGGCCGTGTCTATTTCAGATATACACAATCAATTCTGTTAATGTTTTTAGCGTGGGGATTGACTAAAAGTTAATTTATTTCAGTTCTAAACAAAAATTTAAAACTTTAACACAATTTTAAAAAAATAGCCAAATTCTGGCTGGGATTACTGAGCAAAATGGCCATTCACTGTATACGTGCGAAAAAAAAAGCCAGCTACCATTAAATTTTCGTAAGTTAGTTACGTACGAGGTAGCCATGCTGGTCCACCGTGGTGCATTGATTCATTGAACAGTAGTAAAACCACAGTGGCTCATTCATTCATTGTCACAAGAGGGGAGCCACTGAGGCTCGTTCATTCATTGTCACAGGTGGTGGTGCCACCCTAATGCATTCATCCATTGTCACAGGTGAATGGATCTGATAAGATTTTGTACTTTTAGATTTGTGTAGCAGGTACTCTGGAGTTATGGGGTGTAACAATTGATACAGCTAGTTCCGTATTGATGATATTATCCGTTGGTCTAGCTGTAGATTACTCTGCTCATGTTGGTCATACGTTTATGACAATATCTGGAAACAGACAAGGTGAGATTCTTTAAAGTTGCAATTTCAAATTTTTGAGTTATATTTTTAAAATTTATTAAAATAAAGCCTTAAAATAGATGGTATCTATAAACAGTCCTACCTTGTTAAAGAATAATCCTATCAATTCTATAATTCACTATTGCCAGTTGAGAAATTGGCAAAAATATCATTTTCAAACATTTGAAGATAGCTATTCCATGGTGGGGAATAGGAAAACAAGGGAGGTAATTGAATTTTAAGTGTGGGGAAATAATGCCTATGATCATATAATAGTTAGTTGACAACCTTTTGAGCAAAAGACATAGAAATAATTATGTTTTGACTTTCTTAGAAAATATGAAATTCTCGCTTTAAACATTTACATGGTCCTATACTGTAACCTGGGTATTATTTAATCTTGTGTATTTAGCACGAATTTCTTTCACATTCATTCAATAGCAAATCTCTGTTTGATAATTCGTTTAATTTGCACATGTGTCCAGTTTAAAGCTGACCATACAATTCTGATAATGAGTGTCCAATTTACAAGGGTTTAATTTCTCAATTAGTGTTAAAAAAACAAACAACCCAATTCATTATTAATGTATAATGATTAATTTTTTAACAGTGGTCGGGAAATTAAATACTTGTAAATTGGACAATCATTATCAAAATTAATCAGTCAGCTTTACTGGACACATGTACAAATTAGATGATTTTGGTTGATTTTAAATGATTTTTATGAATTTTTAACAAAGATTTGATATTAACGAAAATGAAAGAAATATGTGTTAAATACATAAGATAAAATGAAACTCACGTTAAAGTGTATACTGTATGACATTTGTAACATATTGGGAGGTTCAATGAGTTAGTAGGCACTGACTTGCTAACTTGGGGTTCCAAATGGTTTTCAGGAGCGTTTTCCTTGTGTCAGTGGGGCAGGACGAATGGTCTGACAAGGAACAGTGTCTAGTCATTTGGAATGGAAGAAAAAACAAGGTGTACACATTGACGTGCATGTAATAGAACCCTAGACAAAATTTGAAATAAGAGAAGGCCATAACGCCTCTGGGAAAACTCATAGAACACTGCATGGTGCATGCACGTCTTCTTTAGCCCGGATGGAGCAGAAAAGGCAGAACATTAAACCTCATATGCAGATCTGACCATTTGTACTGGGAGGTCAAGTCAGGGGTCATACGAGCGGCTTTTGACTCTATGACGTCAGACATTTGATTAACCAATCAGCATTGAGAGAGAGAGAGAGAGAGAGAAATGGGGTTTAACGTCCACTTGACACAAACTAGGTCATTTCAGGACTAATATATGGTTTAATTTTATTTCAATAATTTGCTTGCGAGTAGGGGTCTTTAGCAGTGGGAGGAAACCGGAGGCCCCGCAGAAAACCCACGAGGTTGGACAGGCGACCCTACTCCTTGCAACGTACAACCGGGGATTCAAAACCATGCCAGTCGACTCAATAACAGACTTTATGATACAGCGTGCGCACGCTAACCATTCAGCCATCCAACCCTCCCAATCAGCATTGATGTTTTTGGTGGATTAACCACAGTTTCGTGCACCTCACGCCAAAAGCTTGCCATAACAGACCGTTTTATTGGCTAGTCCCTCACATCATCCAGAACATGTCAATGATAACAACTCTTCAAGATCCTAGTGTAGTAAAGACAACTAAAATGAAATGTGGAACTATAAAAAACAAAACGAAATAGGATCTGTGTTTTAATCAGATTTTGGGGGGTTGGATGGCTGAATGGTTAGCGTGCGCGCGCTGTATCATAAAGTCTGTCATTGAGTCGACTGGCGTGGTTTCGAATCCCCGGTTGTTGTACGTGGCAAGGAGTAGGGTCGACTGTCCAACCTGTTGGGTTTTCTCCCGGTCCTCTGGTTTCACCCCACTGCTAAATGAACAATGTGTTAGTCCCAAAATGACCTAGTTTGTGTTGAGTGGACATTAAACCCCCTCTCTCTCTCTCTCTCTCTCTCCACCTAAACCCCCTCTCTCTCTCTCTCTCTCTCTCTCTCTCTCCACCGTTAAACTATGTGTATGTCTGTTTCTATATGTATTTATTATATTTATTTTCAGAAAGATCTCTAAAGACATTAAAGAGTATAGGACCTGCTGTATTTAATGGTGGTTTTAGTACATTCCTAGCTTTTGTTCTACTGTCTACAAGTACTAGTTACGGTTTCTCGCTATTCTTCAGGGTAATACATCTTATTTATTTAAAATAAGGACACTTTTATAGTCTCAAAATATTTCTAACACGTAAAAGGAGAAGGGTGTCTGATAAGGAACACAAGTGTAGCAATGGATAATGAGCTGAACCCAGAGAAAGATACATGTTACTATGATCAGAAACACAAGTGTAGCAATGGTTAATGAACTGAATCCAGCTGTCAAACGCTGTTTACTTGCTTGCCAATGTGTGCACTGGACCTAGCATTTTTTAATTATCCGCATGACTCGCAACTCTTTCTTGCTTGGTCCTCTATCCTGCACCACCAACAAGAGGAAAACAATATTGAAAAAACCTGATGAAAATTGTCAATCAAAACCAGGATCAAACCTGGTAACAACAGGTCCGTGAGCCAGTGCCTTATTCACTGAGGCACCAGCACTGTAACCCAGGTATTGTTTAATCTTGTGTATCTAGCACTAATTTCTTTCACATTCGTTTAATATCCAATCTTTGTTTAAAAATTCATAAAAAATGTTTAAAATCACCATAAATCATTTAATTTGTACATGTGTCCAGTTTATAGCTGACTGATTAATTTTGATAATGAGTGTCCAATTTATAAGTATTTAATTTCCTAATCACTGTTCAAAAGTTATTCATTATACATCATTAATCAATTGGGTTCTTTAATTTTTAACAATGATTGAGAAATTAAACACTTGTAAATTGGACACTCATTATCAAAATTGAATTGTCAGCTTTAAACTGGACAGAAGTACAAATTTTTTTTTTTTTAAATTTGTAAATACTGTTTAAAATCACCATAAATCGTTTAATTTGTGGAAGCGGACGTAAAATACAACTAACCCATCATCATCACAAATTAAACGATTTATGGTGATTTTAAACAGTATTTACAAATTTTTAAAAAAAGATTGGATATTAAACGAATGTGAAAGAAATTAGTGCTAGATACACAAGATTAAACAATACCTGGGTTACAGTGCAGATATCCCTAACACCTATTATTGATTGATGATATAATATTTTCAGGTATTTTTTAGTGTTGTTGTGTTTGGATTGTTTCATGGTTTATGTTATCTCCCTGTAGTATTAAGTTGGGTTGGACCTGCTCCGTATGATAGTGCCTTACCCACAAAATCACAAGATGTTGAGATCAATACTTCATCAAAAAACATTTCAAACGGAAATTCTCAGGTAAACATTTGCTTCTGAAAGATTTGATATTTGTGATCTTAATGGCAGTCTCAAACAATTATATATCAGATGACCCAAGGGTTAGTGGACTTCAACGGAAGGATACGACTGGGGATACTCAGGATGTTTTAACCCCAGTTAGATAGATATTTTAAACTATTAGAAATAAAATGAAATGGGGTTTAATGTCCTACTGTTCTACTCCAACTGGGCTAATGAAGACAGGCATACGCCACACGGTGTGCTATGAGATAATTTTGCCCGGGCAGTGGCACTATGGCCTACACTTACATCAAATTCCAACTGCCAAGGGATCTTTTACATGGATGCTAATGTATACATGGGACCACTGTTATGCTCTGACTGGGCTAATGAAAATGGGAATACGTCATACAGTGTGCTATGAGGGAAATTTTGCTGAGGCAAATATCGAATTTCATCTGCCAAGGGATCTTTTACGTACATGCCAATGTATACACAGGACCACGGTTTTCCATCCCACCCAAACAACTTGACAGCTGTCCCTGTCAGGCCCTCCATCCTGCATCACTGACAAGAGGAAACCATGTCGGAAAAGTCTGATGAACTCTCTCGGGGCAACACCAGGATCGAACACCCAACCTTAAACTATTAGAGTATTTAACACTTTAGACAGATATATATTTTAATCAATTAGAAACTTAATCAAAAATATACAATGCTAATATCTTATTTGCTTATTTCTCTTATTTATTCTATTTTAGCCTCTTGATGGAGATTTTATTTCTTCTTCTCTCATTCAAACTAACAAGGAGGTAGAATATGTTATGTTGATAACTGTTGTGTAGAGTGTTATGTGCCCTCTTTCCCATGTTTCGTGATCCTGTTGTGCTACCCATTTAAATGTGTTTTATTTTTGTGTGTGTTATGCGAACTATGTTCATCCATTTGTCGTATTTTCAAATGATTCCAAAATCAAGTAAACCCTTGGCAACCCACCATGAATGATGTAAATACAGAGATAAAAACAAATCTAAACAAAAAGAAAGTTTGGTTTGTATTACAAGGTATAGAATAAAACTATTTCAGGTATAGGTGTCTGGTAGCTTTATTAATCAAGACAAGGTCTGGTTGAGTTCTTATAGTTTTATTAGACCAGGTATAGGTCTCTCGTTGCTTTATTAATTTCTCGTTAGCTGAAAATGGTGGTTGATTATGATCAAGTAATTAATATTGGATATGCCTAATGTGGTTAACCTGCATGATTTAATGTGATTTAATTTAGTTAATCTGCATGATTTGATGTGATTTAATTTAGTTACGCTGCATGATTTGATGTGATTGAACATTGCTTAGCTGCATGATTTAATGTGATTTAATTTAGTTAAACTGCATGATTTGATGTGGCTAAACTGCATGATTGCATGTGATTTAAAGTGGCTAAACTTCATAATTTAATGTGATTTAATTGGGTTAAACTTCATGATTTAATTTGGGTCAACTGCTTGTTTTGATTTGATTTGAGATTTGATCTATTATAATTTGTACTGTGAGTGATTTGAATTGTTTGTATGATGTATAATTCGGATCAATAATGATGACTATCTATTCTTGAATACCGTATAACATCTGGGAGACTTCCCGTCTTTTCTCTTGGAACCTTTAATCTTGTCTGCCTTTAATCTTGAGTACCTCATCAAACACCCACCTTGTATACGCCTTTGATCTTGAGTACATCATTAAACGCCCGCCTTGTATACGCCTTTGATCTTGAATACATTATTAAACGTCCGCCTGCATACACCTTTAATTGTGAGTACTTCATGAAATGCCCACCTGATATACGCCTTTAATCTTGAGTACCTCATCAAACGCAACCCTGTACAAGCCTTTGAACTTGTGTACATCATTAAACGCCCGCCTTGTATGCGCAGCTCCCGTTAAAACTTGTTTGGAGCTGGCAATGTATGGATATGAGGTTTAGTTTGTTGGTCAATGGTTCACTTTCCTTTTAACCCCAATCTGTATATACATGTATATATTATTTATTTCACACCATCAAACCTTTAGCTTATATTTAGATATGTGATTTGATTTATTTTGATTGGTATTCTATCAGTTTTAAATTCTCTCATTATTAGTTTGCATTGTGTACAAAATCTAAAGTATATGATTGTCTTGTACCATAGCTATGATAATAAACAACCCTTGGATTCATAATAACACAACTTTATGGATTTACTCCTTCTTGTTATACCTCTACTTCTAAATGTCATTTAAGTATATTTATCCCTTGGATTATCCATTTTTACATTAAATTACTGATACCCGATATCATTTAAAAAATCTCTACACTAAATCTATTGTGCAGGGATTCTTAAATTTATAAATTACTAAATGTCGATTTAATCCATTCAAAGTTCAGAGACATCCGATGGTCTAGAAGGTTGGTTATAGTCAAATGCCTAATTAATAATTTATATAGGCTACCATTTGAAGGTAGAAATAATACCTGTAATATCAAGATATATCTCTTACATAATGTATTTTTAAAGGTTTCATTACTCTCTTGGTGTAATTATTTAATCTACCTGTGAATGGTGTAACTTTTATTATCTTTTAGACTGATAAATTTTTCTCTTGTTAAATTTCAGTGTTTAACAGCTTGATTAATTTACTAATATCATTTCATCTTGTCATTTATACCCAGAGTAAGTTTCACCTTCAATCTGATTAAAACACAGATCCTATTTCCTTTCGATTTTTATAGTTCAAAATTTTGTTTTACTTGTCTTTACTACACTAGGATCTGGAAGATTTGTTATATAACCCGCTTCTGGTTGATGTGAGGGATTAGCCAATGAAAAGGTCTGTTGCAGTGATGCACAGAGCTGTGGGTATTCCACTAGAAACATCAACGCTGATTGGTTAATCAGTGTCTGGCATCATAGGGTCAAAAGCCACTCATACGACCCTTGACCCGTCCGCCCACAACAACTGGGGTCAGATTTTCATGTAGTAGAGACCATTGGAAGTATAAAAAAAACGAAACGAAATATAGATCTGTATTTTAATCAGATTGGTTTCACCTTTAGAGGAATACAAATAATAATAATTAATATTGTATATTTATATGGTGCCGTCGGTTCCATCCACAAATGCATTCTCAAGGTGCAATTTATGTATACTTTACACTCTTTAGACACTGGTAACTTGATCACTTATATTCGAAAGAGTTTTCAAATTTCCCTTAAAAGATTCAAGGGAGAGTGAAATGTTAACACTATGATAGTTGGAGATTAATTGTTCATTAAGTGACCTGATAAACGTCACTATTCCATATCATTTGTAGACTTTGGCCAGTGGTAAGTAAGTCAGGTTTATCCGGGCACAAGTTTAATACTGGTGCATGGAATGAAATGGGACTGCCTTAATGAAGACGGGCATACACTGCTAGTCGGGAACTTTATCATGTTTCCACCTACTCTTCATCTGTCAATGGTTCTTTTACGTTCACGCTAAACATGTATGCAGGACCTCGTTTTTTTTTTGTTTTTTAATCCAGATGACTAGCAGCTGCTCTTTGCCAGCCATCCCCGACCTGCACCGACAGGGGGAAACCATGCACCATGCTAAATGTACTATTTCTGCCAACAAAGGGGGTCGAAAACAGACCCTCTTGTTTTGTGAGCCAGTGCCTTACTCTTACTCACTGAAGTGACAGAAGCAACTCCACTTTGGCAACTGAATGTTGGTTTTTCTTCGGAAACATATCACACATAGCTTCAGCTAGTTGCTTATATGTGCGTTCAAAACACTGAATTAACTCAGGGTTTTTTCCTTTCAGGATCTATCAATTTAGATTAAATGCTTTGCTGGTATTTTTATTTTTACTTAGATTAATCTCTTTTTATTTATTTTTAGAGAAAAAGTCAAGTATCTCCAATTGAAGATGTAGACATAAGTAATAATGGGCATCCAGCTGATATTGCACCACCAGATCAAGGTGATCCTCCAAGTGTATGATATTGCTCGGCAACCATTTACAACTAGTAATACTGTTCCAAGGCAGCAATGTACAACTAGTGATACTATTGCTAGGCAACAATGTACAACCAGTAATACTATTGCTAGGTAACAATCTACAACTAGTAATACTATTGCTAGGCAACAATGTACAACCAATAATACTATTGCTAGGCAACAATGTACAACCAGTAAGACTATTGCTAGGCAAAAATGTCAAGTCGGGGATGTTATTTTTATTGCTGTTCCATATTTGTGTGGCAATTTATGGAGACAAATAAAAGGAGAAATATAATTACTCTGCTGTTAAAAAGCATTTCTTTAGTGATATTTTTTTATATATAAATATTAGTATTTCAACAAGACTGGTATATATCTGTTTGCAGATCTAGAAATAAAGGATACAGTATGATTTCAAATATTAGACATTTTTCGAAAAAAGGGGTTTCAAACCAGCATCATTGTCAGATAATTTCTACATTATTTATTATTTCTTTATTCATCTGTATGTTGTACAACTTACAAATGAGTAAGTTTACTCAGACGCCTTGTTGGGATTCGTTTAAATTGAATTTAAGTTAGACGCACATAAAAGTTTAGGTGTAACATGATAACACATGTAGATCTGAATTTTACATAACGTTAACATACCATCATCAGCAGCTCTTTTAAAGAATTTTTGAATATTTTTTATTGTTGACAGCAGAGCCATATCTACAGAGAATCTTGTCTGGACCCCCGTGATCATGGTCGCCATATTTTTACTCAATATGTAAGGTTAGAAACAAAACAACTATAGTTTAATGAGTGTCAGTGATAAGAAAGGAAAATGTACAGAACTATTGAATTAGAAACAAACGCCATTTTGTAACCCTTTCTACATTGCCATGATCGTTAGCCAGACTATCTGTTTGCTTTGTGGGGGGTTGGATGGCCGAATGGTTAGCACGCGCGCGCTGTATCATAAGGCCTGTCATTGAGTCAACTGGCGTGGTTTCGAATCCCCAGTTGTACGTGACAAAGAGTAGGGTCGCCTGTCCAACTTCGTGGGTTTTCTCCGGGTCCTCCGGTTTCCTCCCACTGCTAAACACCCCTACGCGCAAGCGAATTAATGAAATAAAATTAACCATATGTTAGTCCAGAAATGACCTAGTTTGTGTCGAGTGGACGTTAAAACCCATTTCTCTCTCTCTCTCTCTGTTTGCTTTGTAAGACTAATATTAAAAAGCTGAATGTTTCGAATGCAAATTCCCTGTTTATGTGGGGAATTGGATGGCCGAATGGTTAGCGCGTGTGTGCTGCATCATAAGGTCTGTCATTGAGTCAACTGGCGTGGTTTCGATTCCCTGGTTGTACGTGACAAGGAGTATGGTCGCCTGTCCAACCTCGTGGGTTTTCTCCGGGTCTTTCGGTTTCCTCTCCCACTGCTAAAGATCCCTAAGCACAAAAAATTGTTGAAATGAAATTGAAACATATGTTAGTCCCGAAATGACCTTGTTTGTGTCGAGTGGACGTTAAATCAAATTTTCTCACTGTGTGTTTTCAACGTTATTTATTTATTTATTTGTTCATTTGTCCCTTTTTAAAGCTGCTGATCGTCATTTGCATTTTTGGACTAAACAAAATTTTCATGGTTTAAAGATGCATTCCCACAAAATATTTATCGGGAAGTTATTTCTAATAAAGTTATAGCAATTTTCGTCTATATGTAAATTAGTGACACCCAATCTTACTGGGGAAAAACTTGAACTCCCTGAAAAACAGCCATGGGGAAGCACAAGACCAACATGTGGGATTATTGGTCGCATCGATTTGTGAGAAGTCAAAAGCAACAAATGACCACTTTTAGATTTATGTGTCATTATACCCTCACATTGAAATTCAGCCGAAGAAGACTATTGAATTTCAACGATTTCCGATAATTATTGTCTGTGTTATCGCACTTTAGTCAATATGCAAAATCTTGTTGACGTTTTAGAGACTAAAGTCATCATCCGAATTACTTAAAATTATACCCTCACATTGAAATTCAGCCGAAGAAGACTATTGAATTTCAACGATTTCCGATAATTATTGTCTGTGTTATCGCCCTTTAGTCAATATGCAAAATCTTGTTGACGTTTTAGAGACTAAAGTCATCATCCGAATTACTTAAAATTTAAACAGAGTGTTAAAGGAGAAGAAACCTATTTTCAGCGATTTCCAATAATAAGAACAGCTAAATTTATCATCTTATTACCGGGACATCTTTTGTACAATAAATGTTAGCATCGGGAATAACTAGAAGTCATCAAATTTTAATGATTTTTGATAATTACTTCATGGGTTGTTGCCAATGATCAGTTTTTAGTGTCTTGTGTATGCTCCCATTACATACAAAAGAAAAATGTACAGGACAACCCATGCGGACTGTGCGGGTGACCTAGCTGCTTTTCAACTCGACGTTTTGTCACTTCTCTGCAGGTAGGGTGGGTCTATCATTCAGATTGCGTTTTGTAGTGATGGCCTTCAGATTTGATTTCCCAATATTATATTTTGTTCAAGTGTCAGTAATTTATATTTATGTATTTTGTAAAAACTATTTTTGAATATTTATTAGTAATCTTTGTTATTTATACTATTGTTATTTTTGTGATATATTGTGATTGATAATATAGTTAGCCGGATAAAATTTAAAAACAATTAAATTATTTGAATTTTATGCAACAAAATTTGATTTTTTTATGATAAAATTTGATTTTATGTGATACAATTTGATTTTTACGCGATAAAATCTGATTTTACGCGATAAAATCTGATTTTACGCGATAAAATCTGATTTTTACGCGATAAAATCTGATTTTTACGCGATAAAATCTGATTTTGATGCGTTAAAATCTGATTTTTACGCGATAAAATCTGATTTTGATGCGGTAAAATCTGATTTTTATGAAGGTTATTTTAAATGTAAGTGATTACCGATTTGCATTAATTATGTAGATATATTTTAACACCTTGAAGTGACTGTCGACTGTCCAGGTTTATTGAAGAATCGGTTATTATCTGTTAAAATTAAGTTTAATACGTAGACGCATTCCGTTTTAGATTATATAAAGTAGTTATAAAACTTGGTGAACTTTCTAAATGACAAGTGATATCAGATGTTCTAGAAAGGGTACGCATATCTTGCCTCGTGTACGAGATTTTTTTATATACATGTATAAGTTATAGTCATTTATTATACAATTGGGGTATATAGAAAGTATATTTTGTTTTTTAGTTTTATATTGTTATTATTACAGAATGATGTTATCATGAATAATATTTTATTTATACCAGCCTGTCGATCCTTCAAGGAGGTGCATCAGGTCCAGATTAAAGGGGACTGTACTGGGCTGCAGCTAGGGGACCCTAATATTAAAGGGACCTTCAAATTAGTTCTAAAAAATGGCATTTTGAATGAATTAATGTCATTGATTAAATTGTATGGTATTTTGAATGAATTAATGTCATTTATTAAATTGTATATGTCTGTGCCAAATAAATCTATCTACCTATCATACTGACCTATAAATTGCTTCTGTTTGATTGTGATGGACAATGACGGGAATATGCCCCCCTTTTCACCGTCGATGCTTCGTGATATTTTAAGCCAGGGGCCCATGCAAGTCTAATTAAAGTTTTTAAACATCTAGTCAGCACAATAAAGGGTTTAAACATCTAGTTGGCATAATTAAGGGGTTTAATAAACATCTTGTATTTGACATAATTAAAGCGTTTAAACATTGCCTTTGCAAAGCTAAAGGGTTTAGAAATCTAGTTAAACGTCGGATCAGCTTAGTTAAGGGATTTAAGCATCTAGTCCACGTAATTAAAGGTTTTAAACATATTGTCAACATAATTAACGGGTTTAATTTTACATTAACGTACTAGGAACAAGGAACCCGCTATCTTGGAAAGTGACGTCATATCAAAGTCCGTCTAATGGATAATCATGCCAAGTTTAATGTCGATCGTATTCGAATTGTCTGAGCCTTGGACTTTTTATAGAGTATCGCTCCCTTGAACAAGAACCAGATAAAGATAGGCATACCTAAGTGTGTGAAATCAGTTCTTTCTTTAAGAAGGGGAAAGAAACTGTGTTGGGATTGCCGACATGGGCCAGTATTGTATCCGGAGTATTCCGGACTTAGTCTGCAAGAGCCGAGAAATTGTCAGTATATTCAGGAAATCTCTGCTTTAGGCAATCACCTTCATACACCAGCCATGGCAGCCTTGACCGGATTATGATAATATAAAACCACTGTTTCGCGTTGTCAAATATTTATCAATCTTTGAACCAAACAAACAATATTGTTGGACTAACGTATTAAAGACGATTTCATGATACCGTATACCCCATCCTTTTTATGTCCATAAGTAATTTCTATAACTTTGTCATTAACTGTATAAAATAGTATATAGTATATCACTATATGTAAATATATCAAAATACATTGCTTTTATCTACTCTCCTATAAACCAGTAACCCTTATCTGAGCTTTCATTATTATACGCTGTGTATTCTTGGCTGGGATTTTGGCATTTACCTGGTTGAATGAAGTACACACAAGTCTGAACAGGTAATCTGTTTTATCTTATACACTATTAAAGAGAGAGAGAGAAATGAGGTTTATCGCCCAGTCGACACGAACTATGTCATCTCGGGACTAACACATGGTTCAATTTTATTTCAATAATTCGTTTGCGCGTAATGGTATTTCGCAGTGGGAGAAACCCGGGGGACCCGGAGAACACCCACGACGTTGCACAGGCGACTCTAGTCCCTGGCACGTACACCCGGTGAATCGAAACAGCGCCAGTTGACTCCATGACAGACCTTATGATACAGCGCGCACGCACTAACCATTCGGCCCCCCAACCCCCCCCCTCCCGTATACACCATAAAACATACTCTGTTGCAAATATTCTTTCGCCTGTGTGATGTTTATATGTTTTGTGGGCAACCGCGGTGGCCCAGTGAGTAAAACTTTGGCTAACTAACCTGATATGGGGAATTTAGTGTGTCTGTTAGGGGACATATTGATATCGATTTCCTACGTGTCTGTCATTTCAAATTCTTTGGGGACCTATTGATATTGGCATCCTGCGTGATTTTTAAAGAGTTTTATTTTTCTTGAAGATAAATTTGCTATATTAGCGTAGCTGCCCTTGCAAATCATTTGGGGACATAGATCTCGGAATGATTTAGGCCACTGTTTCAGGTCTTTCTTTGGGCATGACATGTTATATAAACTATTAATTAGACATTTATTAACATGACAAGACCACAATCAAGTCTCGATCCCATCACATAGGTCCGATTTTAAGTAGATTAGAACGGTTTAGCCATTTAATAATTGAATCTAAAAATGGTGAAGCGCGAATAAGCTTCGAACAACCGGTACGGTAGTTACAATTACAATTAGTGCACACACCTCGTCAAACCCTCAAAGGCTAATATCTTCGCTCAGAATAAAGTAATTTGAATGCAATTTTCAATTATTCCATTTCCATTATCTATTTTGACCTATTATAGTAAGAACGGCCAGCTGTTTATCTAAATCTTACATAATGCATCTTTAACCTACACTATGTGAATATGTTTATTTGTCGTGAAGATATAAGGTTGCTATAATAGCTGTCCTTGTAAACCGTTTAGGGGCATACATACGAGAAGGTAATATTGCAGGGATTTGACAGTTGACAATGCATGATGCAATCGTCGTCTCTAAATTACGTAGGCATACATACACACTGAACATTTTAAGTTTTATTATGAATTAATAGGATCATTATTTTGCGCTTTGAATGCCAGTCCCATTCCACCATGGATAAAGCACAAAGCCGTTACACTTTTCTCATAAAAGTGTTGTTTTACAATTTTTTTATGTAGGTGAGCAGGGTGGAATTTAGATCGCCCCCCCCCCCACGCCCCTTGTATCCCCCCTGTATTGGTCTCGAAATGATTGCAGCCTTGATGGCTGCCCTTGCAAACCGTCTTGTTTAGCCCACATGGGTTCAGCGTTTATTTTTGCTGATGCTAAGTTTGGAAAAAATTTGATTGCATCTTTACGGAAGACCATTAGACTATGAAGTTAAACATACATTATGTAAGAACTAACTGATCCAGGCCATAAAAAACTCACGATGGCATCGGATTTCTCCGATATTAAATAGATTAGAACGGTTCAGCCATATTTTAATTTAATTTAAAAATGAAGGAGCGAGACTTAGCTTCGAACAACCAGTGCGGTGGTTGCAATTATTGCACACGTCTTGTCAAACCTTCAAAGGCTAATATCTTCGCTCGCAACAGAGTAATTGGAATGAAATTTTCAAATTATTCAGTTTACATTATTTATTTTCGAACTATTATAGCAAGAATGGCTAGTTCTTTATCTAAATCTTACATAATGTATCTTTAAATAATCTTTAATGAGAGTATGAACGTAATGAATGGTTTTTAATGAGGGCATGAAATAACGAATGATATTAATGGGAGCATGACCTAAATGTGCCGATCCCGTTGGCCTAGCTATCCGATAAAATCAGTTTAGGACGACCTTGAAATAAACCAGTAAGAACACTTTCTTTACGCGATTGACCCTAATGGGCTTCTCTTTATCTTGTTATTAAAAGGTAGTTACAAGAAAACTATCTTGGCGATCTTGTAATTACAAGATAGTTATATGAAATGATTGACCCAAATGGTCTTCCGTACATCTTTTATTTAACCTAGTTGATGTTATATGCTTATTTTTCTTTATAATAGAACTCAGGACAGTAATAATAAATCTTCATACCTGGCGCAAATAAAAATTGTAACACAGCCATGTGTTATACTGCCTGCAGAACGGCAATAAAACAAATATGTAACAGAATAGGTAGCAGTGTCCTTCGTCGCGGCGGCTAATTCTTTGCTTCTCGTGTTTCAAAAAGGACTTAAAATTGAGATCCCTGCATTGGTCGAGAAAATTCATCTTGATTTCCCCTTGTCAGTGGTGCAGGGTGGTGGGACTGGCTCGGATGGGACGAAAAACCGAGATCCCATGTATGCATTGGCGTGCACGTAAAAGATCCCTTGGCAGTTAGAATTTGATATAAGAGTAGGCCATAGTGCCGCTGCCCGGGCAAAATTTCCCTCATAGCACACTGTATACATATGCTCGTCAGTCGGCACAGAACAGTAGGACGTTAAATCCCATTTCATTTCTTAAAATTGAGACTTCGAGCTGGACCTCTTCTTAAATACGTTTTATATACGTACCCACACGCATATATGTATTGAACTCAAAACTACGAGCGTATATATCTTTAGATATTTATTATCTATCCACCGCGCTCGTCCTTACCAGAAGCGATAAACTTCTGAAAATTCTACATCATTTCTTCTTAATAATTTAAGCTGGTCTACCAGTGTTTATCCCGGGTAGTTGTGCACAAGGTATTAATTAATTGATTGGTTGAATAAGCCCCAAAATGCAAAGAATTTCCCAAATGTAGACTGTGTAAACAATAAATTGAAAACTGCGTCTAATATATTTTATGGTTCAACGACTGGCCTGGAATCTTGATGACAATATAATTATGTTGTTGACAGATATGGCTAGAAACAAGCTAACAGGGAGTTGGGCAGCATAATTAATTACGTTTTTAAACAACGGGTAGCTTGACAGACAATTCTAACCCTACTCTGGTACAAAAAAAACCAAAAAAAAAACAACGGCCTAATGAAGACGGGCTGACGTCATACAGTGTGCTATGATGGAAATTTAGCCCGGACAGCGGTGCTATGGACTACTCTTATATCGAATTCCATCGGCCAAGGGATCTTTTACGTGCACACTATTGTGTACATGGGACCTCTGTTTTTCGTCGCATCCGAACGACTAGACAGCTGTCCTTGTCATGCCCTCTGTCCAGCACAACTGAAAAGGAGAAACCACGCCAGTAAATCCCAACAAACTTTCTCGGTCAACACCGGGATCGAACCCGCGACATCTTGTCTTACTCATTTGGCTACTGTGGCTCTTTGTTGCAAATTAACTGGCATTTCATCAATCGGTAAATAAAGATATTTCTTTCGATTTGACTCTTCAGTTCAAAGCCAAATATGTAAACTTTTTTTTTCATATGAAGAATGGTCTTTACTTATGGAACTGCTAGTTTTATTTATTGATTTAGTTTGACAATACTGGTTTTAGAAATGTAGCTATCGCTATTGAATAGATATTGTGGATGTGAATTATTGCACGTATGCCGGTCTTATACAGTATGAAGCCTTATTCAAAAAAGCCATTATAATGTAATACTAACTACCTGACATATGAATACATCTCTTATGATATAATAACTATTGGGTGTGGACTTCTTTATTGTTAGTAGTACAGGAACGAACTCTACCTTTCTGTACTAGTTGGGCGAATGAACAATAAAGACCCAATGAAGTGTGCTATGGGGGCACAGTGTCGTTTTCATTTAATCGTCATCGAATTTCAAAGTGTACACGGTCCCTCGATTTTTTTTCAAACCACTCGAACGATTAAACACTGTTCCGTAGAAATACGAGTAGGCCATCGGGGCAAATATCCCTCACAGCAAACTGTATGGCGTATTTGCATCTTCGTCAGCCTAGCTCGGGTAGAACAGAGAAGTAAAACGTTAAATCCCATTTTATTACACTTCGTTTAAAGATACATTATGGTAGATTAGATAAAGAGCTGACAGTTCTCACTATAATAGTTAAAAACTAGATAATGTAAAGGGACTATGCTGAAAATTTCAGTGAAAGTGTCTGACTTTAAGCCGAGAAGATCTTATTTTAATCTTTGTAGCCTCGATTGTCATTGTTACCGTGGTTATCCAATTTTGTGTTTAATCATCAACGGACGTTAAACAGCAGACCTGATTCAAATCCAGTGAAAGTCGGACTGATAAGTTGGCATCAAGAGTTGAGTATGGTCTTTTCATGTTTGTAAATGTCTAATTAATAATTTAGATAACATTTCAGGCCTAAAGAAAACACCCGCAATAGGCAGATTTACCTCTTGCATAATATATGTTTAAAGGGACTACCCCGATTTGAACAGAGTCTTAAAAATAAAAGTCCGAGTACGTTTGAAATTTAAGCGCCAAAATATAGAGGAATGGTGTGTTTACCTTGTCTCAAAAATTCAGCTCACAATATTTAGTCGTTTGGTCATTTTTTCGTTGGGTGACCTGATAATCGATCCCCATTCCTTTAGAGGTCTACACAATGAATGAGCCATGTGCTGTACTTGATAACGAAAGGTAAATTTCACCTACACATTATTTTTATAAGTAAAAAGCTGGTTTATCCATAAGCCGCATAATACAGTTTGTGACACCGTTCTCCATTTCCAGATGAAGACTGATAGGTTTAAGACTTGTTTGAAAAAGTATCACAAATATTGGGTTAGTTGCTCGGCCCTTTAGTAGAGGATTTTAAGGGATTTGAACACAAAATTAAGCCGTTTTATTCTCCAAAATATTATTGGGATAGGCCCTTTAATAGAGCTATCTGCTACAGATTATAATCCTAGATATTAACGATTCACTTTAATGATTTTTCAATATCTAATCGGACACACATAGTAGAATATATTTCTTTACCTTCAAATATTTTGTATACCATGGTTAATATATGTGTCAAGGTAAATCTATAAACACGTGTTTTTTTAGGCTTACAGTTATGTAAATATTCAATAAGTATTATCTTATGCGCATACGATTATCACGGAATGATATGGTATACCACAGCATTTTAGAGCACATGGACTATTGAAGATTAACGGGAAGCGCGGTGGCTCAGTGAGTAAGACATTTGCGCGCTATATACTGTGTTGGCCTAGAAAGTTCATCGTGATTTTTCGGCATGGTCCCCCCTTGTCAGTGGTGCAGAACGAAGAGCTTGGCAAGGATCAACGTATATAGTCATTCGGATTGGACGAAAGCCAAAGGTCTAGTATACATATTGGCATGCACAGAAAAGAGTAAGTTTTACGGGCACACTGTATGGAGTATCCCTGTCTTTATTGGCCCAGTGTGGGTTCCTCTTGTCAGTGGTGCAGAACCGTCGACATATGACATGGACATGGTCAGTGTCTAGTTGTTCCGATGGTACAAAAAACCGAAGTACAGTGTAGGCTTATACGTTGACATGCACGCAATATAATCCTTGACAGTTGGAATTTGATATAATTTTTCTCATGGAACACTGATTGGTGTACACGTATCTTTATCAGCTCAATCGGTGCAGGAAACTATGACGTTAAACCATAATTCATTTGCGGGATGGATGGCCGAATAGGTAGCACGTGCGCGCTGTATCATAAGGTCTGTCATTGAGTTAACTGGCGTGGTTTCCATTCCTCGGCTGTACGTAACAAGGAGTAGGGTCGCCTATCCAACCTCGTGGGTTTTTACCGGCTTCTCCCACGGCTAAAGACCCCTACGCGCAAGCGAATTATTGAAATAAAAATGAACCATGAGCTAGTTTGTGTCGACGAGTGGACGTTACCCCCCCCCCTCTCTCTCTCTTTCTCTCTCTCTCTCTCTTCCTCTCTCTCTCTCTCTCTCTCTCTCTCTCTCTCTCCTAATTCATTTCATTTATTGTAGTAAAGCATCCATTTCCGAACCTTTTCTAATGTTGTTAATGACTAAACAATGTACGTCAGTTAGATGTCATTCAAAAGAAATGGGGTCAGCCTGTGTCAGATTTATTACATGCTTTTCTAATATAATTTTACTACTAAAGTTAGGCTCTGTTCTAAATAGGACGCCGTGGAGGCAGAGTGAGTGAGACGGTGGCCCACTAATCTGGAGGTCCTCGATTCGATCTCAATGTGGGCCGAGATTTTCCGGTGTAGTTCTCCCTTGTCATTGGTGTAGGGCGGAGGACCTGGCAAGCAAGGGACAACGGATGGTCGTTCGGATGGGACAAAAAACCGTGGTCCTGTGTACAAATTGGCTTGCACGTAAAAGAACCTTTAGCAGATGGGATTCGGTTTAAGTGAAATCAGAAAAGGTAGGACGGTAATCCCCATTTAATATCGTTCTATATAAGCGACCGTGTGGGCCGTGTGGGGGGTGGGGGCAGAGAGAAATGGGTTTTAATGTCCATCGGACTCAATCTTAAGCGTAGGGGTAGGCGCGTAGGGGTGTTTAGCGTGTGTGCCCCGGAGAAAACACACGAGGTTGCACAGGCGAACCTAAAGAGGTGTATACTGTATAACTAGAACTGACAAATGACTTAATAGCATTTCTAGAATATTCACTGCCTATCTGTTTGTAAGTAGCCAAATCAGTTTGTATTGTCGACAATAGGATTATTATATGCGTATTATTTACAACATAGAAAACATCCGGGTGTTTATCGAGACGTACTAGATATTTATTTGAATGGATGACACGGTAGGAGCTATGTGCATATGTACTATATAGCTAGTTACTAGGTCGCGTGTGCTTCTAACTCGACGTAAGTACAAATTGTAGTACTATTATAAATGCTTGTATTGTAACTAGTTACGGTACTCTTGTTTAAGTGGTTATAGCTTCCTTTTACTGTATATAAATACTTAAGTTTTATGCATATATTTTATCATTTGCTTGATAAAGACAAGAGTATCATCTTCGAAACGTTACATGAACTTGATAAAGACGAGGGTATCATCGTCGAAACGTTACATGAGCTTGATAAAGACGAGGGTATCATCGTTGAAACGTTACATGTACTTGGTAAAGACGAGGGTATCATCGTCGAAACGTTACATGAGCTTGATAAAGACGAGGGTATCATCGTCGAAACGTTACATGTTAATAAACCAAAAAATTGTTATTCAGTAAATACTTTTAGCATGTTATGGTACTCCGTTTTACATACATTTTACCTTTTTATTCGGCAATTTTGAAATGTTGCCTATGTAATGTGAGATTAATGTGCTGATTTTTACGTTCAAGGATAACATAAATGCGCCGAATTGTTTTACTTATAATAACTGATATATAAAGTTATGAGACTGGGGGCGTGGTGGCTCAGAGAGTATGTCACTGGCTCTCTAACCAGGAAGTCTCAGGTTCGCTACAGGTATTGGCCACGAAAGTTCCTCGGATTTTACATCGTCCAGTCGTTCGGATGGACACGAAAGTTTCTCGGATTTTACATCGTCCAGTCGTTCGGATGGAACGGAAAAACCAAAGTTCAGTGCACACGTACCTCGTAAAATAATCATAGGGCGTACCGCCTCGGATGCGGTTGGGGGTGGGGGCGCTGTATCATAAGGTCTGTCATTGAGTCAATTGGCGTGGTTTCGATTCCCCGGTTGTACGTGACAAGGAGAAGGGTCGCCTATCCAACCTCGTGGGTTTTCTCCGGGTCCTCCGGTTTCCTCTCACCGCTAAAGACCCCTAAGCGCAAGCGAATTATTGAAATAAAATTAAACCATATTATTATGTTAGTCACGAAAGAACTTGGTTTGTGTCAAGTGGACGTTAAACCCCATTTCTCTCCCCACCCCTTGTCAGCAGTTGCAAGGAACATCGTCTAGTCGTTCGGATGGAACGAAGAAACTATGGTTTCGTGTACACGTACCTCGTAAAATAACCATAGGGCTTAGCGCCTCGAGCAACATGTCTAGCATAACACATTACATGGATTATGGTTCAGAACAATAGGACGTTAAACCACATTGCATTTCATTTCTTATCAGATCATATCAGCTGTTTTTATACTTTGACAAACAATTTTGTTATTTGATAAGTAAACAAATTGTATTTACTCTTGGCATGTTATTAAGATAGAATAAGCTATACTTGTATCTTAAACTTTACACAGATTTATGACTTTGTCGTACTTACATGTTGATACACGTGTATTGTATAACATTCTTTACCCAGTCAACACACCTACGTTCCAATAACGTTGCTGTTATGTTTTACAATGCAGTTTCATTTTACGGTGACTGATTGTTTCCCTCATAGCGCAACAGTTATTTTGTTTTAATTGGAGAGGATGTAATTTCACGCCCACTCGACACAAACTGTCATTTCGGGATTAACACATGGTTCAATTTTAATTCAATAATTCGTTTGCGCGTAGATTGAACTGGCGAATCGAAGTCACACAACTTGACTCAATGACAGACCTTTTGATTTATTATGCTAACCCAAGCTCACCACATGACCAACAACTTTACGATATGTTATAGTGTCGCATTCACACTCTAAATATTATACGACTCAAGCTCACCACGTGGCCAATAACTTTACGATGGTATTATAGCGTCGTATTGACACTCTAAATATTATACGGCTCAAGCTCACCACGTGGCCAACAACTTTACGATGGTATTATAGCGTCGTATTGACACTCTAAATATTATACGACTCAAGCTCGCCACGTGGCCAACAACATTACGGTATGTTATAGCGTCGCATTCACACTCTAAATATTATACGACTCAAGCTCGCCACGTGGCCAACAACATTACGATGGTATTATAGCGTCGCATTGACACTCTAAATATTATACGGCTCAAGCTCACCACGTGGCCAACAACTTTACGATGGTATTATAGCGTCGCATTGACACTCTAAATATTATACGACTCAAGCTCGCCACGTGGCCAACAACATTACGGTATGTTATAGCGTCGCATTCACACTCTAAATATTATACGCCTCAAGCTCGCCACGTGGCCAACAACATTACGGTATGTTATAGCGTCGCATTCACACTCTAAATATTATACGACTCAAGCTCGCCACGTGGCCAATAACTTTACGGTATGTTATTATAGTGTCGCATTAACACTCTAAATATTATACAACATCTATTATATCGACATAAACCGCAGTTTATATTTATTTACAGGCATAAAAAAATCCCCAACTCATTATATTAAAAATACAGATAGGACGACTGCTGATAAAATGTTAATATATATTATGTTTTTGTCTTTACAATCATTTTTACTTTGGATTATTAAAAACAAATTAAAATGTGCCACCCACATGTTTTTGTGTGTGTGTGTGGGGGGGGGGGGACTTTTTATGAATACGGATTGATTGTGAACCCCTCTCCCCTCAGTGTACATACAGTTGTTACTATCTGCATGTACATATAATTCAAGTTAGTTATATAAATATTTATAGACATCAAGAATCAAAGGGTATATTGATATATTATTTGTTCGAGTTCAACATGATAAATAATACTTAAAACTTTCAACACGAAAAAATGCGGTGGTTTGCAAATAAGGATCTGGTTGCCATACTACCACAAAAATATGTACGAAACAGGCGAAATCGAATATATTCGTTTGCGGATATTTTGTAAAATGCAAGCAGGCTGTCAATATAGGTATGCTAGGTATATGTGGATTTCAAAAATGAAGACCACGCAAACCAAAAAGAATATTTGTTCATTAGATCAACACGGTTCAATATCCTATCTTTTCAGGTGACTAGACGGCAGGGGAGCAACTCATTGGATATTAGTGTGATAACGTATGAAACAAAAAGTTCAAAATGACTCGTTCCGAATTTGATTTTGACGACAAAAAACCAAAGAAAGGATATTGCGGTGGTAAAAGACCTTGCATGTTTGCAGTAGTTCTATTAATTCTAGCTGGGATATTGGCCGTCGTTATATATTTAGCTGCTTTCTACAAATCTCCTATGGTAGATGATCATTCAGATTCTACTGACAACCCTCAAGACTCAGCGTATCTGGGACCAAGGATTAATTGTTTTCCGGAATCGGAAAATAGTGCTATTGTGATCGATGCAACAAAATGTGCATCGCGGGGCTGTTTGTTTGATGCTAATGCTGCTGCTACAGGACAGGATGTGACGTGTTTCTATGATAATAAAAGATTCGGTTATAAGGTGGGGGAGACCACGAACACCCCTATGGGGTTTAATGTACATCTATCTCAGTACGGGAAATCACCGTTTGGCGGTGATATCACTAATGTAGTGATGTCAGTCGAAAATAGGGGAGATAACCTGCTACGATTTAAGGTCAGTATATATATATATATATATTTTTATTCATTTGAAATCCAAATGTTATATATAATGACATTATTACTGATGAGCTCGCCAAAGAGTACTTTCAAATAAAATAAAACCAAGTGCGAACAATCCAAACCATAAGACAGAATTCGAAGTCCTAAAAAAACGTTATAGGCAGAATAGTGTATTAAAGCAAAATAGTGTAATCAGCAAATGGACTGCTCCTCGTGTACAAAATACACGACAAACAGTGGTAACAGGTGTCCGGAAGAGTAAGCTTACCCTGCCTGGCGCCACACCCGCCATAGCTGCATCCAAACTATTAGGCGAAATGTCGGTAAAATAGCGTGATTGGCCAATTCAAATGTAATATATAAGAGATAAATCTGCCTATCGCAGATCTTTTTCTGGCTTCAAATGTTATATAAACTAATATTTAAACATTTATTAACACGACACGCCCATAATCAACGCTCTCGGCCGGCGAACGGCTCCGATTTAAATTTAAGTAGATTAGAACACCTTGGACGTTTAGTTTAAACACTATTTTATTCATTTGAAAAGGATTAAACATGCATTATGCAAGAGCTAAATCTGCCTATCACAGGTCTTTCTTTAGGCCTGAAATCTTATCTAAATTATTAATTAGACATTAAAATTAACTTATCCAGACCATAATGAACTCTCGATGTCAAGGCTAGCCTTCGATATCGACTGGATTAGAATCCTATATGCTGCAAACGCTCATTGATAATTAAATCAAAACAATGGATAATCGAGACGATGCTTTTTAACGTACTAACTTTAGTAATGATGAACGAGGCTAGGCGGAAATTTACAAAGCTGATATCTCGGTTCATACTGGACCAATTTGACTGAAATTTTCAACAAATTACCTTTACATTATCTAGTTTTTAACTATTATAGTTAGAACTGTCAGCTCCTTATCTAATCTCCCACAATGTATCTTTAAACAACAGGCAAAGCCTATATAAGTTCTTTCCCGTGGCCACTTGAATAAATAACAGAGACTTACTCTCCTTATTACGATAATAAAGCATTTACGCTGCATTTTGTCAAAACTCCAAACATCGATAACACACAGAATAAAGAAGTTTGACTGAAATGTTCAATCTACATGTACCCATTTTTCATTATTTTTTTTTAATTATTATTCGTACATAATGTCTTGAGACAGGTGTTGACATCTGCTGGTGTCGGCATACCTTTTATCTTTTCACCGTTTAACTTGAAACAAGAGAGAGGGAGAGAGAGAGAGAGAGAGAGAGAGAGAGAGAAATGGGGTTTAACGTCCACTCGACACAAACTAGGTCATTTCGGGACTAACATATGGTTTAATTTTATTTACTTAATTCGCTAGGGCGTAGGGGTCTTTAGCAGTGGGAGGAAACCGGAGGACCCGGAGAAAACCCACGAGGTTGGACAGGCGATCCTACTCCTTGCCACGTACAACCGGGGATTCGAAACCACGCCGGTCGACTCAATGACAGACTTTATGATACAGCGCGCGCACGCTAACCATTCAGCCATCCTACCCCCCAACATGAAACAAAGTAACGCAGCTTTACGGTTGTGCTAATATTTTGGATACAAATTAAGGGAGAGATTAGAGAAACAAGAGGTCCCGCCATTATCTTACTATGATATTTATAATGCGTCAAATTTGTATAATGCGAAATGCAGTTATACTCACAATTACGGGCTTGTTCTTTATGAAATGCTAAGATTGCTCAAATACTCTTATTGGAATCAGGGAGTGACCAGAAATCGAAGCCATAAAATGCAACATTGTCTGAAACTCGTCTACACTTCACACATACATTTCTTTAAAAAAGGTGTTGAATAGCTACATATCACCCATATCCACCCACCAACCATTATTCCAATAAACATTGTGATAACTGGGTAACCGGACCAAAGGGCAGATAATTAATTAGAAACCCCATATAGCCATACCAAATGCGCCAATAAACGCACAATGCTCATGGTCATTGCTCTACTGATTTTCTTTTAATTTTCAGTTTGATTCCAGTAATTCTAACAGATTTAAAGTACCGTTAGATTTAAATCTACCAACAACAATAGGTACTTCACCTAAATATAAACTAGAGATTTTAAACCAAAACCCTTTCTCATTTACTGTCACCAGAACAGAAACAAATACAACCATGTAAGTCAACATATCCTAAATTATAGATCTTGTGAGATGATTTTCCTAACTGAACTTAGGAGCCGATGTGGTCCAGTGTGTAAGGCGTTGGTTGACTAGTCAGGAGGTTCGGAGTTCGATGGTTGTGGTGTTGGTCGAGAAACTTCCATTGGATTTTCAAGTGTGGGCCTGGCAACCTGGACAGTGTCTAGTCGTTCGAATTGGAGGAAAAAACCGAGGTCCCGTTTATACGTTGGTTTGCACTTAACAGAACCCTTTCCCTCATAGCACAGGGTAGGATGTGTTATTCGTCATCGGTGCAGAAAAGTAGGACGTTAAACCCGATTTCGTTTCATTTCCTACTGAGTTGATCACGTGTTACAAACCACACTTGGTCATTGCCCACTCGTGTGATATGGAGATCCTTAATATTAGACACAACACAATCACAGAATTGGATTTCTGGTCTCTGTGGTTATGGTAAAGGGATCACATCCAAGTTGGTATCATATCCAGGTTGAAATCACATCCAGGCTGGAATCACATCCAGGTTGGAATCAGACCCAGGTATGGAAACGTATATGATACCAAATCTAAAGGCCAGCGCTATTGTAATATTTAAGATGTTCATTTATCATCACACATCTTGCAGATAAAACGACCTAGTAGATATATCATGTATTATGTATTTCAGATGGAACACATCATTAGCTGGTTTCACCTTCTCGGACCAATTCCTTCAAATCAGCACTGTTCTACCGTCAAGAAATGTTTATGGTTTTGGTGAAAATAGACATACCTCTTTTAGACATGTGTTCAATCAAACATGGCCGATGTTTAGTCGAGATCAGCCACCGGGCTGGGGTGTAAGTATTAGACAACACTAATCAATGAAAACTTTAAATTATGATGCGCTAAAACAGCGGGTTCGATATCAGAGAACTGAGACAATTACAGGAAGTTATGTGAAGCTGGGTGTGACCGAGTAGTCCAATGTGTACACTTTAGTGTACAAGGCCTGTCCCCCATTAGTCAACAGTGGGACAGGCTTGTACGTTACACAGAATAGGGCCACTGTCTGATGTCATAGGGTTCCGACCCCCCCCCCCCCCCCCATTGAAGACGGGCGCATGCCGGTTACATGCCATACAGTGTGTTATGCGATAAATGTTGCCCGGAGATTAGCACTACGGCCTACACTTATATCGAATTCAAAGTGTCAAAGGGTCATTTACGAGCACGCCTATGTGTACAAGGGACCGCGGACTAGACACTACCCTTGTGAGGACCTCTATCATACACCCCGGACAAAGAGAAACCGGGCTGGGAAAATCCGGACAACTTTCTCGGTCAACGCCGCGATCGAACCCCGAACCTATAGCTAAAGTTACAGGCGCGCAAGTGAAATATTGAAACAGGCATATACGAGTACCATGTAATCCTGAAAATAACCCACAAGATTGTGTTGTGGAGATGTTGTCCCACTAAACAAGTGTCTCCCCTCTTGGATGTTTCAATAGAATTTGTTGAGCAACATATATCCCTCCACGCCTGGATATTTCAATGGAATTTGTTGAACAACTTAGATCCCTGCTAATTTTAACCACGACTTAGACTGCAGTATATCGTAATATGTCTTACTTTCGTTGAATGTTTTAGGATAATGATAATCTATATGGTGTTCATCCGTTCTACACGTGTGTTGAGGATACAGCTGGTAATACTCATGGTGTTTTATTATTAAACAGTAATGCTCAAGGTAAATACCTCTTCTTATATATATAACAAGGGCGTCGTGAGGAATTTGAGGGAAGGGGTGAGGGAGTGGAGACAAGGTCAAGTGTGACGCGAGCTCTCGGGGATTACCCGGGAATTGTATACATACTATGTAAAATCAGCAGCTCTCAGACAATATTTCTGCTCCGATTACAGCAGGGTGGGAGGGACTACGGACATCTTCGCATCCTCGGATCCTTGCTTCACACACGCCTGTATTATACACAATTGTTGTTGTTGAAATGTAGTCGTAATAATACTATACCGCGCGTGGAAATACAAACTAAAGCAGGGAATGATGCGAAGTTAATTATCTCTGTAATGTTAATCAGACGGTGCTAAATATACGTTTCTACGGAAGAACATTTGGGCCAATTAAGTAAAAAAGTTTTTTTTTTTTATTATCTCGTAAACACGAGATAGTTATCTTATTATTAGGTATAGGTATATTGTACTTGTAATTAGGTGGTATTTACCTTGTAATTACGAGATAATTATCTTTTAATTACGAGATAATCAGAATATATATATATTTTGTTTTCATTTGATTGACCCTATAAGTGGTCTTCCGTACGTTCCATTGTACACTAAAGAACATAATGATTGTAGTTTGGCGGATGAGTTTTTGCTTCACCGAAAAAAGACCTGCCAAGACGAACCTATATCATTATAATGAATACATTTGTAGGCCACGTTAAAGATTACCGCCGTGGTACACATTAATATGAATACATTCATAGGCCACGTTAAAGATTACCTTCGTGGTACACATTAATATGAATATATGTATATAGGTCACGTTAAAGATTACCTTCGTGGTACACATTTATATGAATGCATGTATATAGGCCACGTTAAAGATCACCTCCTTGGTAAATATTAATATGAATACATGTATATAGGACACGTTAAAGACTACCTTCGTGGTACAAATTAATATAAATACATTTATGTAGGGCATGTTAAAGATTACTGCCGTGGTACACATTAATATAAATACATTTGTAGGCCACGTTAAAGATTACCGCCGTGGTACACATTAATATGAATATGTATATAGGCCACGTTAAAGATTACCTCCGTGATACACATTATGCTACCAGAGCGCACCCAGACACACATGATTAGTATGATTATCGCTGTAATGTCAGGTTGCTGTTAACCAGTGTCGACGACGAATGTGGTTCAAAATGTTAAGTGGCAATGATATCCTCCGTTGGCGTTGACGCCGATGCAACGTTGGCACACGGAAGCTATTCGAGGCATTTCAAACACTAAATTTAACTGGACTGAGAGAGAGAGAAAGAGAGAGAGAGAGATGGGGTCTAACGTCCACTCGACACAAAGTAGGTCATTTCGGGACTAACACATGGTTCAGTATTATTTCATTAATTCGCTTGCGGGTAGGGGTTCTTTAGCAGTGGGAGGGAGAGATGGGGTCTAACGTCCACTCGACACAAACTAGGTCATTTCGGGACTAACACATGGTTCAGTATTATTTCATTAATTCGCTTGCGGGTAGGGGGTCTTTAGCAGTGGGAGGAAACCGGAGGACCCAGAGAAAAAGCACGAGGTCGGACAGGTGACTCTACTCCTTGTCACGTACAACCGGTGAATCTGGACTAAGCACAGGGTTTGAACGTCCATGTTCGTGTAAGCAAGATTATCAAGTAATTAGTCTGTCTAATACTGATTTTCTAATTCAGGGGCAAATAGCTCTCTGAAATCGACAATAGATATTACTTGTGCATTGTGCACCGTCACCGTAGACTTGCAATATTTAAAAAAAAAAAATCATTTCCAGATTATTCATTGAACGATCACCCAAGTTTAACATACAGAACAACCGGTGGAATATTAGATTTCTATATTTTTATGGGACCAACTCCTGAATATGTTATCCAACAATACACTGCGGTAAGTAAAACATAACTAGTTAAAGAAAGGTTGGTGGTGGGAGTTGGCCTATAGCAGTGCTTCTCAACCTTTTGTCGGTGATTCCCTCTTTCCTCCCCTTCCCAACAACTTGGTAAAAAAAAGATGTTACATAATACATTTTCCAATCGTTGTATTTCACATGAATTATTATATAACTATTAGTATGTTCAACTCAATGGGATCCTTGCGATTGTTGCTGTCTAACCAGGACCTCGATGTCGGGATGCAGTTTGTTTGTTTTGAGCCGTAAATTGCCGGGATGACGTTACGTCCAGACTCCATCGTTCTTGGTTAAAATATCAGTTACAGTACTGAAATGGCACTACACTATATAAGATAACGGGAACGAATGCAAGAGTGTCCGAGCTTGATTGCCCAGATTTGGGTACTGTTCCATAACGTGAACTGCCGCTGAGCCCGTCAACTAGCAGACGAACTCTAAATTCTCGCCCCACCCCCACCAACCCCGCATACTCCCCAAGGCCCCGCCCAGAGCGGATCCCGGGGCTTCTCAGCGAATTTAGGCCCTGAAACTTTATAAGCTTCATTAGTCACGGTGCAGAACAGTAGGACGTTAAGCCCCCTTTCATTTCATTTCATTTAATAGTTAAACTGTATAATAAGAATGGAAAGAAATATCTTTAGAATCATTTAAAGATACTTCGTTATTTTTTACAATTTATACGTGTATTTTTTTATAGGTGATAGGACGACCTTATATGCCACCATATTGGTCATTAGGATTTCAACTCTGTCGCTATGGTTACAACCATATTGATAATATTACCAAAGCAGTAGAAAATACCAAAAAATACAACATACCACTCGTAAGTTCAAAGCTTTAAAAAGATTTAATAAAATGTATTACGGTAATGGTGAGCAATATCTCCTGGCATAATCGTGTAAGTGAGACATGTGTGTTGTTTTGCAAGACCAAAACTCCACCCATAAACTATTGCAGGAACCTAGTACGTCGGCATGTACGTAAAATAAACCTTATGAGTTAAAAGTCGTCGAAGAGTAGGCGTCAACGCTCCTGTCCATAGGACAATGTTTCTGTATATCCATCTACATTAGCCTGAACCGTAGGACGTTAAATCCTATTTTATTTCATTATGGCTATCAATATTACATAATAAAGAATAGGGCTGTATATATTACATGATGAACTGTAAGGCTATATGTATATTACAACGTGTACAATATGGCTATCAATATTACATGATGTGCAATAGGGCTATATATATTACATGGTGTACTGTAAGGCTATATTATGTATATTACAGGATGTACACTATGGCTGTTTATTTTACATGATGTAACGTATAGCTGTTTATATTACACGGTGTACAATATTGTTGTATATTACACGGTGTACAATATGGCTGTTTATATTACATGATGTACAATATGGATATTACACGATGTACGATATGACTATCTATATTACTTGGTGTACGATATGACTATATTACAGGGTATACGATATGTCTATAATACATAATGTACAATATGGCTATTTATATTATAGGATGTACAATATGCAGATATTGATCATATGGATGAAAGGAAAGATTTTACTGTAGATGACGTAAACTTTAAAGGATTAAATGATTATTTTAATACACTAAGGAATGGTGGGATGCATACTATTATTATTTTGGTAATTATAACATTTTTACACTGAAAACAATCTGCTAAAATATTTGATGAATTAAGTCAACACTGTGCGTTCTTAAATGAATTCCGCCAGTTACAGCTTTGCAATGGTTTCCGAACTGGAAGAATCCTGATACAATTCAAACTGATTAAAACACAGATCCTATTTCGTTTCGGTTTTTATAGTTCAAAATTTCGTTTCACTTGTCTTTACTACACTAGGATCTGGAAGAGTTGTTGTCATTGACGTGTTCTGGATGGTGTGAGGGTTTAGCCAATGAAACGGTCTGTTACAGCGAGCTTTTGGCGTGTGGTGCACGGAATTGTGTGTAATCCACTAGAAACATCATTACTGATTGGTTAATCAAATGTCTGACGTCATGGGGTCAAAAGCCACTCGTTTGACCACTGACGCGACCTATCACTACAACCGGCCAGACTTTCATGTAGCTTAGGCCATCGAAAGTATAAAAAACGAAACGAAATATGCATCTGTAGTTTAATTAGATTGGATACAATTAGTACGGTTGTATTATCATGAGTTCGGAATTTTATAGCAAACATATAACACACTTAAGGTAACACCATTGGCTATTTAAACTTTCAAACTAAGGTTCATCTAGAATCTCCAAGTCCCTGATCCACTTTGTTGGGGCCAAAAACTCATGTCAAATCTTAATTTCGAAAATAAGCCACTTTGTGAAAGATGGCCAGTGCCTTTAATATTGTCTGATTGGAATCTTTCAGGACCCGTGTTTAATAACCAATGAAACTAATTATGAACCATATGAAAGGATGAAAGAGGTTGATGGTAATATTAAATGGTCGAATGATACCACCTCTCTTCCTGCTAATAGCTCGGACGAGACAGGAGCTATACTTGGCTTTGTAAGTAGGCAGAAGTATTTCTGGACATGTTTTCAGAGGCGTGGGTGGGGCGGTTATAGCATAATCAACTCATTCGTCAAGTGTCAATGTATTTACTTCAAATGGGTCTGTTTCTTACGTCTATTTTCCATCAGAATGGAATCTCGACCTCTAACGAATTTCCAGCAGGGATTCCCGTGTTTGTGGTGAAGGACGGATACCATGGCAAGTTCTTCGGATGACACGAAAAATGGAGGCTTATTGTATACCAAAAGCAGCACGTTGACGATCTTCTGGTAGATTAAAATAAGAGCGCCATTGTCAGGCCAAAGCGCACTGCATGGCGTATGCCCTTCATCATTAGCCTGGTTAGTGGACGAAAGTTAATCTCCATTTCATTTCAGCTTAATGATTTAATCGGAACGAAATGAACATCAACGACCCTCTAAATGTTACACAAGAGTATATCTGTGTAGAAACATGATTAAGTACACACCACTGCTACGATAGGTGAAACCTATTACATGCGGCCATAATATGTTTTATTATGTTACACGTTTCAGGTTTGGCCAAAAGGGAAGGTAGTGTTTCCCGATTACTTTAAGAATTCCACACGTGAAGTTTGGAAAGAGCTGATAAAAATACATTATAATACAACTATGCAATTTGATGGTCTGTGGGTGGTAAGTCTTTCTATATAACATCATGTATGACGACAAAACCATATTATTTGGTTTAGAATATTTGCGAACGTTAATGAAACATTAAGACTTTTCACGGTTTACAAAAAATGGCCTCGATGGCGTGATTGAGGATAAACGTTTTGTATAACCACACCAGCCATTTTGCTATTGTCTGCTTTTATATCCCCATAGCCACGGTGACACAGTGAATATGACATCGCCTCACTAGTTAGGAGGCCCTGTGTTTTCCCGGGAAAGTTTAAAGGGATTTTACAGCAAAAGCAATTTGCTCAATGATGAGGGCTGGCAAGGAATGACACCTAGTCGTGCTAATGGAGAGCACTCTGAAAAAAAAACGACAGTAGCCTTAATGATTGTAGCGCCTCAGTCAATGTCCCTTATAGCACACTGTATGGTGTGTTTCCATCTTTACTAACCCGATTGGTGGAGAATAGTAAGACGTCAAACTATTGTTATAGTGATAACAGATATCTATTTCGTACATATAGGATATATTTACATCGGAACATAATATTAAACAGCTACATAAATTAAACACCAACACGGTACGTTAATATAGTATATGTCTATATTTCAACCAATTCGCCCTTCTGCCTCGGCAGCGGCTGAACTCGGATGAGCCCATTCGTTGGTCTCTGCTCCTACCCCTCCCCCGCTCGTCTCTCTGTCAGCAGACTTCGGTTATATAGCATTCGATAAGAAAATGGATAAGCGTCATGATCATATATGGAATTGCCTATTTATCACGTTATGGGATTCATATTCAGAGAGAGAGAGAGAGAGAGAGAGAGAAAGAGAGAGAGAGAGAGAAAGAGAGAGAGAGAGAGAAAGAAAGAGGCCTAACATCCACTCGACTCAGGCTAGGTCATTTCGGGACTAACATATGGTTCAATTTTTATTTCAGTAATTCGCTTGCGCGTATGGGTTATGAAGTGGGAGGAAACATGCGGACCCAGAGAAAACCCACGAGGTTGGATATGCGGCCCTAATCGTCACGTACAACAGGGGAATCGAAACCACGCCAGTTGACTCAATGACAAACTTTATGGTACAGCGTGCTGGCGCTAACCATTCAGCCAACCCACCCCCAGAGTTGAAAAGTCAATATCTTATACTATCAAACCCAGATGGGGGTCAATAAGTTCTATGCACCTAAATGATCGTTCAGTTTGATATAGAACCTTTTTTCACATTCCATCTCATTCGTTTTTTGCTTTTATATCGATGGCTCGTTATATTTATGAAGGATATGAACGAACCTGCAAACTTTGGAACCAATGAAGAGAAACCATGGAACTGGCCAAAAGATGCTAGACCTTATTGGAGTTTAAAATGTCCGACAAGTAAATGGGATGACCCACCGTACAGAACAAGTAAGTTATCTGAACAAAACAAATCCCCAGCACTCGTCGGCAAAATCTTACAGAACAAGTAAGTATTCTGAACAAAACCAATCCCCAAAACCCATCCCCAAGTAAGTAATGTCTTCACCCAACGACTCACAGGACATGTAAGTATTATGAACAAAAACTCCACTCAAAACCTTACAGACTAAGTAAGTACTCTACACAAAGCTCTATCCAAAACCTTACAGAATACTGTAAATAAGTACTCTACAGCTCTATCCAAAGCCTTACATAATAAGTATGTACTCTGAACAAAGTTCTACCCAAAACCTTACAGGGCAACTAAGTACTCTGTACAAAGCTCTACCCAAAGTCCTACAGAATAAGTAAGTACTCTGTACAAAGCGCTACTCAAAGCCTTACAGAATAAGTACGTAAACTCCTAGGCAAACTCCTTTCTCCAAAATCTTTTTTATTCTTCAAATCGGTATATAGATAAAGAAAGATTAGGTCCATAAAACTGGAGTGATCGTTTAGCGAAGTCTTCCCAAAGGAAGTAGGTTTTGTTTCTGAGCCATATATCTTCCTTCACTAGAGTACATTGTTATAATATATATTTTGTAGAAGCAGCATATAAACACGATAATAAAGATCGTGCAGAAAGAATATCAAGTAAAACAATATGTCTATCGACTGTCCAGGGTGAGAACGGTGAATACAGACATTATGATGTACATAGTTTATATGGCTGGAGTCAAACATTACCTACACTAGAGTAAGTTATTAATGTTGACTGTGTCCACTAGATCCAACGAATATCCCCGTAAAGTTGCAATTTCATATTTTTAAGTTATATTTTTAAAATTTATTAAAATAAAGCCTTAAAATAGATGGTATCTATAAACAGTCCTACCTTGTTAAAGAATAATCCTATTTATCCTATAATTTACAATTGCCAGTTGAGAAATTGGCAAAAATATCATTTTTAACTTCAAATTCAAACGTTTGACGATAGCTATTCCATGAGGGGAATAGAAAAACAAGGGATGTAATTGTGTTACTATTTCTGGGGTCAAAGGATTTTTAAGAGGGAGAATAATGCCTATGATCGTATAATAGTGAGTTGACAACCTATTCAGCAAAAGACATAGAAATAATTATGTTTTGACTTTCTTAGAAAATATGAAATTATCGCTTTAAGATAGGTTCACACTTGACTGCCTACAACCCCTTACGTATATCTATACTAATATTTGTGACTGTCGTTTGTTTATGTTTGTTTGTTTGTCTGTTCAGAGGTGACTGCTACACTAGGGCTAACACAGAGCTGAAATTTAGAGTAAAATAGGCCTGGCGGTGATTGCATACCACTTCCAGTTTCGGAGTTCTAACCCCCGGGCGAAGTCGAGCAATCTTTTAGTTATTATTAATTCGAAAATCTATTTTAGGAAAGTTGTAGCTTTCTCAGCCCATATATGACTTGCATTTAGTTTTTATTGCATCCATTGTTGTTAATTACAAAACGTGGATAACGAATCTATAGTAGCCTTTATTGGTTTGGGCATAATTAGGTTACGTTCGCCTATCCCGATGGAAGATCCAATTTCTGAAGATCCAAGTCTAATTTTAGGGGAAAAAATTTGGGCCTACCCATAACGAAGCCTTGTCTAGGTACACAACATTGTTATTTTATGTTTTAGCTTACAAGAAAGTTTATCGGTTAAATATAATTTTATAATGAATAATGACAAATCGCCGACAAGTAAACTTTTTATCAGATAATTGCAATTCTATGCAGATAACAGTTACTGTACCTGTCCAACTAAATAAAACTCTCTGCTCTGTGGGCACCCACATTGTGTTGGCATTAAATTTAGAGTAAGATATGAAATATGGTGGTGAAGGCATGATGCAGTGTGTCGGGGGGGGGGGGTGATTCTGCCTTGAGAGCGGCGCTACGGCCTACTCTTATTGTAATATCCAACTGTCCGAGAATCTTTAATGTGCCGCCTGTGATATACACGGGATCTTGATCCCCCCGCCCCCACTCACGACAACACTGAACATAGTGTATACGAAATTTGGTTTATAAAACATACAGAAAATACTCCATAAAATGTAATTACATTTACCTGTTTTTATTATTTCTATTTTAGAGGGTAGAGATCAACTACCGGTAAATGTGACATGATTACTGAATATTTACTGATATGTATCTGTTACATATATTTTTATTATTTCTATTTTAGAGGATTGAGATCAGCTACCGGTAAACGTGGTATGGTTATCTCGAGGTCGACATATCCAGGTAGTGGACGATATTCTGGTCATTGGTTAGGTGATAACGGTAGCGGCTGGAGAGACATGGCAGAATCTATTATTGGTAATAATAGTGATTCTTAATTTTATGGGAATATAATTCATTTTTATTTATTGTTCTAATGTGCTTATATCATTTTTCACAAAATGTAATAGCGCCGAAGATCAGCAATCTTTACTTGAGTAGAGGCGCTCTATAAATGTATTATAGAATTCAGCAAAAGTGATATCTTACACTATCTATAAGATCACTATATTATGTTTAGAATTATTATTTATTTTCAGCAACAATGAAATCATAAACTATCATATAAAGAGGCTTTAACACTTTCAACAAGAAAATAATTATGATTAGTTTTATTTAACATTATATTCAAAACATCCCCAAACTCACCTAATGTTTGAAAATACAAACCCTGGTGTACTTGTAGCAAAACCTGAAGCACATGCATGAGCTGAACTCCCTGAAAACTATAATGAGTAATGAATCGCCTCAGCGATAGATTGATAGTTCTGTATTACAGTTTGCATATTGTATAGAAAAATCACGATAAATTGAAACATTTTAACAGTTGGCGAAGATTTTCTAAAGCCCTATTTTAAATATACAATTGTATTTAGAAATTACTAGGAGTGGGATTGTCGTTGATAATTTATTTGGATATATATACGTTGTTTTTATTTTTAGGTATGCTTGAATTTAACTTGTTTGGCATCCCATATGTAAGTACTTTTAATAATAACGCTGAAAACGTCATTTAAGAACAACGCTGATAGAGTCTTTTAAGAATAACACTGAAAACATCCTTTAACACTAATGCTGAAAATGTCTTTTAAGAATAACACTGAAAAATACCTTAAGAATAGCACTGAAAACACCATTTAAGAATAAAGATTGAAGCGTCTTTTGCCAAATGTCTTCTAGGAATAAAGCTGAATACGTCTTTTTGCCAAGAAAATACGTTGCTCACCTAAATATTGATGAATTAAACTGCCGAATATCTTTGAATAACTTTGCCCCATTTTATCATTTTATTTTTATTTATTGAACCTGTCACCAGATCGGGGCTGATATATGTGGATTCTGGGGTAATGTTGACAAAGAACTCTGTAAAAGATGGATGCAGCTCGGTGCCTTTTATACATTTAGTAGAAACCATAATGGAATAAGAAATATTGTAAGTATAAATAAAATAAAACCAAGTACGAACAATCCAACTTTCTTGAAGTGTCGCAGTAACTACAATCTGTTCAAATACAGATCAGTATTTCGTTTCGTTTTATTATACAACCTTCGATAAAAAGCGAAACTTAATAGGATCTGTGTTTTAATAAGACTGCAATAGCTAATGAGTTTCAATATATAAGTATTGCAATGTCTAAATATTCCATAGAACAAAAACAAAATCGCATTTATAATCTCAGTAGTTTGACGAGCCATACATATTTTTGTGAAATAAAGGGACATAATGTTTTAAATAGAAATAGGTAAATCATAAATCGCGAGCTTGTTGTTCATGGATGTCTCAAGAAGATTTTCCTCACTTTAATTCTAAATCTAACTTTTCTATTATTTCTATTAAATATATAGCCACAAGATCCGGGATCACTTGGTGATGACGTTGCACATGCATCTAAGGTTGCCATAGAAACACGATATTGGTTTTTACCCTATCTATATACATTGTTCCATGAAGCTCACACACAGGGTAATACGGTTATACGACCATTACATCACGAGTAAGTTATTTACATCGTTTTTCTCTTCCCCTCATTTTATTTTCTACAATCAGAAACCTACGGAACTAGGGCCGTATTTAGCGGGGATGCAGGGGGTACATTGCCCCCCCCCCCGAAAAATAAGGCTCCCCGTGAAATTGCGCCCCACCCAATCCCAAAAAACAAAAAATATTTGACAATCTTTCAATTATGCTCTTAAGGCACTGATCAGTCGATCGGTTTTAAGGGCGCCCACTACCAAATTGGTTCGTTTGCCGTGATCCAAACTTTCTTATATCACATACGTTGGGGCTATGGCGCCCCACCACTCTGCTGCATCCCCACTTTTAAAATCCTACATACGGCCCTGTACGGAACCCCCTTTTAATGACAAAAAGAAGACTCACAATTAGAAGGATATCGAAGAAATGAATCTAAAATCTTGACCACAATTCACACAGCTACAAGATTTTGCTGGTAGAGGTCTTTTAGCCTAATGTATTTAATATCCTTAATATTTTAGATTTAGAAATGATGCTATGGCGCTTGGAATTGATAAACAGTTTCTTTGGGGACCGGCACTTCTTATATCACCTATATTAGAACAGGTATTTCATTTATCCCTTGGAGCAGTCAATAATGAAAATGCAATGGGATTTAACGTCCTACGCTTCTGCCCCCCCCCCCCAACGATAATGAAGACAGGCATCTCAATACAGTGTGCTATTACGGAGAATTTGACCGGAACCCTTATTTCGAATTCCAAATGTTAAGAGTTCTTTTACGTGCACGTCAGTATACGGGACCATCCGAACGACTAGACAGTCCTTGCCAGGTTTTTCGTCTTGCACCGCTACAATGGGTAACCCTAACGACCAACACCGGGGAGCAAATCAATACTAGAACAGCCCTGATATACAAATTATGGAATACGATTTTCCTCTATAACTTCATGTTTTATCATTGGATAACATGTAGAAGTAGAGGTATAACACAACACAACTTTATTAAATGAAATGAAATGAGTTTAACATCGTACTGTTCTGCTCCGAACTGGCCTAATGAAGACGTACATACGCCATACAGTGTGCAATGAGGGGAATTATGCCCGGACAGCGGCACTATGGCCTAATCTTATATCGAATTCCAACTGTCAAGGGATCTTTTACGTGCACGCCAATGTGTACACGGGACCTCGTTTTTTTTGTATCATCCGAACGACTAGACAGTTGTCCTTGTCAGGCCCTCCGTCCTGCTTCACTAACAAGGGGGAACCACGACGGAAAATCTGGATGAACTTTCTCGGCCAATGCAGGGATCGAACACCCGACCTCCAGGCTAGCGAGCCAGCGTCTTACCGACTTAGCCATCGTGCCTCCCCCCTCACACACACACACAGTGTCTCCATAAAGTTTTCTATAAACTACGGTTATATTAATCACATTTTGTATTTACAATGTCCTCGTATCACGTATCCATTGATTACACGTATTACTTGTCAGTCCAAGCTTTATAATTTCGAACCCATGAAATTTCAATCGAGAGTGCAGTGTCAGCTAGATACCTTACGTAAACTACTATAAATTGGACCTGTATGTTCGAAGAAATAACCATACTCTATTTTATCTATTAGGGACAAACTACGTTGAAGTATTTTCTACCACAAGGAATATGGTACAACTATTATGATGTAAGCATTCAATACTTACTAATATATCACTTTTTATTTTATGATCAGTAGTGGAATACCGCGTTTTATCAGTGAAATAAAAGTGTTATTCCACTGGCTAGTTGTTTTTACCTAAAATGATTGTAAAATCATAACATAAATAGAACATTTGTCGTTTTGTCGTGAATAACATATTTTATTTCATCTCTAAGCAAGAAAACGTTTATATTTTCACTCATGCTACGCATTCGTGAAAGTATAAGTTTTCTTGCTTCTCGATGAAATAAAATATGTTATTCACTCTAAAACGACAAATATCCTCTATATATATTGTCTTTAATGCATAAATAACAACTACCAAATTGGGAGCTGATTTGTTAAGATTGTCAAAACATTGTGAACAAATTGTAATGTTGAATGTTTCAACATTCCATTTCATTGGTATGTTAGTTTAATATAATGTTTTACATTACAAACTTCAGTCAACACAATTGGGGGAGCTGAACGGTTTTGGGTTTTATTATTCACCTATAAATGAAACATAACTCGACAATCATACATCAATGTGTCATAAATGTATTAATTTAGGGTCAACCAGAAAATGGTCCAGAATATCGCAACATGGCAGTCGAACCCGATTCGCCCATCCCGCTACATACACGAGGAGGGCACATTCTTCCATTACAACAACCGGCTAATAATACACATTACAGGTAAAATCGAATATATTTTGTTACTATATAGCCTTAACATAAACAAAAGAAGAGTTTTCAATGCCCTTAAATATACTTCACCATAAAATGCTGCATACCTCCCTGCCATCTGAAATGTCGAATGTCATCTGACATTTTCGGTGTTTGATGTTTTTTACATTGTATGAAATAAAATATTTTTCTCAAATACTCTTCAAAAAAAGTAGGGGATATTGAAATGCAAATACCTATGTAGGCTGTGATATGATAAATAGTCATGGACACTTGACATGCTTTAAGAGTATGTTCACAGATGAAGAACTTATCGCCCAAACAGAACCACTGAGCTGCACCTTCGACACGCAATAGCGCCATACATATGGGAGGTGTTCGTTGTCAAATTTGACACTTCAAGGAAGGGTTGATGAAAACTGCCGCTTGCTGGTTTATCCTATCCATATTTGCTTTCTTATCGGTTCTTGCATAGGATTTACTGTTTAGCGTATCTTTGCTTTTAGTGTGTTACGTTTCATTTGATTGGGATACGTGTTCGTCGACGTAAACTTCAACTGACAACACTGCAACAGGAGTGGGTCAGATGGCCCCAAATAGTTATTGGACGGTTGATTAGGAGCATGCCACGACGAATTGCTGAATGTCTTCGGATTGGTGGAGCAATTACTCATTATTAAGACAAAAATCAAAAACGTCCATTTTCACTTTTATATTATGTTCGTAAGAATAAAAATCGAAATACTTACCTGCCTCCTGAGATGTAGAATTCCCTCTGTGATTTTCGATGTTTAGGATGTTTTGTACATTGTATGAAATAGAATATTGTTTTAAGTTATAGCCATAAGATGTTTTGTTTCTACTATTTGGCCTCTAGAATGCACCACATATTTTTTTACTGATTAATGTTCTGTCCATTGTATGATAAATTACTAAACCGTTTTATATTACAGTCGTAAGAATAGTTTTAAGGTATTAGTAGCATTGAGTGATATGGATACAAACAACGGTCAAGCTAGTGGTCAACTCTTCTGGGATGACGGTGAATCAATAGGTAAACTATATATGTGTATATGTGTTGGGTTAACTCATGTTAATATATCTGAGAGAGAGAGAGGGGGAGAGAGAGAGAGAGAGAGAGAGAGAGAGAGAGAGAGGGTGACGTCCACTCGACACAAATTTGTTCATTTCGGGTTTAACATGTGGTTCAATTTTATTTCAATAATTCGCTCGCGCGTACGATTCTTTATCTGTGGGAAAACCCGGGAGGTTGGACAATGACAGACCTTATGATCTAAGGTGATGCCGTTGCAAGCGTTAGACCATTAAGCCACCCAACCCCATCTGTCATAGTAATGTGTCGGGTTATATTGCCCTCTACTTTAAAACACATTACCGTACGTTTGACCATTCAAGTATTATTACCATATACTGTATTTTAAGGATATAATTTCTAGATTGTTTGAAGCAAACTGCCATTTTAACTTTCTTTTCTTTTTCAGATGCGTACGAATCGGGAAATTATTATTTATCCAAATTCATATCAGAAGAGGTGATATCATTTTCTTATTATAAAATATATGCAAAGACCTGTAAAATATCCGTAGTTATATTATGATCTCATATGCAGCCATAAGTATTACTCCCACACTGAGCAAATAATCGACAAATTCACATCATGTTCGCATATATTATCAAATTATTTATTGTTATTCAATTTAGTAATTTGTCTGATTTCGTGTTTTCTTTTCTTCTCAGAAAACATTAAAAATGAAAGTAGAATATAACAGTGTTGCAGAGATCAGCAATCTTTATATAGATTCCATAGAAGTATGGGGTGTTGCCACTGACGTTCAAAGTGTCCGAGTGTTTTCATCCTCTAATCATCAGATACTGCAACATCATTATGATAAGGACAAAAAGGTATCCAACGTTATTTATAAAGAAATTAAATTAATTTCTGTGTGTGTATTATGAAAATAAAATTTTAATAACATCGACCCTGAAAACCACCAACTTGTTTTATATAGAAATTAACTTAATTTCTGGGCGCGTATTATGAAAATAAAATTTATCAACATCGGTCCTAAAGACCAATCACACCCAAAGTACACAGCTCTATAATAACGGATTAGTGTTATCGCAAATGGACTTAATTAGGCTGGCGTAAAAAAAGTGGCTGGTGTCTTCATAGCAAAGTGGGCCTGTTCGACGGAGAGGGGGTCGGGTGTTCCGCACACAATAATGAAGGTGAAGTTATAATGTAATCGAAGCCTACATAGAAATGAGGTGATCGGGTCTTCTGGGCAGCGTAAGCACATAATATTATGATAGAAGGAGGCGGTGTTCGTAGAAAAGTCGTCACACTAACAATCATAAATGTAAAAGTATGATATCGTAGCTGGGGTACTGGCGTTGGGGGAAATTCTGAGCAACGGCGTTCATAAAATAAAAATACGATAGAGTAACTGACGTCTCTATGCCAGATTGGAGTAGCATGTGACTGTTAGACGAAGTATACCGACGATCATAAAGCGAAAATTATGATATTTTTAATACTATTTTCAGATTTTGAAAATAATGAATGGAAGGTTACCTTTATCTCAGCCTTTTGAATTGTACTGGAGGTAAAGTATATTTTAAAAATTAAACCACGGGTTTAAAACAACAGGTAGACTTGAATTGATCAAATAGATGTGATGCCCAATGTTAATTAGTAGATCAAATCGGGGTTAGCCTCGCAAGATGTGATGCTAGGGTAATGTCCAGGTTGATTAATTTTTGATTTATTTAATTTTAAAGGGTATCCAATGATAACACATATTATAGCAAATACATAGAATAAAAGTTAGCGACGATTCCAAGAAGGTTCACTCATCTTTATCAAGCAAAGAATCCGTTGATATTTACCGTAATTTATCGTAATTTTCATCGCAAAATAACAAATACAAAGACACCTAAAAGAACAAACCTAATATATCAGAGGAAGTGAAAGGATCCAGGGGCGATAACGAATTCTGTCCTATTTGTCGCTGTTGGTTACTGGATAAACGCTACAGATATCCTTCGCATGTTAATAAACATGGGTATCCAATACCTTTGCACTGTAAGGGCCTTGCAACTATAAGTTTGTCGTTTTTCAAAAGCTACATTAAACCGCCCGTTTTTTTTATTTAAATGAATCTGGCACAGCCCTATTAATATGAAATTGTTGACAAATTCCAAAAATAAATATTAGTACAAATCTCCGGGGTTTTGTTTAATATTTTCAGTCCGGTAACTAGTGATGATTTTACAAGAATCGATTGCTATCCAGATGCACAAGGTATGTTTGTTAAAGTAAACAAAACTCAGTGTGACCAGAGAAATTGTATCTTTGACGCCAGTAGTAAAGAAGGCGTTCCTATGTGCTATTTTAATAATAGCAATTATGGCTACCGCAAGAATGGTGATGCTCAAGAGACGGATGAGGGATACAGGATTCCATTACAGAAAACATCAAATCCGGGGCCTTTCGGAGATGATTTAACTAATATTACGTTCGAAGTGCAGGAATTGGATGATCATCTTTTGCGAATTAAGGTAATGTAATTCAGTAAAACAGTAGGCTATGCTTAATCTTTCCATTTAGGAATCCCAATTACTGGACTGTGTATTTACTGGAGAGAGAGGGAGGGTGGGGTTAACGTCCACTCGTTACAAACTACTTGATTTCGGGACTAACACATGGTTCAATTTTTGATTAAATAATTGCCTTGTGCGCAGGATGTTAAGCAGTGGGAGGAAACCGGAGGACCAGGAGGAAACCCACGGGGTTGGACAGGCGACCCTACTCCCTGTCACGTACAAGGGGGGAATCGAAACCACGCCATTTCACTCAATGACAGACCTTCTAAACAAACGCGCACGTGTTAACCATTTGGTCACCCAACCACCCATGTATTTACAGGACTATGTGTTTAACTATGTATTTACAGGACTATGTATTTTGTTTTATGAAATGAAATGGGGTTTAACGCCCTTCTTTTCTACACCAACTGTGCTAATGAAAATGAGACATCATCATTTTCCCCTTTCAACTGTCAACGAGTCAGCTTTTTGTATTATCCAAATAACTAGACGATTTTCCTTGTAATACACTTAGTCCTACTCCCACTGACAAGACTGTCCTCATTAGCCCAATAGGAGTAGAACAGTAGGTCGTTAAACCCCATTCCATTTCACCACTGACAAGAGTAAGCCACGCTAAAAAAATGTCTCTAAGAAATGTCATGGCCAACACTGAGATCTGCTGGTTAGCTGGTTAGTGCCGTTCTCACTGAGCCGACTCTTTTATTGGGCCTTTAACTTGGTTTGCGCGTTCTCCTTTGTTTCAGATTTATGATCCATCAGCTCAGAGATATCAAGTACCAATCAAATTAAATTTGCCAAATGCCCGACCGGAAGAGCCTCGATATCGGATTGTTTACCCCAATAATGATACGTTTAGTTTCCAGATCGTACGAAGAAGTACTGGAGCTGTTTTGTAAGTTAATTATGCATCAATTATAAACAAATACAATAGGCATATTTATAAACTTAAATTAAAGGGGTTAAAATGTTAATCTTTTATGAATAAAATAGAGTTGAAAAATTATAGGAAATGACATTTATAGTGGACTTATGTTTGTAAACCGCCTAGCTGATGGAGCTGTCTACGGTCTATCATCGCCTTTATCCGTCCCTGAATTAAGGGGACGGTTATCTAATATTCCACTCAATTCATCAGATGCCCCGATCAGACAATGTATAATTGTGACTATATTATAGAGCTAAGGAAATATGTAATGTCATGAGTTGTGCTATGAAATTTATAGGACTATTATATTCGGTTGACACCAATCAGAACCTAAGACATTTCCACCTCGGGCTACAATCAGGGTAGCCAAGACAATACCTATGTGCTTGAACAAGACAAAATGTCCCCCCATCTCCCATACCTGTGCGAGCACTATGCGAAAATAGGAGGTGAGAGATCGGATATGGAGTTCTGGGGCACGAATACAAGACACGTATCCCCCACCCCTTCAGCTTCATATTCCCTGGAGCGATATACTGGCTGCACCCCCCTCTCCTTGGGTCTGGATAGAATTACCTTTGAAACGTTTTTACAATAATCCGGTATTGTTTCTTGTGTAATTTTGCTATATTTTCAATAAATTAATGCGAATTCTTTATATTCCAACAGATGGGATACAGGTGTGGGCGGCTTTACCTTTGCTGATCAGTTTTTACAGATCGCCACAAAACTACCCTCTGAAAATATTTATGGATTTGGTGAAAATATAAAAAAATCTTTCCGTCATAATTTGTGGTTTAAATCATGGCCGATGTTCAGTCGGGATGAAAATACACTTGGCAATGTAAGTTTTAAAGAGTTTGATTTTTCTTTTTTATTTTATAACATAATCATGTGATGTGATTTTTTTTCAAATATTATCACCATGTGATGTGTATTGTTTATAGTACCACCACGTGATGTGTATTGTTTATAATACCATCACGTGATGTGTATTGTTTATAGTACCATCACGTGATGTGTATTGTTAATAATACCACCATTTGATGTGTATTGTTTATAGTACCATCACGTTATGTGTATTGTTTATAGTACCATCACGTGATGTGTATTGTTTATGGTACCACCATTTGATGTGTATTGTGTATAATTATGTGATGTGTATTGTTTATAGTACCATCATGTGATGTGTATTGTTTATAGTACCATCATGTGATGTGTATTGTTTATAGTATAATTATGCGATGTGTATTATCGTCAATAGTTTAATTATGTGATGTGTACCATTTATAGCTCAATAATATTTTGTGTACTATTTATAGACCCAGTCAAATCATTATGGTGTTCATCCATTTTATATGTGTATTGAAAATGATGGTCAATCTCATGGTGTCTTATTCTTAAACAGTAATGCTCAAGGTAAACTTAGCACGTTTCCGTTAACTGTTGCCAACAATATGAACATGTTTAAAGAAGCCGAATCTGTTTAAAGATGGGTTCCCAAAAAAGTATTTATCGGGTGGTTATTTCCAATAAAAGTATGGCAATTTTGGTATATATGAAATGTAGAGATATCCAATCTTACTAGAAAAATACTGGATTCCCCGAAAAACACTCATGGAGCGTATCCAGGACAAAAATGTAAGGGTTCCCCTAATCAACAGCCCGACGATTAAGAATTTCTGCACGCGTGATGTCAAAGGTCACACACGAACATTGAGCGCTTGATGTACAAGTTGATAAACTTTATAAAGAGTTAGACGTACTTTCTGAGATAAAAATGACAGAAAATGATGCGGGTAGTAGATAATCCGAGAATTTAATTCGGATTCGATATCTGTAGTAAATAGTAAACGATTAAATACAACATCGTCTTATGTATGCATTGAATTCTCCTCTTACTTCCAAGACGTGACGTAAACATGACCTGGTTTGATCAAATTTTATTAGCAGGCCATTCCTTCGCAATTACAATGTTTGAGAAGGATTTAAAGCATAATTATGACAAATTAATTAGTTTGAATATGTTTTTGGTCCATATATACCATTAAATCACCCAGTTTGTACGCGGGAACCCATCTTTAATTAAGGCTAATATAAATTGTTGAATGTCGTTGATCTGTTAAATTATTTCCATTAGTAATATATAATGATCATATAAGACAATGGTGGCCAAACATTTAGGTTCCATGTATCAAATGCTAGGCTGTAGATGTGCCATATAACCCCAGAAGATGCTAACAGAGATAGAAGCATTATTTAATTTAATGGGCAGTTACGGATTTACCTATAGGTTTGGCAGAGCCGCAAGACCTGGTGTGGGGGGGGGGGGGCTCCCTCCGGTGTATAATATTCATAGACCTCTCTTACACACACTCTAGTCTTAAACACTCGCCATCAACTGGGTCTTACTTGGTTTTGTTTAAAACACTATCTATTCTCCTCTAGTCGCAAGGATGGAAGATGCAACGGAGATTAATAGCCAAAGGAGTCTCTTCAGCTAAATCTGATACTGTGAATGTAGCATTTGATTTTGCTTTCATTTTGCCAAGCTGTTTATGTTTAGTTTCAATTATACTGAAACGTCCGTTTCTCAGAGATGAGTTACCACATCTGTAACCTCACAAACAATCTATGTGAACACTCCTTATGTACTAGTAAATGTATAGAGGATCTTCAAAATCTAATGGCCTATGTGAACACCCCTTATGTACTAGTAAATGTATAGAGGATCTTCAAAATCTAATGGCCTATGTGAATACCCCTTATGTACTAGTAAATGTATAGAGGATCTTCAAAATCTAATGGCCTATGTGAACACCCCTTATGTACTAGTAAATGTATAGCGGGTCTTCAAAATCTAATGGCCTATGTGAACACCCCTTATGTACTAGTAAATGTATAGAGGATCTTCAAAATCTAATGGCCTATGTGAACACCCCTTATGTACTAGTAAATGTATAGAGGATCTTCAAAATCTAATGGCCTATGTGAACACCCCTTATGTACTAGTAAATGTATAGAGGATCTTCAAAATCTAATGGCCTATGTGAACACCCATTATGTACTAGTAAATGTATAGCGGGTCTTCATAATCTAATGGCCTATGTGAACACCCCTTATGTACTAGTAAATGTATAGCGGGTCTTCAAAACCTAATGGTTCTGCAGTATATAACTAAAGCTTGTGGTCTACTACTTCTGGAATATATAATAAAATCTATATGACCTACTGCTTCTGTATACAACAAAACCTAATGGCCCAGTTCTTCTGTAGTACATGTATACAACAAAACCTAATGGTCCAATTCTTATGTAGTATACAACAAAACCTAATGGCCTAATTCTTATATAGTATACAACATAACCTAATGGCCTAATTCTTCTGTAGTATACAACAAAACCTAATGGCCTATTTCTTATATAGTATACAACGAACATATGGCCTAATTCTTCTGTAGTATACAACAAAACCTAATGGCCCAATTTTTCTGTAGTATACAACAAAACCTAATGGTCTAATTTTTATGTAGTATACACCAAACGATATATATATGACCTAATTCGTCTGTAGTATACAACATAGGATATAACATTAATGCATTATTTTTGTCTGTAGATTATTCTTTCACGCCGTTACCTATGCTGATCTATAAAACTATCGGAGGAATATTCGACATTTTTTTCTTCTTGGGTCCAGAGCCAGAAAACGTTGTTCAGCAATATACTACTGTAAGTATTTGATGTATTATATTTAGTTCTGGGGATTATTGAAACATGCAGTAGAATAGCAGATAGAAAAGATCCCCCTTCCCTCATACTCCTAGCAGTGTTTCATTTGATTAGACCTAATCCCACTTAACACTGCTGTAATGAAAGTAAATGTTTGTTCCAAATTATGCCCGGTCATGACTCACGAAATTTATAACGCCCAATCAACCTTTGCATAGCAGAATATTGAAGAAAAACTAATTGCGTGACCAACGAGGCTAGCAAACGGCTACATTGTAAACAATACTGTTTGGAGACGACCAATACATTCACCGTTTTTAATACCTTAAACACTGTCCAAAGTTTTATGGAAGACCCCAGGTTAAACGAAGGGCTGTCATGTTGCTGTGATTTTGGATAGATTTGATTGAACGGGAAGAATAGACACATTCCCTCAAAAGCGCAAGTATCAGAAGCCAATCCAGCAATTACCAGAGAGGGATTTCTCGGAACATAGCTTCAGGAATACTCACCTCCATTCCCAGCTTAAATAAATTGAAAAGAGTTTTAAGCGTAAGTTGACTAAATGGGAGTCGATAGAAATTTAACAGAATTTTACTTGCGATTTTTTAATTGTTGGGATGAGGTGGTCATAAAAAAATCAATCGGACAGCGCCTTTATTAAGCAGCATTGCCGTAAGAGTTTGATTGGAATGTTAAATAAATATTAAGTTTTAACTATTGTAAACGATATTATCCTGGTGTCAAGGGGGGGGGACGAGCGAGAGAGGGACAGAGAGAGGGAGAGAATTAACGTCCACTGGACACAAACCAGGTCATTTCGGGACTAACATATGGTTCAATTTTATTTCATTAATTCGCCCGCGCGACGGGTCTTTAGCAGTGGGAGGAAACAGGAGGACAGGAGAATACTCACGAGGTTGGACAAGCGACCCTACTCCTTGTCACGTACAACCGGGGATTCGAAACAACGCCAGTTGACTCAATGATACAGCGCGCCCGCGCTAACCATTCTGCCATCCAACCCCCTGGTGTCAAGGTGTTACTTATGTTTCAGATGATTGGAAAACCTTACATGCCACCATATTGGAGTTTAGGATTTCAGCTCTCTAGGTATGGTTATAACAGTCTTAATGCCATGCAGGAAGCTGTAAATAGAACAAGAGATGCTGGAATACCACACGTGAGCAAAAACATTTCTTTCAAGAAATTAACTTATCCAGACCATAATCAACTCTCGATGATATATTGGTTTTATTTCGGGCATATTATACAATGCTGATGTAATGGATTAGAAGCTTATTAAAAATTCATCTGTAACATATTAATTCAATATAAAAAGATGCAGATCCTAAATCTGAAACGTCGAGATGAATCGAACTGTCAGCGATGTTAAATCACCGGGCAAGATATTCCAAGCGATCGGTACAGAGAAGAAAAATTAAACTTAAAGTTTTAATTTTCTGTACAGACCGGTGTAATGTAGACGAGCATCCGCCCTGTAGTGACCATTGAAAGCCATTTTTCTAGGGCGGCGGCTTTTCCCCCTACTCGGTTAGTGTGTCATTGAGAGTAACGTTATCTTTGCCCCTTGCCTGCACCACTGACAAGCGGGAAATAGGATGGAACATCTGGGTCCGACTGGTTAATAACCCATCGTGGTCCCCTCGATATAGTGAAAACTTACGCCACTCGTCAAAATTATTATGGCTATGAAAGCTGTTATCCCAAATCAACCAATTGTGCTGTCAAGATCAGACATCACACACCATTATCATTTAAATCGGATATATTTGTCCAAATATTTGGATTCCCCAAACTATACTCTTCAAAAAAGTAGGGTATATTGAAATGCAAATACCTATGCAGGTTGTGATATGATAAATAGTCATGGACACTTGACATGCTTTGAGAGTATGTTCACAGATGAAGAACTTATCGCCCCAACAGAACCAAGGGTTGATGAAAACTGCCACGTGCTGGTTTATCTATCAATGTTTGCTTTTCTATCGGTTCTTGCATAAGATTTACTGTTTAGCGTATCTTTGCTTTCGTGTGTTACGTTTAATTTGATCGGTAGACCTGTTCGTCGACGTCAACGTCAACCGACAACACTGCAAGAATTGGCCGTGGCACTGCAAGAGGAGTGGGTCAGATTGCCCCACTCATTATTAAGACGAAAATCAAAAACGTCCATTTTCACTTTTGACGGTGTATCTCTCTGCGAGTGAAATGGGGCCGTCAGATAAGCCGCGATATGAACTGTTTATGTTCATGTTTATGCAATTGGCCTGTTATTAACATACACTGGTTACCTCTAATAAAAACAGCAGTGCATTTCAGCAGTTTTGTATTGTTTCTGAATATCCCCTATATAAGAGTATTTTCTTTATATATTTTAATCTAGGATGTCCAAGTGGCAGATATTGACCATATGGATGAAAGGAAAGACTTTACTATTGATGATGTGAATTATTCCGGTTTAAAACAATATTTCGAATCACTGAGAAACGATGGAATTAGAACTATCATAATTTTGGTAAGAAACGTCTGTGACATATCACACTAATGAATATCTTCTAGGCATGTCCGCCAGGAGAACTGACAGTCTGTTGGGCCGTGACTATGTTATTTGCCGACTGAAATGAAATTGGGCGGGGATGGTAACGTCTTACGTTTCTCATGAGGAGGAAAATGTTTCTCCATGCTGTCGAAGCAACTTTAGCATGATTTACATAACAACTTGTTTTTGTGACAGGGCGCTCTTCCTTGTCTTGTCTCCCACCATACGAAAAAATATAATCATTATGTTTTTTTACAGGATCCAGCTTTAATAGTTAACGAAACGAATTATAATCCATATGAAAAAATGAAGGCTGTTAGTGGTAACATAAAGTGGCCGTCGACTGGTGTTTCTATACCGGAAAATAGTTCGGATATCGACAGATCAGTCCTAGGATATGTAAATATATTTCTTTTAGTCGCCATTTTAAACACTGATGGATTATATGTAATATATTTCAGCCTGTGGGATATTAATCATCAAATATACTAAAATTAACCGGAAATGAAATGGAGTTTAATGTCCAATTGACTGCACAAACGGGGTCAATAAAGATTAATATTCGTCAGGCAGAGTGCTATGAAAGAAACCACGCTAAAAATCATGAGCAACGAGTTCAGACCTGGGATCTCCCGATTAGAGAGCCAGTGACTTACATACTGAGCCACCACAGCGCGCGCGAAATTAGTCCACAAAATATCAAGCCATTGATGAGCAGACATTTTAAGTCTCATGTTTTAGATTTTGTTTGGACGATGGAAAAATTGTCAAGCATTTCTATAATATATTTTTTAAACAATATCTTCCAGGTTTGGCCAAAAGGAAAGGTTGTGTTTCCAGATTTCCTAAAGAATGAAACCAACAGAGTTTGGTCTGAATTGATCGCAGAACATTACCAACAGATACCGTTTGACGGAATATGGATAGTAAGTTGGATTTTCATCCCTCACTCAACCACGTTAATTGCGATTCATTGAACAGGGCCCCGTCCTTCATTTCGTCTCACTTTTGTTTCTGGGGTATACATTGTAAGTAATATTTGTGTATTTTTACCGTAAATTGATTGGCAGAAATTTGCCAGTAAATTGACTGTATTTTAACACCGACTTGTAAATTTACACCTAAGTTGTAGATTTAGATTTACAGACAGCATGTTTGTACGTGACAAGGAATAGGGTCGCCTCTCCAACTTCGTGGGTTTTCTCCGGGTCCCCCGGTTTCCTCATGCGGCTAAAGACTCCTACGAGCAAACGAATTATTGAAATAGAATTGAACCATGTTAATCCCGAAATGACATAGTTTGTGTCTAGTGGACGTTAAACCCCATTTCTCTCTCTTAAACCCCATTTCTCCCTCTCTCTTCCACTGCGTTATTAACGCGAGAATAATCACCGTGTTTGTTTATATATTAACAGGATATGAACGAACCTGCAAACTTTGGAACCAATGAAGAGAAACCATGGAACTGGCCAGACGATGCTAGACCTTATTGGAGTTTGAAATGTCCGACAAATAAATGGGACGACCCACCTTATAGAACAGGTTAGTGCATGTTTACACAGAACAGTGCGAAATAACCGTAATCTTGTTGACAATCATTCGCGACACGCTCATTACGAATATTACGACACACTTGCGACGTACAAACAAAAACAAACCCCTCCAAGCAGCAATTACCAATATTTCTATTTGTGCATTTGGACAAATCTTGTCACCCCTTACACTCGAGTGAAACCGCTCCGCTGGTTGCATTTCTATTCGATTCCTTGTTTTCATATGGTAACTATTGTAGAACAGCCGATAATTAATTTATCCTGTTGCATATATTTAGCCGACTACTTGAGTTTTAATTCAATCCAAATTGGTTTTATTATGTTGTATATATTGTTTCTTCTATTCTCATTATTGTCATACCTAATGAGTGCTATATTTTATAATATGTAGATCTACCATTTTCTAGCAAAAAATTGTCAAGCCGTTTTGCAATGAAAACATGTACCTGAACAGAACTTAAAATACAGATGTGACGTCACCCTTTAATGTTGGCGTACCATTATTTCAAATAATCGTACGGGCAACTTGCCAATCGTACATTATTTATACCAGTGAAATATTGGACTCGCGTGACGTATTTCACTGTAAAAGCACTTGCGGGGTGTCTGTATTTAAAGTGGTTTAATGGTCTCGAGCTTTAGACATTGCGTAATATATTGTAAAAACATTCGGGCCATGTATTACTTAATGTCTCACTCTCGACCATTAAACAATACTGAAATGAATACCGAACCCAATCGAAGCAATGATTGATGTACCTTCCAAACAAATCTTATTTTAAAAGTGTCATACAATCCTTTTTTTAGGTGCAGCTTTTAATTTTGATTCGGCCACGTCTAAAGTTCGTCTTTCCCAGAAGACAATATGTATGGATTTAGTCCAGGGGAATTCAGAAGAGTATAAACATTATGATGTACATAGTTTGTATGGTTGGAGCCAAACCGAGGCTACGCTAAGGTAAGATGACGTAATAATAATAATGTGATACTGGTACTGTGATGATAATAGTAATAATAATGTTGTGCAATGATAGTAATATTACGTAATAGTATGACTGTAATAATCGTAATAATGATAACATATTGTAATAATAATAATGATGTAATGTGATAATAGTAATATGATAATTGTAATGTAATAATAGTAATATAATAACTGTAATATGATAATTGTAATATGGTAATAATAACGTGATATTAATAACATAATGTAATATATGTAATGTAATAATAATAATATAATATTAATAGTAATATAATATTAGTAATATGTTAACTGTAATGTAATAATAGTAAAATAATAAAAATAATGAAATGTACTAAGATTGTGTAATATAAAATTTAATATATTAATGGAATAAGCGATTTATAGAATACCAGAATGTGCTGGTAGGTTGTACTATTACACTTTGTATGGTATATGTCAATAATTAACACAGACCATTCAGAAGAAAACATTAATCTTACTATTGTGTTAAAAGACATTTTTAAACTTGAAAACGTAAGGCGTTAAGCCCCAGTTCATTTCATTCCATTTAAACTTGTAAGTTAATACCAATAATTAACAGAAAATATTGACAATTACATTTGGTAGGATAACTGGGAATGGATATAGGATATGGTTGACAAAACTACATTTTGACAGCAGAAGAGCTGGAACAGTAACACTGAAAATTATGTTTTCGGAATTCTGTTTAAAAATACCTTAGTTGATTAAATTAAATTATTAAAGCATTACTGTACTATTGTAATTGAAAAAATTCATGATCACAAAATGAAATGATTTTAATTTATTTAATATAGAAGGGTAAATTGTTTGTCTTTTTTTATCCCTGCATTGGACGGGAAATTTCATCCAGATTTTGCAGTGTGGTTCCCGCTTGTCAGTGTTGCAGGACGGAGGGTGCAACAAGGACAACTGTCTAGCCGTTCGGATTGAACGAAAAACCGAGGTCCCGTGAACACATTGGCGTGCACGTAAAAGATCCCTTGACAGTTGGACTTCCATATAAGAGTAGGCCGTAGTATCGCTGTCTGGGCAAAATTTCCCTCATAGGACACTGTATGGTGTATGTCCGTCTTCATTAGCCCAGTATAGGAGCAGAACAGTAGGACGTTAAACCCCATATCATTTCATTTCATTTTGTCTTTTTTAAAGAGGTACTCGACTAGCGAATGGAAATAAAGAGCGTGGTATCGTGTTGTCAAGATCAACATTTCCTGGTAGTGGGGCGTCATCTGTACACTGGTTAGGTGATAATAACAGCTCATGGGAACAAATGGTCCTCTCTATTGTTGGTGAGTTGTTTCGGCCTTTTTTTAAATACAGAGAGAGAGGGGGAGAGAGAGAGAGGGGGGAGAGAGAGAGAGAGAGGGGGGGAGAGAGAGGGGGGAGAGAGAGAGAGGGGGAGAGAGAGGGGGAGGGGGAGAGAGAGGGGCGAGGGGGAGAGAGAGGGGCGAGGGGGGTACCATCCAATCAACACAAGCTAAGTCATTTTGGAACTAACGTATGCTACAATTTTATTGCAAAAACAATCTTTCTCATGGTGGTCTTTAGCAATGGGAGGAAACCAGCGGACCTTTTTAAAAAAAATGTCGACAGGCTTGTTCTTGATGGTGCCTTTTGCAGTCCTTATTTTGCAGTATAATTTTGTGTGAACTGAAGACCAAACGATGTATTAATAATATATCCAAGGGCGGTATACAGAAACGAGTTTAGCTCAAAAGGCGTTATGACCACCCTCACGCCCCCCCCCCCCCTCCAACACACACTCATTGAGATTAGCTCGAGGATATGGGCGCTAAAAGAGTTTATTAAGTAAAGTATCTATTCACCTTGTAATTTAATACTTGGGGCTACTAGTTGGTGTATATAGTCTTTATTTCATGCCAAAGATAATATTGAAGAAATAAGTGACCCAAGCACCAACTGAATATACCATGGGCATTATTTTCCAGGTTTGCTTGATTTCAACCTATTTGGAATACCGTTTGTAAGTATTTTTTTTACACACAGTGTTTGTAATTATATAAAATATCTTTTTATTGTATATTTCCAAATATGGCAAATGTATTTAATATCAAAAGATATTCTATCCAATTTACCCTTGTTTGAAAGTTCATGTACATGTATATAAGATCCAGTGTCCCTGCAGTTTAGATAGACTTGCATCATGTTTGTTTCAGCTACCTATTCTTCTTTCCTGTTCTTGTTTAATTTTCTACTTCCGTGTTACAGATATTGAATTGTTACTTTTTTTCCCACACCAAAGACGACAAGTCTATGTATGTAACTTCTCAATTCTATGTAACAATCAACAGATCAAACTATTTTCTATAATTGTGTTAAGGTTGGAGCTGATATTTGTGGGTTTTTTGACGACACAACACCAGAGTTATGTAAACGATGGATGCAGCTAGGAGCTTTCTATACATTCAGTAGAAATCATAATGGTGAAAAAAACATTGTAAGTATACAAACATTAATAATAATAATAATAATAATCTACTTATAAAGCGCTGAATATCCAACAAACTGGTTGCTCAAGAACGCTATCTACATAAGACATCTTTAAAAGATGAAAATAACCATGATACGATAAACATTTAAACACATTGATGGAATGAACAGAATAAATGTCCGAACTGGAAAAATTACCATAAACAAAATAGTTAGTAGAACTAAGGGTAAACTGATTTAAAGAGTTCAGTCTTAAGAGATTTCTTAAAAGATGTCATGTTTTTAGAGTTTTTTGATAGCCTATTCCATAATGTTGCGCCACTATGGGCGAATGTTCTGTCATAAGTGAGTAAGAAAAAATGACGCTCGCTGGAGGTCGGTGTTGGACGAGAAAGTTCATTTCATTTATTCTAGTGATTGTATGTTTGTTTTTCAGCCCCAAGATCCGGCAGTTTTTGGCGATGACGTGACTAAGGCATCAAAAGAAGCCCTGGAAACTAGATATTGGTTGCTACCCTATCTATATACATTATTTCACCAAGCTCATATTCAAGGTGGAACAGTTATACGGCCATTACATCACGAGTAAGATCTATGATTTGTTATTGTTAATTTATGGCGTATATGGTGTTTAAAACCTGCAGTGTTGTGCCTTGAAGATGTTAAACATACATTATGCAAGAGCTAAATCTGCCTATTGCAGGTCTTTCTTTAGGCCTGAAATGTTTTCTAAATTATTAATTATTAATCCGGGCCATAAACAACTCTCAATAGATTAGAACAGTTCAGCCATATTTTGATTTAAGCTAAAAGTGGAAGAGCGCGACTCAGCTTCGAACAACCAGTACGGTTGTTGAAATTATTGCACACGTCTTGTCAAACCTTCAAATGCTAATATCTTCGCTCGCAATAGAGTATTTTCAAATTATTCATTTTACATTATCTATTTTCGGACTATTATAGCCCGAATGGCTAGCTCTTTATCTAAATCTTACATAATGTAGCTGTTTCGTAATTGTTTTACTATTTTACAGGTTTGCAACTGATAGTTCTACCTATGGTATAGATAAACAATTTCTATGGGGACCTGCTTTACTCATTTCACCTATTCTTTATCAGGTAAGCTACTGTCTTGGATACCTAACAATGGAATGAAATGTTATTTAACCAGGACCGTAACTAGCTCAGAGCAACGAGTTGGGCCGGGAAGTGTTCTCGAGGGTGCTGTAAAATTGACGGACATTGTATATCTATGGTTGACAGTTTTTTCACAGGAGGGCGAAACTTTTTGCAGGGGGGGGGGGGGGGTAACCCCATCTAGTTACAGGCCTGGATTTAACGTCCTATTTTTCTGCACCGACTGGGCTAATCAAGGCGGGCATACGCCATACAGTGTGCTATCGGTGAATGTTTGCCCGTATTGCGACGCGACACGATCTGTCATGGGTTCTTTTTACGTGCACGCCAATGTCTCACAACTATATGTTGTCCATTTACTGACCATCCGTAATGCACCACTGACAAAGGGGAACCACGCCGAACAATCCCGATGAAGTTTCTCGGCCAACTCCAAATCGAACACAGGACCTACAGGCTAGCGAGTCAATATTTTACTCACTGAGCCATCGCGGTCCCAATGTCGAACTAAAACAAAGCATTCACATTATCGGGTCTACTAAGGTTCTGGATAATGGCCATATGTACACCCTTGGTGTATTTGGAAGAATATGAATGGACAAAATATTTCATATTTTGGATATGTTTTATTTTACAGAGTCAGTCGGGCTTGACTTATTATGTCCCCGGTGAACGGTGGTATGACTTTTATACTGTAAGTATTCAGTTTAAAGTAATGTGTTTTTTTTAACTATGAACGACGTCTTCAGACAATGGATAAAATTGCCTTGTAATCGCTTTTATTTAATTATTGTACTACATTATTGTACACTGTTACCATGACAGCTTTAACCTTCATATTGAGAATAAATGATGTTTTACTAGGTCTACTATAGTACCACGCTGTTATACAGCGGCGGCAATGTAAAAGCGAATATTTTATTGAATTTCAAATCGCTTTGATACATTTACGAAACCGTTTACAGTCGGTATTTGTATTGTAAACTTTCATTGGTTGGCACACAAGTTTGACAGCTAATTAAAGTTAAATCAATATTGGACCCATGACTGCATCGATACAAAAGGGGGAGATAAATCTATCAATATATTTAGAAGTTAAATTATAAGATGTCCTATAACTGATAGACTGCCATTACACATTACTCCAATTTCAGGGTGAGAAAGTAACAGAGGGTAAAGAATGGTTACAAATGCCAATTACACCCGAATCTAAAATACCTCTACATGTACGTGCTGGATATATTCTTCCTTTACAAGAGCCTGCTAATAATACACGTTATAGGTAAATACCTCTTTTACAAGTGTAACCTACTAATAATACACTTTACAGGTAAATAATCCCCTTATTACAGGAACATGCTAATAATACACTGTTACTTTTCTATTACGGATAGGAAATAAAATGAAATGGGGTTTAACGTCCTACTGCTCTGCCCCGACTGACCTAACGAAGACAGGCATACGCCATACAGTGTGCTATGAGGGAAATTATGCCCTAGACAGCGACACCACGAATTACTCTTATATCTAATTCCAACTGCCAAAGGATATTTGATGTTCAGCCCAATGTGTACACGGGACCTCGGTTTTTCTTCCCATCTGAACGACTATTCGCTGTCCCTCTGGCCTGCACCACTGACAAGGAGGAACCACGCCAGTATTTATTCGCTAGTATACCATATGTGGCATATTGCGATATCTGATGGAAATCCAAGACAAATTATAATGGTTCCCTTTAAAGGAAAGGTGATTGGGAACTAAAGTAGAGCTAAACAAAATACTCAACATTATAAACTGCATTATAATGAAAGAAAGTTAATTAGAGAGCATGTGAAAAAAATAGCTATGGTACTGTAAATAATGATATGCCTTTCGGTCTAAATAATGACCCATGTCTGTTTCGGTAACATGGAGTAGACAGTGTTACTTTTAAACAATTAGTGTCGATGAAATGATTATATTAACTCACTTTTATATTCACTAATTCAAATTTTTATTATAATTTTTAAGTCGCCAAAAGCCATTCAAGGTATTAGTAGCTTTAGCGGAAATACCAGGTCGGGGTCTACAAGCATCTGGTCAACTATTCTGGGACGATGGCGTATCTATAGGTAATCTAGTTATGAATTCTTATTGCTTTGTATTTTAGTACAATTAAATCTTCACAACATCTCCAGTTACCAAACATGTTTCACTATTATCCCTATTCAAACAATTCTCTGAAATATTCTTAAAAAATTGTATTCTAGATACTTATGAAAATGGGAATTATTTGTCAATGAAATTTGACTGTAAGAAAAATATATTGGAGATAAGAGTTGAGTATAACAACCTGTCAGAAACAGATAGTTTGGTATTAGATACAGTAGAAATATTTGGTGTAGAAAACTGGATACATTATGTCAATGTCAACGGTACAGACCATAATATATTCACCAACGACAACCAAAGAAAGGTAATATCATTATTATGAACTATTTAAAAAAAATAACCTTCAAAACAGTATTCTTCTCTCATTAATGTAAATTATACAGCCCATAGTACGTTAACTAACAACGACCAACGAAAGCTGATATCATTATTGTGGACATTATAATAAAATTAGTCTACTTTATATTAAAGAAGCGAAATCGCTTTGATTTAAGTCGAATTAAAGTATTATTTCAACTGCAGATGAAGTTATATTTCAAGTTTCAAAAAAATAAAAAAGATATTGCCAAAACAATATTCAGCTCTCAATATTAAACATACATTATGCAAGAGCTAAATTTGCCTATTGCAGGTCTTTCTTTAGGCCTGAAACGTTTTCTAAATTATTAATTAGACATAATTAACTTATCCAGGCCATATCAAATAGATTAGAACAGTTCAGCCATATTTTGATTTAAGCTAAACATGGAGGAGCGAGACTTAGCTTCGAACAACCAGTACGGTGGTTGAAATTATTGCAAACGTCTTGTCAAACCTTCAAAGGCTAATATCTTCGCTCCTATATGATTACATCATTTTTGATCAGGAAGTGGTTTCCAAGCCCACTTTTCTTTCTGGAGACAACGCTACTACGATGCATGAAATATATTTCTTGGACAATTGCGCATTGCTTGACGTCGTATCTCCAAGATGACGGCGATGATGCGATGATGTCATGTTCGATTCGTGGTCCATATAGTACTATCGTATGTAAACATCCCATTTCATTTATTTTTTTCAGACCCTGGTTATAAATAATTTAGGCCTACCGTTAGCTCAAAACTCATTGATTGAATGGAGGTGAGACGATTTCTCTTTCTACTGGTTCAAATAATTAATCACATATTATTTCTATTTGTATCATTATGAAGCCACCGAACGGAATTTATGGTATTAGACTAAAATCCACACTGCGATTAATATTTTGAATTCTAAGCAGAGCTCCTAATAACTTATTAGGCCTTTGGTAAATTGTAAAAACCGAATAGTCTCGCAGTGTCTTTTCGGATACATTATTTGGCACTAGTACCGGCATCCATGATAAGACGGTATTAATGATAATTAAATGAATACAATCATTTTATTTTAGAGAGAAACGAGCGCCAACACAACAGGAGTCCGAAAGAATAGATTGTTTACCCGATACCAATAAATACACAGATATTACTGGTATGTGTGTTCATTTATACAAAACAAATTATACAAACGTCGTTACAGTAGGTGTGTATGGTTATACAATCTGATTAATATACAAATCTATATTTCGTTTCTTTTTTTTTATACTTTCGATGACCAACACTTAGTGAAGATCTCTCTCTCTCTCTCTCTCTCTCTCTCTCTCTCTCTCTCTCTCTGTATATGTTATGTAGGCAGTGCTTTTGTATTTTTTCAGACAAGAGAGGAGAATGTAGCCGAAGGAAATGTATATGGAGGCCAATATCCGATGTAGATAAAGTACCTAATTGCTATATTAATAAGTAAGTTATAATGGCTGTTTGTTTTAGAAAAAAACATATAGCTCTTTATAAAACTTTTGTTGTTTTAATGTTTTTTAAATACATCAATAAAAAACTGTGTATATGCAAATTTATGTCTTTCTGGATCAAAGCTGTCTATCGTCAACAGTGATTGAAAGTTGAGTAAATTCATAACTTAAGTCTGAAAATGCTTTGTGAAACCGGGGTCAGGTCTTCAAAATCATTTAGAAATTGCAAGCACTGTATAGTATTCAATTTTTAAAGGAACCCAATGGTTTTGTCATCTGTTCTAGAATGATCTTCACGCACCTCGTTATGAATTATGTTCTTTTAGGTGTTCCCCAAAAGCTGTCATCTTCACATTTCGAACATCAATAGAATGCATTAAAAATACATTTGTGAATTTAATAGCTTTTTGTCTCGATATATGTCCCGAAATTTCATGTCCGTAAATAAATGAAATCAATGTGGTTTAACGTATTATGGTTCTGTATCGATTGGAAGAATGGCGAGTGAGAGAGAGAGAGAGAGAGAGAGAGAGAGAGAAATGGGGTTTAACGTCCACTCGACACAAACTAGGTCATTTCGGGACTAATATGGTTTAATTTTATTTCAATAATTCGCTTGTGCGTAGGGGTCTTTAGCAGTGGGAGGAAACCGGAGAAAAACCCACGAGGTTGGACAGGCGCCCCTACTCCTTGTCACGTACACCTGGGGATTCGAAACCACGCTAGTTGACTCAATGACAGGCCTTATGATACAGCGCGAACGTGCTACCCATTCGGTCATCCAAACCCCCAGAATGGCGAGTACGTAGATAAACATAATGTTGAGATATGACCGAAGGTGTTCAACAGTCGACACAGCCAGATACGATGAACCGTGGATTATTAAGTAGCATGAACAACCTGTATACTAATACAGTGTGATTGGCCAATAAGTGTGTATGTTACTTAAAGGAGCTAAATCGCTAATATTTTAGACCTAGAAATCGACACAAATAATGCAATATGAATGTATATAAACAGATTTATATTCAATCGTTTCTGTTTTTACTGTAATTTCTTATCAGTTATGTTCGGCGAAATACGTCAGAAGTCTCAATTGAATGGCAATCGTTGGCGTCTGGTTATTCCAGTCTATTCCGATGGTATTTATTGCGGATGCTCTCCTGATAAGATTTGACATGACTTGTGGAATATGTCTAGCCGCGTTCTTTGAGTCCCCTGTTCTAAATAGCGCTGAAACACATTATGGTACACGATTCGTGCACCAATGGTAAAATGTTTATTTTGTCGTGAATATTGGATATCAGAAGCCCATCTTTTCTCTGTAAGATCACTAGACCAATGTTGATTTGAAATGACAAATAATTCGTGTTTTCAATGTCAAAGATTTTTGATGATATTGAGTTAGAGACTTAGCTACTTTAATACAGCAACAATATATAACCTGGATACTAATACAGACAGTCTGATTTGTCAATTAGGTTATTCGTTAGTGTAGTAAAGCATCAAATATGAAAGGAAATATAATTGATGTGACTTTAATCAGGTGCTATCAATGTATCAGCAAAACTATGAAGACGATGGCAATATTGTATAAAATGAAAACTTAATGCTTCAACATTTTTAACTTTTTAATTTTATTTTATTATTTTATATTATTTTATTATTATTTTATTTTATTCTATTTTATTTTATTATTTTAGTGACTTGTATGGGTATAGTCTGGTATCAAATACAACCTCTAATAATGGTAAAGATATGATGTTTAATCTAAAATGGAGGAATAAATCTCAGATGTTTACAGGAGATATACATAATATAACTTTATCTGTTCAGTATATCAATGATAACTTCATTCGATTTAAGGTAATTATTTAATTTATTATTAATCATTATCACTCTCTAATAAACATTTGGAATAACTATTGGATTATTAAAACGTGTTTATGGATCTGGCGACCAGAAATCCCAAATAAAATATTGCAAGAAAGGGCTCTGGTGACTATTGTCATATTTACATTATATCAGGGTTTTATTTTGGTTATTGGTAAGACACAATCTGTAGTGTTAAGTCTCCTTTTCCAAACATTAGGAAAAGCCAGTTTGTAAACGTATCCTAGTTTCGTTGTGAGCGAAATTGGAAGATTGGATCTGTCTCTTTTTCCACAGTTTAGGAAAATCTAGTTTGTCGACGTATCATAATGTCGTTGTGAGCGACATGGGAAGATTGGATCTCTCTGTGGACCTATAATTTTAAATGTAGGCACATAAACAATTCACAAGACAAATCGATCAACCCATCAACACTTTCAACCAAGTCAACGAGGTTTAATCTGGTTTCCACCCTGTCAAACCTCGTGGGTTTTCTCTGGGTCCTCCAGTCTCCTCCCACTGCACTGCTAAAGACCCCTACGCGCAAGCGAATTATACAAATAAAATTGAACCATATGTTAGTCCCGAAATGACCTTTATACTCTCTCTCTCTCTCTCTCTCTCTCTGCTAAAACCCTACAATATGTTAGTCTCCAAATACCTAGTCTGTGTCGATTGGACGTTATATTATTCTCTCTCTCCCTCTGCTAAAGACAACTACACACAAGCGAATTATTGAAATAATAATCTCTGGTTTCCATCGCTTCGGTTTAATATTATGGCTTGTTTCAGATTTATGACCCAAACAATCAGAGATATGAGGTACCAGTTCCTGTCGACCTTCAAAGATCAAGTGCAACATCTCCAAAATATCAACTAGAACATGGAAACTCTGACACGACAGGATTTTGGTTTAGAATTCGCCGGACATCCACCAATAAAATATTGTAAGTTATTATCACAGCCCATTGGATCCGGATGTGTGTTACTATCATTATGTGGGAACCACGGTTACTAAGTGGGTAAGATTCTGGCTCGCTAGCCTGGAGTTCGCCTGTTCGATCCCTGCATTGGCTGAGAAGGTTCATCTGGATTTTCCGGCGTGGTTTCCCCTTGTCAGTGGTGCAGGACGGATAGCCTGACAAGGACAGCTGTTCAGTCGTTCGAATGTTACGAAAAACCGATCACCCGTGTATACATTGGCGTCCACGTAAAAGATCCCTTGGCAGTTGGAATTCGATATAAGACTAGGCCATAGTGCCGCTGCCGGGGAACAATTTCCCTCATAGCACACTGTTTGACGTATTTCCATCTTCATTAGCTTAGTGTAGTATGAACTTTGATTTGTTAACATTTTCCGAATCATATACAAGAGATATTGTAAAAAGTTGGTAATCCACATATTTATGTTATCTGATAAAAACGATTGTCTTTCCATTTATTCTGATGGTCACTCCATTAACATCTAAACTTGTTTTAAGAAAGTCGCCTCCTGGGACGGTGACATAGTAATACCGTCGACCTTTCCGAAATAGAACAGATATTTTATTAATTTTGCAGATGGGATACATCTATTGGTGGACTAACATTTGCTGACCAGTTTCTACAGATAGTTACCAGGTTACCGTCTAACAATATTTATGGGTTTGGTGAGAATCGCCATTTTAATCTCCGTCATGATCTAAACTGTCAAAGATGGCCGATGTTTTCTAGAGATCAGGCTCCTGGATGGGGTGTAAGTTAAACATTGATTCATTACCAATACACACATTCCAGAATGATAATAAATATCCCGACAATAATAATAATAATAATAATAATAATAACTTTATTTAATGAGGCAACATATTTAGTTTGCAAAAACCAAAAAACTAATCTTGCATAGGTCCATCCTAAGCTACAAAGCCATCATATACATATATAATATCAGGATAAATTTAAAATCATTAGAAGTGCAATAGCATTTTAAAGTGGGAAGTTTGATAAGTCACTCCCAAACTCCCAAACTACAAAACATATACATTATACAAGTAGAATATAGGAAGAACACTATAATTACACACAAAATAAAATAGAATGCAGTTGCAAGTTAAAAATAAAAAGTATGTTATCAGTTGAATATTATGGTTCCTTCAGTGTGCAAAATAAATGAGTTTTCAGTTTAATCTTAAAATTTTCAACATTTTTACACATCTTTATATCAAAAGGCAGGTTGTTCCATAAAAGACATGCAGAATAATGAAAAGTACGTTTCATGGATTCCGTTTTGCATTTTTGAAGATTTACTGGTCTGTGAACGGAGCAAGATATCCGGTTTGGAAACAAAAGATTTTTCAATAAAATAGGAATTTAGATAAAGTGGAGTATTAAATGTAATAATTTTGAATGATAAGACAATTTTATTGTAAAGAATCCTCTGTGTAAGGGTAAGCCAACCGAGTTTAGTAAATAAGTCTCTGTTCTTCATCTGAAAGGTGACAGTGGCTTGCGTTGACTATATCCTATATATCTCCTTTAGTGGATGCCAAATTTTGACAGATTTTCAATTCTTCATTTCTTTGTAAAAACTGATTAAAACAAATTTCGTTTCGTTTTTTTTATATACTTTCGATGGCGTGTACTACATGAAGATCTGGCCTTATGACGTCAGACATTGATTAATCAATCAGCGTTGACGATTCTACTGGTTAACCCAAAGTTCCGTGCACCTCACCCCAAAAACTCGCCGTAACAGACCGTTTCATTGGCTAAACCCTCACATCGCGGGTTATATAACAACTCTTCCAGGTCCTAGTGCAGTAAAGACAAGTAAAACAAAATTTTGAACTATAAAAAACGAAACGAAATAAGATCTGTGTTTTAATCAGATTGTGTAAAAACTGAACGGAACTGGTATTCCTTTCAGAGATTCGACGTCCACAACGTTGTAGTTTGCAAGGGATTAACAATCCATAACATCAGATCCATCGATTTTCTTAATGTTGAAAATGCTATTTATGTAGCCTTTGAGGTCGCAAATATTTCACACGTGAAAATTTTGCTATACAAAAAATTTGATTTAAATAAGCCGATACTACCGTGTGACAGGGAACGGTTAATTTGGACAATTTCCCGCTGATAATAACTATTGCAGAACCGTTTCGGTTCCTAAACCACTTAAAGTTGACTTTAGCAGTGATTTCTCAGCAGACCGAAGGGAAACCGTGTTGCTTTCTGATCTTCTTTAATCAGAAATTTGGACATCCATGTGTTATATAATTTTAGACCCTTTATATTGTAACTATACAACTTGAACAACTTGAATGTGTTATTTTAATATGACAAGATAATGTTACAGGATTATGGTAATCTGTATGGTGTTCACCCATTTTATATGAATGTTGAAGATGGAGATGGCAACGCTCATGGGGTTTTATTGTTAAATAGCAACGCAATGGGTAAATTCATTTTTAAATTCTTAAATGTTTCTAATATATGTGACCTTATGCTACTGTGTGACAGTTTGTATAGAACATCGAAAGATACATTGACTATATTTTTTAAATTTTATTTATTTAAAATATAATTAGACTATTTTCTAGTAAATTAAATGTAAGTTTGTCTTGAAAACATTTTCAAATTGTATATTTCAGAAATCTTACTTCAACCAGCACCTGCTCTAACCTACAGAACAATTGGTGGTGTTTTAGATTTTTACATGTTTCTTGGCCCAGAACCAGAATCAGTGATCCAACAATATACTAGTGTTAGTCTCTTTTATACTTAAAATGAAATGAAATGAAATGGGTTTTAACGTCCTACTGTTCTGCACCGACTGAGCTAATGAAGACGGGCAGTGTGATATGAGGGACATTTTGCCCGGCACTATGCCCTACTCTTATATCGAATTCCAGCTGCCGAGGGATCTTTTACGTACACGCAAATGTGCACACGGGACTTCAGTTTTTCGTCCCATCCGATCGACTAGACATCTGTCCTTGTCAGGCCATCTGTCCTGCACCACTGACAAGAGGAAGCCATTATAATTAATAATTTATAACTTTTTAATTATCTGTGTTTTCACTCAGTTCCATGGGACATAAAGGGGTCCATTTTCACAACTATATACATCATAAAGAAAAATATACGTTTCCACTTAAGGTATAGCTATAGAGGTTTGATAAGCTCGATCCTCGATTATCAAGTACTGATAACGCAGCGCCCTATGGACTTGATCTTAGTTTATATTTATTTGTACTTGAGACGACGACCCTCGTCTTAAGAGATTATCTACACTATCTCTGTTTACTATAATATAGGTAATACTTACAGACACTTATTGTCCCAGATAAGATAATGGGATTTTACATCGTCGATCTATAGTTTTGTTCCCCATCTAACGTTAGATGTTAACGTCAATATAACGTTAGATGTTAACGTCAATGTAACGTTACGCGAGATTAGATAAAGAGCTTGCAGTTCTCACTATAATAGTTAAAAACTAGATAATGTAAAGGGAATTTGCTGAAAATTTCAGTCAAATTGATCCACTCTGAACCGAGACTTTAGCGATTGAATTTTCGGCCTAGTCTCGATCATCATTACTAAAGTCGGTACGATAAACAACATAGTCTCGATTATCCTTTTCATGATTAAATCAAGAATGAAAGTGGAGCAGCAAATGGGGTCTTAATCCAGTAAACATCGCAGGCTAGCGTTGACATCGAGAGTTGATTATGGTCTGGATAAGTTAATTAATGCCTAAAAAAAGACTTGCAATAGGCAGATTTAGCCCTTGTACAATGTATGTTTAATATCGTATGTTGATGTCTAGCATTAAAGTTACAATGATGACGCAGAAGAGTAAGACACTAACCCAACTTCATTTCATTTAAAGTCGCTGATCCCGATTTGGAAACTAAAATACTGTGAATATCAGTCGAAATATGATTTAATTCCGTTCAATATGAACAAAGGTATGATAGATAGAACATTCGGCCTCGTCTGCAGACAATATAAATGAGAAATGGCTAAAGCAAACCGGCGCCACCTATACTTTTTACGAAAACGTCGGAAGGACATCATTCATATCTTGGTTTTGTATTCTGGATTACATGTTGTATAACCAATTTGCGTACATTTTACCGTGAAAATTTATATATTTTCGGAAACATGCAAATGACGGTCAGTGGCTTTAATACCTGTATGTGATTAGGTTTTTTTAGGATTGTGCCACTGGTAATTTTGTTTCTGTAGACCTTTAGTCATTTTTGTCTTCAATATAAAAATGCAGACGGAATGATATCTTGGTTTCCTTGCAGATAATTGGTCGTCCGTATTTACCACCATATTGGTCGTTAGGTTTCCAGTTGTGTCGCTATGGTTACAATAGTCTGAAAACCTTAGAGGAAGTGGTAAACAGAACGATAGCAGCCGACATTCCTTATGTACGTATTACTTACTTAGCTAAACCTCTTATATCTGGGTAAAAATATGATTGTAGATTTTACTGGATTTGTTGTGTTGATTCGTTTTGTGGGCTGATTGTTCGTTTTTACTCACGAAGGGGGGGGGGGGGTGAATGGTTAGCGCGTGCGCGCTGCTTCATCAGGTCTGACATTGGGTGAACTGGCGTGGTTTCGATTCTCCGGTTGAACGTTACAAGGAGTAGGGTCGCCTGTCCGAAAACAACCATGTGTTTTTTCCTTGTTCTCCGGTTTCTTCCATTGCTAAAGACCCCTACGCGCAAGCGAATTATTGAAATAAAACCGAACCATATGTTAGTCCCGAAATGACCTAGTTGTTGTCGAGTGGTCGTTAACCCCCCTCTCTCTCTCTCTCTCTCTCTCTCTCTCTCTCTCTCTCTCTCTTTGCTTACAATTTGACGTCCTGCAACCAACATTTTTCGCTTAATTGGTATGATTCTTCATTTTGAGTATAAGTTAGAACTTTATTGGTTTTCCAAATCTTCGTATCGTACAATACATATACCATAAACTGTCCAGAGAATATCGTAGTCTACAAATTGTTCACATCGTTTCAACTTTCTATCCTCCTGATGGACAGCGGAGGCTAAATCTATTTGTTATGGCCAGCGCATTTTTTGTCAAGGTCGTTGAGATGTAAATAAGGTTGGTTCACATAATTGTTGGCGAGATTGTAGGTTAGGTTTAGGATAAGCATTGGGGAAAGGTTAGGGTTAGGGTTAGGATTAGCACTAGCTCTGTTTACATCTCGTGACCTGTGACACAAAATTGTTGTTTACATGTATATATTGTTAAAGTCTACAGAATTCTAGTCGAAATGTAGCTTAATCATAAACAACACGCCACTGAAATGTGTCCAGAATACTTCCGGTTCCGTTACACGCATGTCATTTAAACATCATTTCAAAATTACAGGATGTACAATATGCTGATATTGATCACATGGATGAAAGAAAAGATTTTACAATCGACCAGCAAAATTTTAAAGAATTACCACAGCTTTTCAGAAAATATCAAGATATGGGAATGAAATTTATAATTATTTTGGTAAGTAGGGAGACCAGATCATTTTATAATTTCTGAGATATATTTCAACCGACTTTGTAGTTTTTGTGGAAGATTTGAAGTCTTCAAAACTGCTTCTGGCAATCTCATCCGATATTGGGGTATTATAAAAATTAAAATTGCTTATTGTCGTGGGGCTTGGGAGGCCGCGATGGCTCAATGAGTAAGACACTTCTCGCTAACCAAGAGGTCTTGGCGGGAAATTTCCTCATGATTTTCCGACGCTGTTTTCCCTGATTAGTGGAGGGCCCGACAAGGACAGTGTCTAGTCGTTCGGATGGGACGAGCAACCGAGGTCCCGTGTACATATTGCCGAGCACATAAAAGATCACTTCACAGTAGAAATTCTTAGTTCCGCTGTTTGGGAAAAAATTCCCCATAGTACACTGTATGGCGCAAGCCCGTCTTCATTAGCCTAGTCGGTGTAGAAAAGTCGGACGTTAAACCCCATTTCATTTCGTGTCTAGTTGAGGTTAAAATAAATTAAATGAAATTGAGTTAAACACCATACGGTTGCTGTATATGCCACGAAGTGTACTATCATGGGGTAATTTTGCCCAGAGAACAACGTCTCCTTCTGCTCGTTAACCAATTCCAACTACCAATGGCTCTTGCCAACAGAGTGACTTCCGTCCGACATCACTGACAAGGAGAAACCAAGCAGGAAAATCAAAACCAACAGCGGGATCAAAAACCGGGGACATTCTGGTTTGCGAGCCAGCATAGTTACTCATTGAGCTACCTTGGTTCTGGATTGGACTTCAACATCTTAGTTTGGTACTTGTTCCGACATGACACGTCAAGGCTACAGATCAGTTCTCGCTGTATAACAATCAGAACTGAATGTTTCCTGTTTTCTCTACATGCTTAAAGCTAATCCAAACCAACACATCTTTGTATTCTATATAAAACCATTAACAACAGCTTAACTGTCATGTGATACCAGAAATGGCAGCTTGCTTTTTGATGTGTTTGTTTTATTGTATTTTGTAGGATCCTGCTATTATCAGTAATGAAACAAACTACAGACCATATACACTGGGCATTGATCGAGATGTATATATCAAATGGCCAAATGGTACCAATCCAGATTATGCTGACTTCAACAATGATAATATTCTAGGATATGTAAGTTTCTTCTGAAAAAAACACTTCTAGCTCCTTTTGTAGACAGGGGGGCGGGGGGCGGGGGGCGAATGGTTATCGCTTATCATAAGGTCTATCATTGAGTCAACAGACGTAGTTTCGATTCCCCGGTTGTACGTGACAAGGACTAGGGTCGCCTATCTAACCTCTTGGGTTTTCACCGGGTCCTCCGGTTTCCTCCCATTGCTAACGACCCCTACGCGCCAGCGGATTATTGAATGAAAATTAAACCATATGTTAGTCCCGAAATGACCTTGTTTTTGTCGAGTGGATGTTAAACCCATTTCTCTCTCTTATAGATATATTGCTTATCCAAAGCGTATCTGTATATTTGCATCATCCCATACCAAAATTCCTAATAACATTATTACTTACCACATTCGGAAAAGCCGAATCCTTTTAATACTATTCTCGCACAACAAGGTCGTTTCGTGTCAGTAATATTACCTCATTACCTGTCCCATACCGAAACGTTCATTCCTGTCAAAATTATATTGTCTATTTCTATTCTAGGTTTGGCCAAAGGGTAAAACAGTTTTTCCTGATTTTCTGAAAGACAACACGACCAGTTATTGGTCAGACTTGATCCAGGAACATTACATGACCTTACCATTTGATGGCTTGTGGATAGTAAGTTCTTTTTTTTTTTACCTTTTGTGTGAATACTTTGTAAACCTAGCTATGTGTTATACCCATTTCTAAACCTATGATTTATTCCTTAAAGAAGCAGTACGTAAGAGTTCAATCGGCCTATTCCGTGTCTTTGTATGGTTTTAAATGTTACATAATTTATTAACAAATTATTCCCCGAGTCATCGGATGGCTCCGATTATAAGCAGATTGGTTCGTGGTCAGTCTGATTGAAACACAGATCCTATTTCGTGTCGTTTTTTATAGTTCAAAATTTCGTGCTACTTGTCTTTACTATACAAGACTCTTGAAGAGTTGTCATATAACCCGCGTTCTTGATGATGTGAGGGATTAGCCAATGAAACCGTCTGTTACGCCGAGGTCTTGGCATGAGATGCACGGAACTGTGGGTAACCTACTAGAAACATCAACGCTGATTGGTTAATCAAATTTCTGACGTCATAGGTCAAACGCCTGTCGTACGATCTCAGACGCGACCTTCCACTACAACCGGTCAGATCTTCATGTAGTGTAGGCCATCGAAAGCATAAAAAATGCGAAACGAAATATATTTTAATCAGATTGGTTGGTGGTTATATATCTATCACCTCACTACAAGAAAGCCAATCACATATAACTTATACCCATACTTTTTCTCGACTCTTTGATGAAAATAGGAGGGTATACACCGATACACGGCCACTTTTGAAAAGTGGCCGTGTATCAGTTGAAAAGGGACAAAAATAACAAAATCATGATTTACATATTTATTTGAACATCTACAACCCGTTTTGAACATGTTATGGTAAAAGAGTCATCATTTTCAACTGTCTCAGCACTTTTCGAATGTGCGTCACTCTCGGTCATATTCTTACATTTTGTCTCACATTTCTTTACATTTTGATATCTAGTCGCACTTTCACATTTTGTCGCGGCTTATGCTCATCCGCAGCACATAATCCAAATATTTTACTATTATAAATTAATCTCTTGGCATTTTCAACACTAAAAACTTTCACATTTTGTCGCGGTTCATGCTCATCCGCAGCACGTAATCCAAATATATTACTAGTATAAATTAATCCATTGGCATTTTCTACACTACAAAGTTGAGAACTCTACAATTCCAACTCGTCTTCATTTAATGGCTGTTCTGTTTTTGTCTGTCAGTGGATGTCAATACCTCGCGAAGTTAATGAATTGATCTGTGCGGAAATTAGCCAATGTACCTTGCTTATCAAAGGGTTAAAATCCAATCTTTTGTACTGATCTTGAAGTGTCACCATATTCCTATGCAATCGGTATTTTTCCTCGTGTTTGGCAGAATTCGACTCATCTGCATGGCTTTAATTTCTTGTTCTGTGATTGTGAAGGATCGGGCTTCTTAATCTTCGCGATCATTGAAATCTCTTGCAGAACTGATATTCTCGGTCTTAGAAATATATATCTGTGACATTATAAAGTAGGATTCTTCGATGAATTCCCGCATTCATTTCTGCCATCCACTACAATCGACGCAGCCAGGATGTTGGCAAAACAACAAGAAATGGCTATTGTACAAAATGATTGGATGACGTTTGCTTTTCTCAACCAATCAACATCCCTGTTATGAACATTTTCCCTGACCTGATTTAAACCGTGAAATGCACGTGCGGTGTACTGACATCGTTTACCTGAGTAGAAATAAGCGTTTGCGATGAGATAATTGGGGTGCTCTAAATGGGAAACTTTGATAAATTTGTGAAATGAAAAATGCTTTTGAAATTGGGAAAATAGAAAAAAATCTCTATTTCTCGAAAAAGTATTTAGTATAAGTCAGTTATATACCTTGTTTTCTCGGTGTATGGGTTGATACACCGTCTCTTTTTGAGTGGAGATCTCCTCGGCTTCGCCTTGGAGCCCCACTCAAAAAAGAGACGGTGTATCAACTCATACACCTTGAAAACAAGGTATATAACTATTACTTATCGTGCTATTATTGTATATTTCATCATAATTAGAAATATAATGTATCACAGATAGTTGTATTTGAAATGGTTTTTTTTTTGTTTTTTTGTATATTTCATTTTTATTATAACAAATGTTTTGTTTTATACTAATTTATTTTCATTTTAATATTATGTATGCTACTCCTAAATGAGCGTATAACATTTTATCTATAGTTATAAACGATTTGTGGTGAAATATAATTTTAAAGTTATAGCAAACAATTTAAAGACCGGTAATTTTCTTTTTGGCCCATCCGATATTTGGTTTATTTTTAGTTGTTTTAGCATGCGATAACAGCCATAAGTCTTTTGCAGGATATGAATGAACCAGCTAATTTCGGTACAAACGAAGAACGGCCTTTTAATTGGCCTGAAAAGGATAAACCATACTGGAGTTTGAAATGTCCGACCAATAAATGGGATGATCCACCTTATAAACCAGGTACGTGTATATGTTGCCTCTCAAGTTCTGTTGCATTCAGGAATCAGTTGATTATATTTTGTATTTACCAAAAATATCTGGTATTTAAAGAATAGTGTATCTATTTGTCTTGTATCATCAAAATAGTACATCTTTTTGTCTTGTATTTACCCAACAGTGTATCTATTTTTTTCTGGTATTACTAAATATTGTATCTATGTGCTTGTATTTACCATATATGGTTACTATGTTTTCGGTATTTACTAAACAGTGCATCTAATTTTATTGTATTTACTAAATAAATGTATATATTTTTCTTGTAATTACCAATTGTGTATGGTTGTGTTGTATCCCTATAAATCTATATTGGCTCGTGTTTACTACAGTTTATATGTTACAACTAGATATTGCATGCTACTAGTAGATATTACTAGATGGTGTATGATATTAATAGACGGTTTATGATATTACTAGATGGAGTAGGATATTACTAGGTGGAGTAGGATATTACAAAATGATGTAAGATATTGCTAGACGGTGTATGATATTACTAGATCGTGTATGATATTACTAGATGGTGCAGGATATTACTAGATGTTGTATGGCATATGGTATTACTAGATGTTGTATGGTATATGGTATTACTAGATCGTGTATGGGATATTACTAGATTGTGTATCATATTACTACAATTGATATGTATTGCTATTACTAAGTGTAATCTATATTTCATATTTACTAGATGGTGTATTTGGTGCTAGAATATCAGAGAAGACTATATGTATGATATCCCTACAGAATGATAGTCAATACAGACATTATGATGTACATAGTTTATATGGCTGGAGTCAAACATTACCTACACTAGAGTGAGTTTAATACATAAATAAAAATAGTGGTGCTGGAGGGGGGGGGGGGGCAACGGGGGGGGGGGTGTACAGTCATCGCTATACGCTCGACATTTGGTTCTCTCAAGTCAAATTTCGACCATTTTCTGCCAGCATCAAGATGTATTATATAATTAAAAATTATTCAAATATCTCCGTTTTTCTACAGTATTTAGGGTATATAGTAAGTTACAAATTAAAATAATTAAGTCGAGATAAACATTGACGTTGAACAAATACACAGTTAACTTGAAAATAATTTTAACCCTTTGTAGGCTTAAAAGGGTCACCTGTCCAACCTCATGATTTTTTCCGGGTCCTCCGGTTTCCTCCCACTGATAAAGACCCCTATGCGCAAGATAATTATTGTAATAGAATTGAACCATATGTTAGTCCCGAAATGACCTAGTTTGTGTCGAGTGGAGTGGAGTGTGGCGGTGTACACGTTTTTTTTTTAACTTTATGGTGGTGATAAATTATGTCATTGTGCGTCTTTAATTTTTCTGGTCATCAATTAGGGTATTTTAATTCCCTTGTAAAGTTTAATCTCTAATCAAGGGTTCAATTCCCCAGCTGTACGTAACACGGTTTAGAGTCGCCTATCCACCCTCGTGGGTTTTCTCCGGGTCCTCCCACTGCTAAAGACCCCTACGCGCAAGCGAATTATTGAAATGAAATTGAACCATGTTTTAGTCCCAAATAACCTAGTTTGTGTCAACTGGACGTTAAACCCCATTTCTCTCTGTCTCTAATTAAGGGGAATATGGGTTCAAAAATGGTTCTATGCCATGCACGATTAAGTATCACCGATTCTAGACAATTCCTACTATTATTTTAGAGCTCTACAGAATGCTACTAATAAAAGGGGAATGGTTATTAGTAGGTCAACATATCCAAGTAGTGGAAAATATTCTGGACATTGGTTGGGTGATAACAATAGCCAGTGGTCACACCTTTATGACTCCATTATAGGTAAGTCTGTTTCGGGTGGATGACAACGATGGTCAGGGGTCACACCTTTTATGGCTCCATTGTAGGTAAGTCTGTTGTGGTTCTAACGGGGTGCCTCGGAGCAATGAGAAAAAAATAAAACACGTAAAGGATGTGGCACACTGTCCTGATTTGTATAATTCTTGATTAAACTTAATACCGGAAAGATGTCGAAAAAAACACTGATCCATAAATATAACCGATATTTATTAGTGATGAAGTTTTTGGTGGTGGTTGTGAAGTAGGAATTTGTTCTGCGGCATTTCTTTACACAACTAGAAGCTGGTTTGTTTTGTACCTAACAGTTTCAGCGCACAACCTCGTACAAACTTTGGAACAAAGACATGACCATTTGTTGCTCTGTCCGCAGTGAAACGCGTTCAGCCCAACGACAATTTGGAGAAAAATTGGAGCCGGACAAAAAGACTTTGGAATTGTACCTTGTGTTAATAAAGACATGGTCATTTGTTGCTCTGGTCGCGGGGAAACGCGTTCAGCCCAACGACAATTTGGAGAAAAGTTGGGGCCGGGCAAAATGGTTGTCTGTCGAATATTTGTCTAAATACTGAGCGCCGGATTAAGCCCCACAAAAAAACCCAGTTGCGCAAAAAAGCGATGTGAGCATGGTCGGACCGAGGACTCCACCTGCTAGTGGCAGTGATACAGCCCTCCGAGGTCTGATTTTCAAAGTCCTGGACATTTTGACCCCTTCAATCCGTGTTGTCACTAGTAACCTTATAAGGTCCAAGGGCCTCATTGGATATTCAAAGTCCTGGACATTGGGACCCCTTCAACCCATGGTGGACCCGTGTTGTTGTTGACATCCTTGAATTCGGTGTTATCCGGTAATGCCGCGCCATACTTTCGACTGGTATCCATGATTCCATTTTTTTTTGTTTAGTTAGCGGGGGAAAGTGTATTAATAAAACGCATTTAATGGCTTTCGTCAAAAATCGACTCGGGACGGTTACTATGTCGTGACGTTACGGTTTTTGCAGATATGACTCTCCGTATCAAGGGCTTTCCGTTATTTATCACTAATACACTTCAAATTAGGTTAGATGTAGTTACATTCATTCGTGTGGAATAATACTGCCACTAGTTCTAGTCACTTGTCTTTGGTTGGCGGCCCCCACATGCGCTAGGCCCCAGGAACCTACCATGTTTAATGCATTCTATTTTACTATTTTTGATTAATTTCTTTTCAGGAATGATAGAGTTTAATTTGTTCGGTATACCATATGTGAGTACATAGGAGTTTATGTATTCGCTTAATCTAAAGACCTGAGTAACCTAATCTCGGAATGCGTTTGTCTTTCGGACAATCCTCCGGAATTTTTTAGAGTGGGGCTAACAATTACAACACGACTTTGGAGTCAACCAATAATTAATTTCCACAAACGCCTGTTTTGTTCTTTGTTCTTTATTTTGACTTCTTCTAACATTTGTTTGATCCTTTCCAAATTTTCTTGTAGATTGGAGCGGATATATGTGGATTTTTCTCAGAGTCGAATGCGGAATTATGTGAGAGATGGATGCAAGTTGGGGCGTTCTATACCTACAGTAGAAATCATAATGGGCTGAATAATAGGGTTAGTGGGATGTGTTAAATTTCTACATTAAATTTCGCCTGTTCGATCACTGCATTGGCCGAGAAAGTTCATCGGGACGAATGGCCTGACAAGGACCCGTGTATACATTGGCGTTCCCAGAAATGAAACAGCGACAAACAATGTAAATCAATGTATTAGGCACCAGCATGTGTTTAATTACATAGCCCCTCTCCTAGCGGATGAATTTCAACCCTTTATGATATTTTAAACTTTATGACTCTTCAAAATTTCGCTTTACCCTGCAACTACTGTTTCCCTTGTTGTAGCCTATTAACGAAACGTAAAACTCACAGGCATGGTCACTGGATTGCTTTCATCTGTTTTCCTTATAGAAGGGCTAAATCTACTATATTATTGGTATGTAAAGCGACAGATTTCGCCGGACCATGTCCCTGCAGGTTGATGCGAAAGATTTTCACGTTTCATGTAGATGTTTTTTGTTTTAGCCTCAAGATCCAGCAGCGTTTGGTCCAGCAGTAGCAGCGTCATCTAGAAATGTGTTACGTATTAGATACAGTTTACTTCCATACCTGTATACGTTATTTTATAAAGTCAATATACAGGGTGGCACTGTCATCAGATCCTTGTTACACGAGTAAGTAAAATCTCTATCCTATATTTGTGACTGTCGTTTTTCTGTATGTACGGCTACGAGGTTTTGGAGACTGAATGGTTACTGGTGCGCTTTTGACAATAAAGTCTGTCAATGAGCCAAGTGGTGTGGTTTTGATCTTACACTTGTACCTTGCAAGGAGTTGGGTCCCCTCTCCAACCTCGTGGGTCTACTTCGGGTCCTCTGACTACGTCCCACAGCTAAAGATCTCTATTAACACTACAGATCTAACCTTTAAACAGTTAATGTTCGATTTAGCCAAAACCCCAAAATACCTTTCCTTTGGAATAATTGTTTTAGGCAACCATTGGGGTTAAAATCAAACTTCAAAGACAGCTGATAATTAATAGCTGGAAAAAGTCTATAAGCAAAACTGTACTAGTGGTGTAGGGCGCGCTTGGGGCTCTGGTTGCAGGTCACCTTTGGTTCGATTCCTGGTATGAACGTATGTGGCCTGGCGATATGAGTGCTTTCTCAACCTCATGGGTTTACTCCGATTTTCTTCCACAGGAAAGACCCCCAGTGCATGCGCTTAACTTACTAAAAAAAATAAAGGTTTGTCTGCGATATCACTAGCAGTGGAAACGGATGTTAGATCCCCTATTAACAACATCAACTTATACATTATTGCCTTTGTTTTTCTTTAGGTTTCCAAGGGAAGAAGCCACGTGGTCTATAGATACTCAGTTTATGTGGGGCTCAGATTTTATGATTGCACCTGTTGTTCTACCGGTACGTTGTTTTCTCATTTCTTGTCTCGGGATCAGGGATACAAGTCGCACCGTCCCTTATCTCCAGTGATTCAAAATTAGTTTCATCTAAACCAAATTGACATTGTCTGCGATATCACTTAGTTGGAAGCGGACCTTTAATAAAGCTATTTCACACACACAACCAAATTGATATTCTATTTCGTCCTAAATCAGAGAGAGATTTAAGTCTGTAAACTGAAAGCGGCTAAGCTACTTTAATTGTGTTTGGTAGCCGGTGTGGCTCGGTGAGTAAGACGTTGGCTCGCTGACCTGGGGGCCCGGAGTTCGAAACTTGTGTTGGTAAAGACAGTTCATCAGGATTCCCCGACGTGGTTACCCCTTGTCAGTGGTGCAGGACGAAAGGTCTGCCGTGGGACATTGTATAGTCCTTCGGGTTGTACGAAAAACCGATGTCTCCTGTACATATTTACATGCACGTAACGTAAAAGATCCATTGGCAGTAGCGTCTCTATCCAGGTAAAACTTCCCTCATAGAAAACTACACGACGTATGCCCGATAGCAGAAAAGTAGGATGTAAAAACACATTTCCTTTCACCTCAAGTTCATCTACGTGAGGCCGTCGTGTATGTTTTCATCTGAATACAAATGTTATATTTTATATATTTAAGTATGAGGAGCCACGGTGGCTAAGTAGGTAAGACGCTGGCTCGCTAGTTCTTCGAGATTTTCCGGAGTGGTTTCCCCTTTTCAGTGGTACAGGATGGAGGACCTGACAATCACAGCTTTCTAGTCGTTCGTATGGGTCGAAAAACCGAGGTCCCGTGTACACATTGACGTTCACGTAAAAGATCCCTTGGCAGATGGAATTGGATATAGATATAAGAGTAGGCGTAGCGCCGCTGTCGTGGCAAAATTTTCCTCACAGCGTATGCCCGTCTTCATTAGCCCAGTCGGGACAGAACAGTAGGATGTTAAACCTCATTTCATTTCATATTTAAGTATGTCTGACGGCCATGTATGTTTTCATATATATACAAATATTATGTGTGTTATATTTAAGGGTAAAATACGTCGAGATGTTTATTTTCCTAGTGCAGTATGGTATGATTATTACACAGTAAGTTGACTTATATTTTAACATAATAGGTGATACAAATATACATAAATATGTATACAATGTTGACTTATTTTTTTAACATAATGGGTGAAACAAATGTGCATAAATATGTATACAATGTTATAAAATCTTATGATAAATTTAACAATATCAAACCTACAAGTGTTATTTAAAAAAACATTATGGATATAGACTACTTCTTTGTTTATTTCATACGATGTTTCAATACTCTTCCACGTATCTTTATCAAGCGATGGTCAATAATGAATCCAACCATACTTATATAGTAATGTATACATTAATCCATACATACATATATGCACGATGTTGTTCTTTTTTAACGCTTTATGTTGTCTTTTCAAAGCTATATAGCATGCATGGTGGACGACAAATATATATTTGTTTTCGTAGAAAACTACATACATCTAAATTCGAGGCCGGATAAAACATGAATGGGGCCCCAGGTTGGGTATATTCTGACCATTGTCCGTCACATTCACACAAATGCAATTTGTATGTATATGTATATCCTGGTTGCCCTACCGTAGCTGCCACGAACAGAAGCCCGAACCCCCCAACCCCAAAAACCACTCCACACCTGTTAAACACTACCGCAACATGGTTATTCATGGTACACAATTAGGGGGCCTCATTAACACTGGGTCCTCTGGCTACAGGCCAGTCAGTCTTCACCTTAATCCGGCCGCGTCTAGGTTATATATCTGAATGTATTTTTAGGGTAGTATGATTAAAACACGTGGTGGTATGGAAACAGTGTCAGCTCCACGAGATGTCATACCATTATATATACGTGGTGGGTCCATTTTACCTACACAATTACCTGCTAATACAACATCGTTCAGGTGAGAAACTTTTAATATAAGTTCATTTCCCTAGGTAACAATGTTTTGGGTCCCCAAGTGATAATTATCGTGTTGTGCGGGTCGTTGTTCTTGTGGGCGACGCATTTCGGAAAAATCCCCAACCTCCGCCATTTCATGCACGATCTACATGAAGCTTGGAGTGACTGTTCCTTGGACAATTGCGCATCGATTTTTAATATGACGTCACAATTCAAAGACGACCGCGATGGCGTCATAGTCAGTTCCTGGTCCATAGAATGGTGGTACTTGTTTTAAAGTTTTATTATAGTGACATGTCCCTTAGATAATTACTCGAAAACAGTGCTTTTATCTGAAAACTAAGACGTTCGGACGAAATGTAATTGATTTGAATTGCTATATATTTGTGTTTCTAAAACCACACAAAAAATATGAAAACAAATATGCCTGCAGTACGCTAAATTTTGTATTATATTTTGTTTAATTTAAGCCGTATGAATCCCCTCGGATTAATAATAGCCCCTGATAGTAACGGACAGGCCAGTGGGAGTCTATTCTGGGACGACGGAGACGGAATAGGTAAGTCAGTTAGATATAACCACAGAGTATATAGTGGCTAGATAAGTCAGCTAGATTCAACCACAGAGTATATATATATATATATAGATAAGTCAATTAGATATAACCACAGAGTATACAGTGGCTAGATAAGTCAATTAGATATAACCACAGAGTATATAGTGGCTAGATAAGTCAATTAGATATAACCACAGAGTATATAGTGGCTAGATAAATCAATTAGATATAACCACAGAGTATATAGTGGCTAGATAAGTCAATTAGATATAACCACAGAGTATATAGTGGCTAGATAAATCAATTAGATATAACCACAGAGTATATAGTGGCTAGATAAGTTAATTATATATATAACCACTGAGTATATAGTGGCTTGGTAAATCAATTAGATATATCTGAAAGGCAGAGTGTAGAGTTAGAGATTTAGATCCCGAGACAGAACTGAGTTTGTGCCCCCCCCACTCCCCACCACTCCCCACCACCACCTCCAACACAACACAATGATCAACTTGTTGAAACTTTTTATGCTGTCCCTGGATGTAATAATACAATAAAATGTTATCTTATCTTATTTCATATACTTATCAGTAAATATTGCTCTGTATCTTTCTACTGTCCCCACGGGACACAAAACCCACCTTTTCAATGCGGTAGACTAAAGTGAAATACTACTGTTCTACTCCGACTGGGCTAATGAAAACGGACATGACTGCATATGCCATACAATGTGCTATGAGGGGGAATTCCAACTGCCAAAGGATATTGTACTTTCATACCAATATATAAAAGGGCCATCGGGAGTTCGCCCCATCCGAACGACTATACGTTGTCCCTTGCCAGGCTATCCATCCTGCATCACTGAAAAGGGGGAACCACACCGGAAAATTCCCTATGAACTTTCTTGGCCAACGCGGGGATCGAACACATCAATCAATGGAGAAAGCCAGATGCGACCCATATTACCATTTATCTAGCTAGAGTAACAAAAATATTATAAGTTTCTTTATACCTTCTAATTTAATGTAACTGTGCTCTCTTTGACAGAAACGGTACAACGTGGTGAATATTTCACAGCGAGTTTCAACTTTTCACAGGTAACATAAAACTGTGGAATATAATTACTATAACCTGCATACTGATCGAACAAAGGGTCGGATTATGTCCGCGACTATACTAAACTATATTATAAAATAAGAAAAAGAACAAATACGTCGGATATTTTGAGACTAACAAACGACTAATTTTGTTTCTATTGTCATGTGTGGAAGATAATGTTAACCCCGAACAGCGGCATATTCATCGACTTCCTACTGTCAAGAGTTATTTTACTGCACGTCTGGAAGACGTTGCTGCCCCGGTTAGATTTATTTGATAAGGCCAACTTCAAGTTTGGTCAAAGGTCACGGAATGTTAACAGGGCTAGCGTTAAACCCAACGCTACCCCAAATCCTGGACCTAACCGTAATGCTTACCCTAACGCTAACCTACAATCTCCCCAACAATCACGTGCCCTAACCTAATTTTCATCTCAGCGACCATGACGAAAATTGAGCTGGCCTTAACAAATAGATTTAGCCATGCTGTCCCCGTACAGCGGCACATCTGGCTAGCTTACTATTTATCGACTTATTGCTGTCAAGGATTACTGTGTACCCAGTATTTCGCTCCATTACAACGATAAAACAATACTGTACCCGTCCGCCCAGCAGGGGCTACCCTTTACGGGTAAAAATCGGACTTTAAATATCCTCAGATTCTTCTCGGCCCGTACCGGGATTTGAACCCTGGACTAGTCGAGAGTCCAGTGTCTTCATCGCTCAACTATACCACGGCCCACTTTAAGATAAAGAGGTATCTTCTCTACAAAACTGATCGTTATTTGCTTCTTCTAAGTATATAACTTTATTATTCTTTGGTTACAGAACAAACTTGAAATGTCCATCACCAGAAATCATTCCATTGTGTCACCTCTACGATTTGATAGAATAAAAGTTTTGAACGTGATGACAAGTCCTACTGATATTCAGGTATCAATACCACCAGCTATGACCAGACAATCTGTCTCAGGTGCCACCATACACTATACCAGTACCTATAAGGTGATTCTTTTAATTTTGCAATTAACAAAGATCCAGAAAAGTGTTCAATCTTTACTCGTTTGCCAACCAGACTAAAGGCTAGGTCACAACCAACCGTACGTGCTACTACGGGGAAATTAGAGACTTTTGGCAAGCGTAATTTCCTGGTCCGTATCGCGTATCCGTATGGATTTTGCTTGTGACGTCATCAATGTCTGTGTATTTCTCATATGTAATACGGCACACGGATACGGCAGCACGTATGGAACGGCTTTCATACGGATATGGTCCGTATAACGCTTTCGTCTTTTTACCGTCTTTTTGCTACTTTTAGACGCTGAAATGTTGCATCATAGCGTTTTTATGAATCTATGTGTATTCTAGAACACGAAAGTGTATATTTGATGTGATTTTAACAGTGATACATTAGTGAAACCAAAAATTGCTAAAATCTGCCAAAACTCTAAAACTACATTGACGCAACGTATCACGTATAGCCCGTAGATCAACCAGTATGCAGACAGGCGGGAAAAATATGAAAATTCCGAGAAAAACCCATCAAAAATAATGATTAAATTCCAGTCGTTATCACTGTTAAAATCACATCAAATATACACCTTCGTGTTCTAGGATACACATAGATTCATAAAAACGCTATGATGCAACATTTCAGCGTATAAAAGTAGCAAAAAGACGGTAAAAAGACGACAGTATTATACGGACCATTTCCGTATGAAAGCCGTTCCATACGTGCTGCCGTATCCGTGTGCCGTATCACGTATGAGAAATACACAGACATTGATGACGTCACACCCAAAATCCATACGGATACGCGATACGGACCAGGAAATTACGCTTGCCAAAAGTCTCTATTGTGAGCTAGGGCTTAAGGAAGACCGCATGCAGTGTGCTATGAGGTACATTTTGCCGAGACAGCGGCGTTTGTTTCCGCTTTTACGTCATCGAATCCCCATGGTTCTTTAACGGGAGCTAGATTTTCCATCCGATCCGAACGACTAGTCTCTGTTCCTTCACCACTGTCCATGATTAGTGACCCCGTACCTTCTATAATTACTGCGCTACCGCTGCTCCAAGGGATTCGTATAATAACATTGTAGCTAAAACCAGCTCACAACGGGGGTATTTTAGTAAAATTTACGCGTCACTTGCGTGTGTTCGGCACCGTAGAAGATCACAGATTGGAAGAGACTTATGGTCCTGCATATTCAAAATTTTCACCCGGTGTCTTGCGGCTGGTCTGCGAACTACCAAACCCTAAGAATCGTGCGTGTTAAAACTCGTACGGGCGGGTTGTGAGCTAAGCGTAACAGTAGTGTAGGATGTAACTTCCGTTCATGCCTATTGTCCCGAAAGCGAGAAATGCTTACGTTTTACAAAAAAAAATCCTTCCCTTGTACGTCAGCCATAAATAAATTCATAGTTTCTAGGAAGAAGGGTTCGGTGTTCGTAAAAGTTTTAAAAACACCTTGTGTCACCTTTCAATATATTTCATTTAGGGGTCATGCACTTCCATTGTACTTCAGCCTTAAATAAATTCATAGTTTCTAGGAAGAAGGGTTTGGTGTTCGTAAATGGTATCACTTTTCATTTTAGGGGTCATTGACTTTTACCTATTGTTTGGGACAGTCTTTATAGTTAGCAATTGATGTTATGATATGAGGGGTCGCACCGTATTACCTATATAAAGAATAAAATATAATGCCCGAATGTTCTGTTCCTACTGGGCTAATGAAGACGGGCATACAGTGTGCTATGAGGGACACTTTGCCCGGACAGCAGCCATACGGCCTACTCTTATATCGAATTCCAACTACCAATGGGTTTTTTTTGTACGTGCACGCCATTGTGTACGCGGGACCTGGGTTTTTCGTCCCATCCGAAGGACAAGACGTTGCCCCTTGCCAGCCAAATCTTTATGCTATTGTTTGAGATGTAATTATTTATTATATTTCAGGTATTGAAGATAACTGGTTTAGATCTTCCTTTAATAGATAATTTTACTATAACATGGAGCTAAAATATCCTTTACTGTTGGCACCCTTACTTTATTTTATTTTGAAAATTTTATTATATTACGGACTGTTTATTATATTTAATATTCTTTTTTATATTTTTATTATGTTTTTATATTTGATATTCCTATATAACATGTTTCCAAATCATTTTCATACAATTTGTTCATTTTCGGATCATTTATTTTTCAACGTAAATATCGGATTGCTTGTATATTTAAAAATTTCAGTCAAATTGGTCCATTATGAACCGCGATTTTTGCGATTGAATATTTGGGCTAGCCTCGATCATCATTACTAAAGTCGGTAGAATCCAATAAACATCGCAGGCTAGTGGTGCCATCAAGAGTTGATTATGTTCTGGATAAGTTAATTAATGTCTAATTAATAATTTAGATAACATTTCAGGCCTAATGAAAGACCTGCAATAGGTAGATTTAGCCCTTGTCTAATGTATGTTTAGATTATAAAAAAGCACTAGTGGGGTCCAATTCTCCAATTTAATGAAATTTAATTTTCACACCCAACACAAATATTAGTACCGCATGAGGTAATTTGATTTTGCGTCGTTATCGCGACACTGTGTAAATCTTGTTATATAGAAAATTCGTAAATACCCCTTGTATACGCACAAGGGTTAAAGAAAATGCAGTCAGAATGTGGCTTTTGGTTTGGTCTAAACTATTTCCTCATTAATAATTATTTTTATTTGTCATGAAGACCGACGGGTGTTCGTTAGCTAGATATAGGTTACATACCAATGCAATTTGGATGTTCGTAGAAAGAAATAAGGAGATACATTTTTATGTGAGTCATTCATATCTTTGGTGGGTTTCTTGATTTGAAATCAGAAACGCAGTAGAAATTACTTAGACATGATGCGGAGATGATAAAGTTGGTTTCGCCAGCAGCACTTTATGATTATGATCTACCAATAATGTTATACTTTAAAGTATATTAGACGACATGTAGTCCTAAACAAGACTTCTGATGAACGGAGGAGGTGGCCGAATGGTTAGTGCGTGAGCCCTGTATTACAAGGTCTGCCATTGAGTCAACTGGCGTGGTTTCGATTCCCCGGCTGTAGGTGACAAGGTGTAGGGTCGCATGTCCAACCTCGTGTGTTTTCTCGGGTCCTCCGGTTTCCTCCCACTGTTAAAGGCCCCTACGAATAAGATAATTATTGAAAAAAATGTTAGTCTCGAAATGACTGTGTCGAGTGGACGTTACACACCCCCCCCCCCTCTCTCTCTCTCTCTCTTTCTCTGATGAAATGGTGAATAAATATGTTTTTTCTTGTGTTTAAGCTTCGTTATATACTGTATATTATCCAATTTTATATAAACCTGTCTTGTTGTGGCTGTTTCTGTTGAAACACAACGTGAAGTATCTAAAACCGCCCGTAATCATAGTCGATAATAAATGAAATGAAATGGGATTTAACGTCCTACTGTTCTGCTCCGACTGGACTAATGAAGAATGGCTAGTGAAGACGGGCATACGCCATACTGCCTATGGCCTACTCTTATATGGAATTCCAACTGCCAAGGGGTCTTTTACTTACACGCCAATGTGTACACGGGACCTCGGTTTGTCGTCTCATCCGAATGACTAGACAGATCTCGGCCAACACCGGTATCGAACACGCAGCCTCCAGGCTACCGAGCAAACGTTTTACTCATTTAGCTACCGCTCCCGCATGTCGGTAGTAAAAACTATTTCACATTATCCAGGGATATTAAAATAAATGAAATTTGGTTTGACGTCCTACTGTTTTGCTGGGACTGGATATTCAAATAATAACGCGAATGCGAAATCTCAGACAAAATAAAATAAATGAAATTTGGTTTGACGTCCTACTGTTTTGCTGGGACTGGATATTCAAATAATAACGCGAATGCGAAATCTCAGACAAACATGTCCATCCACCGCTGAGAATACTGGTGAAGTAGTTACACACTTCGCAGTGTATTGATATAGCGAGAGAGAAATGGGGTTTAACGTCCACTCGGGCATAAACTAGTATAGGTCATTTCTGGACTAATATATGGTTCAATTTTCATTTCAATAAGAATTTTATTCTTTAGCAGTGGGATGAAACCGGGGGACACAGAGGTTGTCACGTACAACCGGGGATTCGAACACCACGCCAGTTCACACAATGACAGAGCTCATGATGCAAGACACACACGCTAACCATTCGGTCATCCAACCACCCAGTATTGATATAGCAGCTTTGAGAATAGATTTATCAAAGGACATACTGAAGTGGTATTCATTCTTCCAACAAACTATAAATTATCCCAGTCGGTGCAGAACAGTAGGACGTTGATCGCCTGTCCAACCTCGTGGGTTTTCTACGGGTCTTCAGATTTACCTCGACTGCTAAAGACTCCAACACACAAGCGAAATATTGGAATAAAATTGAACCATGTGTTAGTCCCGAAATGAACTAGTCTGTGTTAAGTGCACGATTATAAACTCTATTTCTTTTTCTCTCTAGAATAGGAGCAGAACAGTAGGATGTTAAACCCCATTTTATTTCATTTCTTTTTCTATCTCCATTGCATAATGACCTTGACCCCTTAATTTTCAACAAAGCATGATTTATTATATTTATTATTTATTATAAATGTATTATCTTTCATGGTTAATCAAGAATTATTATAAAAAAAAACACTTCTGATTTGAAGCTAAAAGATATACATTTTTGTAAATCAAGTCACATCAATTTGAGCAAATTGTTCTGGAGTCCATTAATAGCAGAATCATCTAGATATTAAATATCGGCTATAAATAACTACTGTAAAATATGTAGAACCATACTAATAGTAACAAATGTGTTATAAGTATCTCTGTATATTTATATTTTATATATAAAATTATACAATAAATACATTTACAATATCTGTTATGTTATGTGAAAATATACAGGTACACACAGTAAACAAGTATACAAACAAAATATAATATTTGATACAGGACCTTTATATTTATCTATTTTATATAAACAAGTATACAAGCAGAATATAATATTTGATACAGGACCTTTATATTTATCTATTTTATTATAAAACAAGCTGATTAAAACACAGATCCTATTTCGTTTTGTTTTTATATTTCAAAATTTCATTTTACTTGTCTTTTTTTAATACTTTCTATGGCCTCTACTACATGAAGATCTGACCAGTTGTAGTGGGAGGTTGCGTTAGGGGTCATGCAGGCGACTTTTGACCTATGACGTCAGACATTTGATTAACCAATCAGCGTTGATGTATCTAGTAGGATACCCACAGTTGCATGCATCGCACACCAAGAACTCACTGCAACAGACTGTTTCATTAGCTAATCCCTCACATCATCATCCAGAAGCGGGTTATATAACAACTCTTCCAGATCCTAGTGTAGTAAAGACATATAAAAGGAAATTTTGAACTATACAAAAAAAGAGACGAAATAAGATCTGTGTTTTTAATCAGATTGGGAACAATCCCATTAACTACGGGGGGGGGGGGGGGGGGGGGGGGGGGGGGGAGGAGGGTGAGATAAGTGTGCTTTAAATCATAAGGTCTGTCATTGAATCAAGTGGAACAGTTGGAATCTCAAGCTTGTACATAACAAGTAGAATAACCTGCCCTCCAGTTTCCTACCACTACTAAATATCCCTAAAATGAGAGAGAAATGGGGTTTAATGTCCACTCGACACAAACTAGGTCATTTCGGGACTAACATATGGTTTAATTTTATTTCAATAATTCGCTTGCACGTAGGGGTCTTTAGCAGTGGGAGGAAACCGGAGGACCCGGAGAAAACCCACGAGGTTGGACAGGTGCCCCTAAAATGACATAGCTTGTGTGATCTCTCTCTCTCTCATTCTAACATGTAAAAGAAATATTTAAGAAACAATTTGTAAATCGATAATGAGAAATTGTAACATGTGAAAGCACAATAAGAGAGAGAGAAATGGGGTTTAATGTTCACTCCACAAATCTAGGTCATTTCGGGACTAATATATGGTTTCATTTTGTTTCAATAATTGTGTGTAGGGGTCTTTAGCAGTGGAAGGAAACAAGAGAACCTGCAGACAGGTAACCCTACTCCTTGTCACGTACAAGGATGGAATCAAAACAGACCTGATCAAACGCACACACATTATTCATTCGGCCATCCAAAAAACAATAAAGGAAAGGTACAAAGTCAATCTCTTACATTGTAAGAATAAAAACTTCACAACAGTAATGATGCAAAATAAGCTTAACATTTTGGTCCTTTTAAACAACAAGATACCATAACTTTATCAAATTTTCAGAACCCAAAAAATAAATTCAATACAGCATTTACACTTGAATAATGCAGTTTTTATAAGATTTTTAAAGTTTCAGAAAGCAATAATTAAAAGCTAAGCAATAATTTATTCCAGCATTTCCAACTGAATAATGCAGTCTTTCAGTATCTATTACAACTGAATGATGCAGTCTTTCAGAATCAATTACAACTGAACGATGCTGTCTTTCAGTATCAATTACAAATGAATGATGCAGTCTTTCTATATCAATTACAACTGAATAGTGCAGTCTTTCAGTATCAATTACAACTAAATAATGCAGTCTTTCAGTATCAATTACAACTGAATGATACAGTCTTTCAATATCAATTACAACTGAATGATGCAGTCTTACAGTGTCAATTACAAGTGAATAATTCAGTCTTTCAGTATCAATTACAACTAAATAATGCAGTCTTTCAGTATCAATTACAACTGAATAATGCAGTCTTTCAGTATTGTCTATTAGTTATAATGGCTTAATATACAATATTCTACAACACAACACTAATTCGTAACATTTTTTAATATTTCCATATATTTTGTACAAATATAAGCTGGTAAATATATAGAGCACACTCTTAAAGCTGCCAAAAATCTCTCTACACATATATTTATTATTGTCATGACATAAATTTATCTTATGCTAGGTTTCCACTATCACTACACCATTGAAATTGTGGAGTAATCTTTGTAATCCTTTCAGGTCTTATCACATATTACATACAAATTTATCTTATGGTAGATTTTCACTATCACGATCCGTGCTACAATTGAAATCGTGGAGTAAACGTGGTGATCCTATCAGGTCTTAAGGTATATTGAGATCAGTCGTAGCAATTGTGTTGATCCTATTGAAATGTATGCGACAGTGTCAGCACATACCAGATCATGGACAAGCTTATCTTAAAGCATCACACGACAGTCGGAACCTAGCATTAAGTATTAGAATTTGCGACATAATCTTTATTAATTCCACAGAATTAGTTTTGTTTACTTTTTGCTTCCTTTTGCGTACCGTCTTGATCACCAGGATGTCAGTTTCAAATATTAGGTTCAAATCATACATCTCTTGTTTTCTTAACCTAACAATTACTCACTTTTTTTAACTCTTGGACTACAATAATCGCAACATATATTTTGACCTAGGTTCACAATTTTCACCTCAAGCAGTAATTTCAAATTTGATTAAAACTTAAATTGAGAAAATACATTTTTAACCCTTAGACCTTAAATACAATAGCTGCAACATGCAACATATATTTTGACCTAGGTTCACAATTTTTACCTCAACAGGTAATTTCAAATTTGATTAAAACTTAAATCGAGAAAATACATTTTTAACCCTTAGACCTTAAAGGCTCAATACTACTCTTGTTGTAACTGAATAATATGTCCCAATCTTTATTCTGGTCAACAAATTGTACTATTTTAGAATATTTCAATTAATAGATGATACAAATTTCATCTTAACACACCTTATTTAAAAATTTTGAAAAATTCAACATAATGGTTTGAAACGTCTAACGTAAACCTTTTCAAATGAAACTTTGATTTAAAAATATTTTCGAACCCTCTGGACCAATAAAATAGGATGTAATGGATAATTTACACAACAGGTAGGACACTTAAACATCTAGTACTTAGATAGAGATATTATTTATTTTCTGGAGCTTTCAAGCCAGCAAGAGTGTTATTGCCCCTTTAAATACAATAGCTGTAACATGCAACATATATTTTGACCTAGGTTCACAATTTTAACCTCAAGGGGTAATTTCAAATTTAATTAAAACTTAAATTGAGAAAATACAAGTTTCTTGATCTTTGGGCATTGGAATTTGGAACCCTAAAAACAACCCTAGTTTGCTATTTATTATCATTATTTCATGTCACATCCTTATTGTAAATATGAATACACTAACTAATACGATGATGATTATACAGACATAGTAAATAATATCCACAAATATTCACCAGTCTTTTGTGCACCAAATATCTAATCATATAAAATAAGACATTAACTGGAATGTCAAAACCCTCCATAATACAATATAAAAAAGGAAGACTTGAATTGATCCTACACTTTCACCAATGTGTTGTCTAAAACCATTTCCAAGAACTGAAATAATAATAATAATAAAATCAAACAATATTTGGCCTCTACTAAAATAAACTAAGATTTATTCAATAATCAAAAATCCATGCACTGACCAACATTTGAGTAAGGTATGTCGACCAAGGATTTTTTTTTCTGCATTTAAAATGTGTACACGGTGATGGATTGAGTAGTTTGTTTCAAATTATGCAAACCCTCTCATAGGAATGTCCTGATATGATGCTATAGTCGTTAATGCTTTTTAAAGCATAGAAAACTAAATTTCTGTCTTCTGTAATCCAGCATATCTGCTTAGACAAAAAATGATGGGTTCAGGTTTATTTATAAGAAGGAAGCCACAGTGGCTCAGTGAGTATGACATTGTCGCTAACCTAGAGTGAAGGAAGACCGCACTACATGCCAACAAACCCAACAAGACATTGCAAGAAATAAAGAACAAATATCAAATCAAGTGAAAGGATCGGGGTGGGGGGGGGGGGGGGTCAAGTCGGAAGTGTCCACTGTGCTGTACAATTTTTAGTATCGTACCAGTACTTACATCTTCATAACTAATTCTAATGTTCCCAGATTGTTGTGTATCTTTGGCACGAAATTTGTCTGTAAGTGATTTTAATGAAACACAAGCTTGTATAAAGTCATCAAAATTGATATTTCTTTGTCCTCTTCTGTCAAACTTCATCACAACAACATTAGCAAACTGAGGAGATCTAAAAATAAAAAATATTGTAGAATGGTATTGAATGACATAGTTCAACAATAAAAGAAATTTAAAGATACATTATGGGAGATTAGATAAAGAGTTGGCAGTTCTTACTATAATAGTTAAAAAATAGATAATGTAAAGAGAATTTGCTGAAAATTTATGTCAAATTGATCCACTCAATCATCATTACTAAATTCGGTAAGATAAAAAAACATAGTCTCGATTATCCATTTTTGATTAAATTATGAATGGAAGTTGAACAGGAAATCGGATAAATTAATTAATGTCTAATTAATAATTTAGACAACATTTCAGGCCTAAAGAAAGACCTGCAATAGGAAGATTTAGCTCTTGCATAATATAATATCATAATTTTACAAAATATCCTTATTGAAAATGAGATTAATGTAATTTGTTAAACCATTAGCACTGCCAGAAACAATGTACTGACTAGGGCTCTTTAGCCTGCCTCATCACATGCACAACTGTGGTTTATTCAAATTGGTCATATAATATGGAAAGCTATTCAAATATCTTGGGGAGTTTTAGACGGATTAAGGAACAGCAATTTCTAACTGTTTCAGTATTTTCATGAGTCTCCAGTGGCTATATATTTATTAAGAGTTTGAAGATTGGTTTGGCCTGTTTAGGGGTGGGGAGAGTTAGAAAGGGACATGCCAATAATTTGCAAATATTTGTTGGCTAAATCTATTTGTTAAAGATAGCTAAATTTTTGTAAAGGTTGCCGAGATGTAAATAAGGTTAGGGCACGTGATATTAGCGAGATTGTAGGTTTGGGTTAGAGTAAGAATTAGGGCTAGGTCCAGGGTTAGGATTAGTGCTAGCCAAGTTTACATCTCATGACCTTTGACCAAACTTGAAGTTGGCCTTATCAAATAGATCTAATCATGTTTATTCCTTAGTTTAAAACTATTCACAGGGCAAGTCTCAGAAACACAATTTTGGCTCACTACACCCTCTCTATAAATTGCGTTCAATTGCGCAGAAATAAAAGTAACTAAACATGACCAAAGCAGGAAAAAAACATGATACGTACAAATTATAACCAAATGTTCTCAATGCACTGTGTAATTCTCCAGCATCAATATTCCCTGATCTGTCGGTATCAAACCTATAATATCAAAATTACCATTTACAAATTTACCAATAAAGCAATAAACTAGATATAAATAAAATGAAAAGAAATGGGAATCAACGTCCTACTGTTCTGCTCCTAAACTGGGCTAATGAATACAGGCATATGCCACACAGTGTAATATGAGGGAAATTTTGCCCGGGCAGCAGCACTATGGCCTACTCTTGTATCGAATTCCAACTGCCAAGGGATCTTTTACGTGCACGTCAACCTATACACGGGTACTCAGTTTTTTGTCCCATCCGAACGACTAGACAGGTGTCCTTGTCAGACTCCTAAACCAGATATAAATATTGCATAAAAAGCTTAGCATTTCCAGGTCACGAATAGTATACATCATGTTACATGGATCTGTTTCAGTTTTTCATATGAAATGAAATGAAATGAAATGGGGTTTAACGTCCTACTGTTTTGCTCCGAACTGGGCTAATGAAGACGGGCATACGCCATACAGTGTGCTATGAGGGAAATTTTGCCCGGACAGCGGCACTACGGCCTACTCTTATATCGAATTCCAACTGTCAAGGGATCTTTTACGTGCACGCCAATGTGTACACGGGACCTCGGTTTTTCGTCCCATCCGAATGACTAGACAGCTGTCCTTGTCAGCCCCTTCGTCCTGCATCACTGACAAGGGAGAACCACGCCGGAAAATCTGGATGAACTTTCTCGGCCAATGCAGGGATCGAACACCCGACCTCCAGGCTAGCGAGCCAGCGCCTTACCCACTTAGCCACCGTGATCCCCATTTTTCATATGATAACAGGATCAATTTATATATGTACATAGAAAAATAATAAATAAATACTTTCATAATGGACTGAATTGATTTCTTTATTGAAATGAAATGGGGTTTAACTTTTCTGCACCAATTGGGCTAATACAGATGGGTACATATACCATGCAGGGAACATTTGCCGGGACAGCTGTTTTTCGAGCATGCCAAACTGTATATGGAACCACATTTGTTTTTTGTACCATGCGAGGTACTAGACGCCACCCCTTGCTAGGCCCTACATCCTGTGCAACTCACATGGGAAAACCCAGCTGGAAAATCCTGGCCAACTGAACCCCTGATCTCCTGGTTAGTGAGCCAGCGTCTCAATCACTGAGCCACATGATAGCCAATTGATTTCAAATAGTTTCATTATAAGGAAGCCACAGTGGCTAAATGAGTAAAATGGTGGCTTGCTAGCCTGGAGGTCGCATGTTCGATCCCTGTAATGGCCGAGAAAGTTCATCAGGATTTTCCAGCATGGTTTCCCCTTGTCGGTCGTGCAGGACGGAGGGCTAACACGGAGAGCTGTCTAGTCATTCAGTTGGGATGAAAAACCGAGGTCCTGTATACATGTTGACATGCACATCAAAGATCCCTTGGCAGTTAGAATGCAATATAAGAGCAGGCCGTAGTGCTGCTGTCCCGGAAAAAAATTTTCCCTTGTAGCACACTGTATGGCGTATGTCTGCATTTATTAGACTAGTCAGAGTAGAACAGTAGGACATTAAATCTCTATTTCATTACTCATTATAAGAAAAATATTTATTTAAAAGCTGGTTAGCCATTCATTCAGTGGTCTAATGGGGAAGTACCAAATATCCTTAAGATTTATTTACCTATCAAAGCATGCTTTCCAATCCTGGATATATTTCCATAAAGCAGCAAACTCATGAACATCTATGGTACCACTTCTGCATAGAACAAAAAAACCAGATTGATTTACATAACACAATTATATGGAATACTTAAACAAGAGCTAAATATGTTGATTACAGGTCTTGCTTTAGGTCTTCAATGTTATATGAGAGAGAGATAGAGAGAGAGAGAGAGAGAGAGAGAGAAATGGGGTTTAACGTCCACTCGACACAAACTAGGTCATTTCGGGACCAACATATGGTTTAATTTTATTTACATAATTCGCTTGCGCGTAGGGGTCTTTAGCAGTGGGAGGAAACCGGAGGTCCTGGAGAAAACCCACGAGGTTGGACAGGCGACCCTACTCCTTGCCACGTACAACTGGGGATTCGAAACCACGCCAGTCGACTCAATGACAGACTTTATGATAACCATTTAGCCATCCAACCCCCCAAATGTTATATGAACTATTAAACATACATTATGCAAGAGCTAAATCTGTCAATTGCAGATCTCTCTTTAGGCCTGAAATGTTATCTAAATTATTAATTAGACATTAATTAATTTATCCAGACCATGATGACATCGCTAGCCTGTGATATTTACTGGATTAGAACCCGGTCCGCTGGTTCTGATTAAATAAAAAATGGATAAGACTTTTTTTTTATCATATCAAATTTAGTAATGACGATCGAGGCTAGGTCCAAAAGTGAATCCCTAAATACTTGGTTCAGGATGGATCAATTTGGCTGACATATTTTTAGCAAATTCCCTTTACATTATCTAGTTTTTAACTATTATAGTGAGAACTACCAGCTCTTTATCTAATCTCCCGTAATGTATCTTTAATTAGACATTATTAACATGACAAGACCATAACTAGCTCTTGATGCCATCTGATGGGCCCAATTTGAAACAGATTTGAATACGATTTGTGGTTCAACAGTGGTAGATGATTAACTGTAAAAATGGACAATGTTTATTATCGCAACAATGGTAACAATGACAATCAAGGTTACAGTGTTACTGAAATGAATATTTCTTGGCTCAGAGTCAAGTAATTTGACTGAAATTTTCAGCATATTCCTTTTACATTATCTATTTTTTAACTATGATAGCGAGAACTGACAGCCCTTTATCTAATCTTACCTAATGCCCCTTTAATTCAGAATTGTCAGCTCATTATCTAAACTTAGTCCTCCATAATGCTTTAAAAGTTTATTTCTGGCGACATTACAATGACAATTCTCTCATCTTTATCAAGTAAAGTATGACAACCAGAGTACAGTGAAGATATACACAATATGGTTTACAAGAAAAGCTATAGAATGAGATCTTATTATTTTTAGTTCAAAAGAAATTCTCTGGGCCCACACCAGGGTCGAACCAATTAAGAATCTCCTGGTTAGGCCATGTTGAATTGATTCCTTGTTTCTCCTCGCCTGCGCGCTTAGCTAGAGGACCCCGAAAATCGTGCGCTTACGTTTTTAACACAAAAAAAAATATTCAAAAAATTATGTTAATAACATCTAAATAAAACTCTACTAAACATCAGAAGTCAAATATCGTTGTTTATTCCTCGTTAAGAACTAAAGATGTTGATAACACACATGTAGGGGCCCACATACCATGGAATAAGTTACACTGTATTTGATTGGATGAATTCCGCAAAATGGCGCGTGTAGCAGTCATTTCGGCTAATAAGAAAGCATATTATAAACTGTAAGACAGTCGCTAATATTCAATCGCGAACCTGAATAATCAATTTTTTCATTGGCTAAAATTATAACACGTCATTATTATTCATGCATTGTCCAATCATATCTTTTGTACTAAATTACGCACACCTTACAAAATGACGAGCTATGCCGGGACATAGGTAAATTCGTGTACCGCTAATTTATTGATCTTCAAGGAAATAACAGTGGTCCCGTTCGTTTAACTCCAGTAATGAACGAACGGGACCACTATAATTTCCTTGAAGATCAATAAATTAGGTCGACCGGTACGCGAATTTACCTATCTCGACAGCTTTCTGGTGGGTATTCGCAGCTCTTTCACGTTCAATGATATTGTCGAAACCGTCTATAACTCAACAAGGAAATCAAATTTCATCTAATTGAAATGTTTCTATTGTATTGTAACACAAGAATACGGAAAATTTATATCAAAATATGGTTATTTCATATTTTAAAAAGTTAAACAAGAAGCTACTTGTTACTAAATTTTAGTTTGTTATTAAATTTATTCAATTAAATATTATCTGTGTTTTCTTTCTAACCAATAATATAAGTAGATTATTTATAATATTAAAAAAGGGTACACAATCCCCGGACTATAGATATTATGCTAGACAACTTTGTGTTTTGAAACCTACTTTGTGTTGTGTTTACCGCAAATGATTGCCAGAGTGGTGGCAGGGGAAACAAGGAATCAATTCAACACGGCCTTAGTGAGTCAACACCTGTGTGTACACATAAAAAACTCTTGACAGTGGGCTGTAGTGCCGCTATCCGTGCAAAATTTCCCTCGTAGCACACTGTATTGCCCGTCTTCAGAACTGTAGGATGTTAAATCCCATTTTATTTCATTTCCGACTCAAGATACAAATATGTTACTAACCTGTCTCTATCAAACATACCAATCATTAATCGACAGGTTTCAGGATTAAATGGGGACCAGTTGCCATTCATTAAGGCTCGCTGTAATTCTTCAGCAGTTATTTTATTAGAATTATCTTGATCAACTGCCTGAAATAAGAATTTCAATAATCATATAAAATATATGAAATGAAATGGAGTTTAACGTCCTACTGTTGTGCTCCGAAAATGGTCTAATGAAGACGGGCATACGCCATACAGTGTGCTATGCGGGAAATTTTGCCCGGACAGCGGCACTACAGCCTACTCTTATATCGAATTCCAACTGTCAAGGGATCTTTTACGTGCACGCCAATGTTTACACAGGATCTTGGTTTTTTGTCCCATCGGAAAATAAGGATGAATTTTTTCGGCGAATGCAGGGATCGAACACACGACCTCCAGGATAGCGAGCCAGCTTCTTACCCACTTAGCCACTGTGACCCCCATATAAAATATAGGTTGTCAGTCAACTAAACATACGCCCACCAGCAGCTAGGTCATCTGAGCAGTAATGAGCTGAAAGATTTATCAAACATTTCAAAAACATCAATTCCAATTGCAGTCTATCATTGAAAATCTTTCAAAATCAATAGGATTAGGATGCTCCCTTTCTGTAGCTAGGACAAACAACTGCTATAAACTTCAGACAGATAGGTTCTTAAAAAAAAGAATTCATTACATAAGGGACATAACTCGACAGGTGATTATCCAAAAATGTTGAGAATCAATATAAAGGTAGGCCTAAATTAATGTTGGCATATAGAAACAAATTATTTAACATTTCAAGCAAAAAATTAGTTGCTAAAACTATTTTATGCTTGATGTGATGTGAGCATAAAAATATGATAGGTTAATTTATAAATGACCTGAAATCAGCCCCAAAATGGTGGAGGTCACTGGAGGAGCAGCAAGAGCTTAATATTCCTCTAGCTGTGTATGGCACAGTGAGTAAGACATTGGATCCCATGTTCAATCCCGGTGATAGCAAAGAAAGTTCATCTTAATTTTCTGGCTGGTTCCCCCTCATCAGTGGTGCCATACAGAGGGCTTGACAAGGGGTAACACATAGCCGTTCAGATGGGACTAAAAACTGAAATCCTGTGTACAATTTGACGTGCAAGTAAAAGAAGCCATGACAGTTGGAAATTAATATAAGAGTAAGCTGTTGTACCGCTGTCTGGGTGAAATGTCCCTTATACAATGTAGCACACTGTAAACCGATTTTCATTCATTCATTCATATGATGTGTACGTAATAATGAAATATGCTAATTCAAGATAAATCACCTGAAACCAGCCCCACAACTCTTGACTTATTCCTGGTGGAGGAGCAGCAGGAGCAGAATATCCACCAGGCTGTTGATATCCACCAAACTGTTGTCCCTGTGGCTGCCCATAAGGTGGTCTGAACTGCTGTCCTTGAGGTGGCTGTCCATACTGCTGTCCTTGAGGTGACTGTCCATATTGCTGTCCTTGAGGTGGCTGTCCATATTGTTGTCCTCGTGGTGGCTGTCCATATTGCTGTCCTTGAGGTGGCTGTCCATACTGTTGTCCTTGAGGCTGTCCATATGATTGACCCTGAGGTTGACCATACTGCTGTTGTGGTTGATATCCTTGTTGCTGGGAATAGCCTTGCTGTGGACCCTGACCATAAGGCTGACCTCCTGGTTGTCCATAAGGATTGCCTCCTGACGGCCTGTTAGCAGAACCTGTTCCATAGCCTCCCTAAAATGAAATACAACTGATTTAGGGATTTTGACTACCTGACTGAACAATGTGGCTTCATTTTTTTTGTATGCCAATTATTGATACCATTACAATGCTCAGACACCATAATGCCACAGTTGGGAGAAATATTCTTTTGTCCGACAAATAGATAACAGAGTATAGAGTCACCAAAGAAGAAAACTCTAATGTTGAGCAATATCTTTTTAGATGATTGAACAACCTACCCATGCACTGCGACTTCCGAGATGAACTGATTTTAAAATGGGGGAGAGAGAGAGAAATGGGGTTTAATGTCCACTCAACACAAACTAGGTCATTTCGGGACTAATATGGTTCAATTTTATTTCAATAATTCACTTGCGCGTAGGAATCTTTAGCAGTGGGAGGAAACCGGAGGACCCGGAGAAAACCCATGAGGTTGGACAGCTGACCCTACTCCTTGTTACGTGCAACCAGATTATCAAAACCATGCCAGTTGACTCAATGACAGACTTTGTGTACAGCGTGCACGTGCTAAACATTCGGCCATTCCAAACACACACACACCCCTGTGATTAGGGAAACACTATATAGTACCAGTACTGAATTCACTACACTTTTTAAATTAAAAGCAAAAAGATGTTATAAATCTTGTTCAAGTTTGAGGTAAATAATCAAATAAAATACAGGTTTTAGTGCTTGTTTCATCAGAATCATACTAGAATCTATAATGTACTATTTATACTTAGGCCGCGGTTAATTAATTGTCAGTTTCTCATGACCTGAGTTTGTGAAATATACATGCTACATGCGTTAATTATTAATTATTGAGATGAAATTTAATTTTTTTAGTTTAATGCTGTTTCTATTTCAGCAATAACTAATGTCAGTTACTTGGTCGTTGAAAACCCAACGGTAACCAGTGTCCACGATTTATTCACATTTATTAAATATTTATAGATTAAAATATCTGTTGCACAATATAGCTGGGCATCGGAAGACTTGATCATAATAAATAAGTTTAAATTATTAGTGATATGCTTCTAAGTTAACGGTTCGTTAATTCATTTATTCTTGGCATTTCATTTCTTTATCCTTCCCTACTTTGACCAGTTACAAAATGATCTGTTCCAAACTGGTTGATGATTTTTTCTGACATAAATAATTAAAAGCGTACCCTTGGATTTTTAAATACAAAATAAGTTAGATTATTTAACAAGTCAGTCAAAGAATTTATTACACACCTGGTCGTTCCTCTAGCCCTGAGGGGAGATAGTACCAATAATGCCATGGCAATAGCCCGTATATTAATTGTTGTCAACTTTGAACCCATCATCGGCACATGGCATCATGATAATATAAATACTTTTATTATTTTGTCTATCTTAATCAAACTGTTTACATTTATTTGTATCTCTGTGTCCTTTTAAGACTGGTTATATAGTGTTGTTAATAAAATACCGTGAAAGGCGTGAAGCAGTGTCAACAGTCAGTGTCTCATGATCGAGGCTATCTCATGGCGGCAGTTCTGGGACCGTTGCTAGTCAGTAAATAAAATAATTTAACAGGAATTACAAGACATTTATATCTATCTGTGAATTTTATTACAAATGACAAGTGCCTTATAGAGTATATATGTGGTATTTGGTGAATATTGTAGCTACATGTACCATTCCTTGATATGGATGACAGATATGATACGGCTTTATCACTTCTGTTTTGCGGATAGACTCCGTATATTTTTTCACATGCTAGCCTGTACTTTACTTATCACCTAAGGTGTCGTGTTCATTGATAAATTGTGAATTTTAATGCGTCAATTCATTGTTCATATTTAAAGGAAAACAAATATAGTTATAAAGGACAAATTTTGGATCTCACTAAATTTGACCAAATAATTATGTAAGTGCGTAATTATTACGGATGAAAACGGACATGCGGGGGGTCATGAGAAACAAACAATTAATTAACCGCGGCCTTATAGTACGGTACAACCCAATCTGGTTAAAACACAGATCCTATTTCGTTTCGTTTTTATAGTTCAAAATTTTGTTTTACTTGTCTTTACTACACTTGGATCTGGAAGAGATGTTATTTAACTCGTGTTCTGAATGGTGTCAGGGATAAGCCAATGAAACGGTCTGTTACGGCGAGCTTTAGGCGTATTTTTCACGGAACTGTGGGTAATCCACTAGTAACATCAATGCTGATTGGTTAATCAAATGTCTGACGTCAAAAGGGTCATGATTCGGTCTTTTGACCCCTGACTTGACCTATCGCTATAACTTGTCAGATCTTCATGTAGCAGAGGCCATCGAAAGTATAAAAAAACGAAATGAAATATAGATCTGTATTTCAATTAGGACTTTCAATTTTAAAATTAAATCTATTTTTCCAAAGTGTAATATTTTATCTAACCCGAACATCAGATTACATTAAGAGTGTCAGGTGAACTTTTTTGCTGAAACAAACTCAAAACCTAACTTTTTTATTCTGACCCCATATGGGCCAATCCCAATTTCTAACACACACACCAAATATTAATAATAAACTTGTTCTTAATTGGCGTTGCCGTGTAAAATTATCATATGTTGGAAATCAAATGTCACTTGGCAAACAAAATCATTTATATTCTCAAATATTGGTAAGCCTATTATTTTTTTTTTATTTTTTTTTTAAAAAAAAGACTTAGGCATACCGGTAATGATAATGTAAAATCAAAAAAATGAGTTATGGGTGGAATGTAAAGTGGGCACTTACATATTGTCCAGGCTGCTGTCCCCACGACATCTTACTTGTTTAAATTAATTACTAAACTAATAATTAAGCACCTGACAATGACACAAGTGCTGGCGTAATGTGTGTAAGTATATTTGTGAAATAATCAATCAGGTTTCACAATCGCTTCACGATCTTCGTTCTGTTTTTACAAGATTTCAAAGGGAGTCTACTCTAGTGTAATTGGCGAGATTCGGGCGTTTTCATTAGACAAATTCGGGTGTTGTCATTCAAGCATGTTATATTATTAACCCCAGCATTCATGAAGTGTCATCTTTTGTGTGTCATAGCTTGGGCGTATATATTTTACATATATTGTTAATACAACCATACGAAAGGCATCGTTATAAAATATATACATATACTGTTGTATCAAAACGCCTACACAAGAGCCAAGAGGCAACAGTCAACATATCGTCAAGCTAAAGCAAAAACTGCCCAAGTCATTTTTTTTCAAAACTCATATTTTTGGCTTAAAAGGTGTACAGCCACCAGCTTTAATGACTACTTGAAGGAATTTATCCAGAAATTGTAAAATTTTATGTTTTTGAAGAAAAATTGAAACTGCCTAAATCAATATGTGACTTAGGCAATACTTGCCTGAAGCCCAACATGCACAATGACATAGGCAATTTTCAATTTTTGCACTAGACGGTTAGAGTTATCTCCCCCTTTGCGCCATTTCTGCTGCCTTAGAAAGGAAACCACAAGATAGAATTATGGCATCGAAATCCACAAAATTAACCGCTGCAGATGTCTTAAAGCAATTAGAAAAGGGATCTAGCGAAGGAGAAAGTGATATATCAGGTATGTTTTGATAAAAAAAAGTATGCTAAAATTTATTAAACCTAGAAAACTATAATATATTTTCCTTTGTATATATGATCATAATCCATATAAGGAAGTCGTTACATGTCTTATGTTTGAAGTAAAATTATGATGCATGTTATATCATGCCGACACGCACGAAATATCCTATACAATTTGTTCATCGTAAGTAAAATATACATGCCTCTTTTCCTGTATTTCAGATTCATCAGCTGATGAAACAGATTTTGATGTCATTATGTCAGTGTTTCCAAACAACAAATTTAAAACCGAATATGCTTTGCTGGAAAAAACCCTAGCAGACACAGAAGAACTAGATACAACTGTTAGTATAGTAGAAACAGATGATTTAAACATAACAAAATTAGAAGACAGAAATGTGAATACGGACACCGATGATTTAAAAGATAGAAATGGCTACGGGTATATAGATAATTTAAACGGTAGAATTAGCAAGATAGAAATGAAAATATAGATGATTTACACCGGGTAGAATTAGAAGATAGAAGTGAAAATATAGATGATTTAAACCAGATAGAATTAGAAGATATCAATGAAAATATAGCTGATTTAAACCAGATAGAATTAGAAGATATCAATGAAAATATAGCTGATTTAAACCAGATAGAATTAGAAGATATCAATGAAAATATAGATGATTTAAACCGGGTAGAATTAGAAGATAGAAATGAAAATATACTCAGCCAAATTAAAAACTTGACACTCTGGATTTTTGGGACTAGATTTTTAATATTTGGTTTAAGGCAACTATTTTAGTGTTATGTTGTGCACAGACGACCTTGACATCAACAGAGAGCAAGAATACGTCTCGCCGAAAGTCCTTGACATTGATAACGTTCGTGATGTCACAGTACCCCCCAAAATGAAATTCACAGACTTGGAGAACAATCGGAATAAAGTGTTTAGTATGGAAGTATAACGTTGCCAAAAGTTGGTTCATTCTTTAGAATGTAAGAGCTCAACAAATGTACTTTGTATTTTAAAAAGTATACTTTGCATTTTTACGCTAGGACATTAGTATTTTGAAACATTGAAAAATGTATTTTGAAACGTTGTCTATCTTCAGACTTTTGGCAACGTTATACTTCCATAGTTTAGTAACGGTTGTGGCCTCCTCTAGCGTCTCGTACTGCCACGCAACGTCTTCTCATGGATCTCAGAACATTAGTAAACACTACCCGAGGAAGACGTCGCCACTTCTCAGCAAGAGCATGTTGAAGGTCCTGCAACGTCAGTGGTGGATTCACTTGCTGACGAACACGTCGACCCAGTTCGTCCGAGATGTGTTCAATAGGATTAAGGTCGGGGCTAAGCGACGGCCAATCCAGGACTTGGACACCGGCATTTCTTTAAAAATTCTGGGTAGCAATTGCTGTATGGGGTCGAGCATTGTCTTATTGAAACGTTAGTCCAGGCCCATGTCTCTGCATAAACGGAAGAAGAACAGGTTGCAAAATCTGATCTCTGTACTGGACAGCATTTAAGTTCGCTTGGACAACAACAAGCGGAGAACGTCCATGTGCACAAAAAGAACCCCAAACCATGACGCTGCCGCCACCAAATCGATCAACTTCTCTGACGCATAATTGAGCGTAACGTTCACCTCCTCTGCCGTACACTCGTTCCCTGCCATCGGCAAATCTCAAAGTGAATCGAGATTCGTCACTAAAGACAACCGAATTCCACTGTCTTTGAGTAAATCTTATGTGTCTTGTGGCCCACACAAGTCGGTTACGGCGATGAAGAGGTGTCAATATTGGTCCATTATAGGGCCTCCGAGCTCGAAGACCAGCAGCCTGCAAATGATTTCGAACAGTTTGTGCAGTTACCCTTCCACCAAACATCTCTCTACTTGTGGAGGTTGCAGTGACAAATCTGTTTCTAAGATGACGTAATCGTATTGCTTGATCTTCCTGGAGTGACGTCACACGTGGCGCTCCCGCCCTTGGGCGGTCGGCAATAGTTCCAGTTTGAAGCACTGTCATTCTAAGATTAATTATTGTCTGGCGTGTACAAATAAAGGCTCTTGCAACAGTGACCGCAGACTGACCAGCATAGAGCCTACCTATAGCACGTAGACGTTCTACATTTGAAAGGCGCGGCATTTTCTAACAAAGATGAAAATGACAATTTTAATTTGTTTTTCCAGTTCAAGTTACGTGTGCGTGTTCAGTTTAAGCAAACTTGCATCGATTGTTCTCACGAGTTTGTGTTTGCACGTGTTGTTTTTCAGGTTTTTCATATTTATATGCCCAAAAGTCACGTGATCCACGTGGATTTACAATTTTATGAAATTAAAGGCTTCTTACTACTTACTATCGTTAGAAACACTTTAAAATTTATTTGACGTACCAGAAAAATTTTTTTGTTGAAATTCATCAGTGTCAAGTTTTTAATTTGGCTGAGTATATATTAGAAGATAGAAATAAAAATGAAAATATATTAGAAGATAGAAATGAAAATATATTAGAAGATAGAAATGAAAATATAAAACCGATCAGACGGCACTAAGCCAAGGGAAAGAAAGAAAAAATATCAAAAGAAAGATGAAAGTAAATGGAAAAGAAATAAAGATAAGATTAGGAGAGTCAAAGAACTTGAATATCAGACAAAGAAAGGTTTATTTATGGGTGAGAGAAAGATCGGAATGAAATGCAATTCGGCATTCTGTAAGAAATCTAGGAAAAGAGGATGTTCAGAAAATATGAGAAGAGATATATTTACTAAGTTTTGGGTTGAGTTGCGTAACTGCACGAGAAGCGTCAAGTTTTTGTTTCAGCTTTGATAAAACGAGTTGATATTAAACAGAAGAAAACGGAAGTCGGTCCAAGAAGAAATTTTTCGTGGACGTATCATCTTCCACATGCTGGTAAATCGTATCAGGTATGTAAGCAGATGTTCTCCTCCACGTTAGGGGTATCAGATAGAACACTTTCAAATTGGGCTTAGGCATAGAATTGGTAGAGAAACCAACACGCGTAACAAGAAATAAAGCTAAAGAATTTGATCTAGAATTTCTTTATCAGTTTCTGTCATCACTTTCGACAGTAGAACCTCACTATTGTAGGGCTGCCTATGCGGACTAAAGGTTTCTGGAGCCTGGTACTTCAGTTATAAATATCTACCAGGAGTATGTAAAATCTGCTAAAGCAAAAGATACCCATGCCCTAAGCTACCCAATTTTTCATCGCATTTTTAACGAATCTAGATACTCTGTATTTGTTCCCAGAAAGGACCAATGTGACGTATGTATTGGTTTCAAGCACCAAAATATAGAAGTATCAGTATATAATAACCACGTTTTCGCAAAAGATGCTGCTAGGAATAAGAAGAGAGATGACGTACTTAACAGTTTTAAAGATGAATCTCTGGTATCTGTGTGGTCCATGGATTTACAAGCCATTCTTCTATGCCCTAAAACTGATGCAAGCTGCATGTATTACAAAACAAAACTAAAAACGCATAACTTTACTATCCACAACATGAATTCATGTGATGGTTACAACTACGTATGGGACGAATGTAATGGAGACCTAACAAGTGATGTTTTTGCCTGGCATCAGTACTCGCATTTCAAGCAACATTTGGAAAAATCTCCCAAAATAGAAAAATTAATAATTTGGTCAGATGGCTGTGGCTATCAAAATAGAAATTCCGTTGTGTCTAGTGTGTATTATCATCTCGCAAATAAAATGGGAATTACCATAATTAAAAAATTCTTGGTTGCTGGGCACACCCAAATGAATCTCTGGTATCTGTGTGGTCCATGGATTTAGAAGCTCTCAAAACTGTTATTCCGCCTGAGATTCATGCTTTTTATGACAATCTCCCTTGTGAGTGAAATCTGCCATAACATTGTAAAAGCCTATGTATATTTACTCATTTAAAATAGTCAATTTTAAGATGAGATCCTTATGAATGAACTACTGAAATAATAATTTACATTATGTCTTAATTTATTCAATGTTTATTTTTTAATTTTAATCCATGATGATAAATTTTAATGTTGTATATCAGGGGCCTATTTCACGAAATTTTAACTAAGATAGAATCCAAATTTTAGTAATTTGATTGGATAACATTCGATTGATTTTAGTGCTTAGCCAATCAAAATTGAAGTATCTACTAAAATTTGGATTTTATCTTTAATTAAAATTTCGTGAAACAGGGCCCAGATTGGTGATTAAAACATTTTTATTGTTAGCTTGCTCTGTATTTTGATGATATTTTGCAATTTGTTTGATTCCTAAAGAATATTCACACAGTTACATTAGCTAATGATAAGGCGATGTATGACATCATTCATA